TAAATACACCATTCCTTTATATTTTGGCGCTTAAATTTCATACATACTCGGACTTTTATTTTTAAGACTCTGTTCAATTCGGAATAGTCCCTTTAAACCCCATTTCTTTGCCTCTCGTCTCAATGCATATCTCGGTATCCAATCAAGCTATCAACAAGCGGACGTTTATACTATCCTAGAACACAACTTTACCGTTAACATGTTGTGGTGCTTAAAGGGTTAAGACATGAGACCAGTAACGGATATATAATCGATGCCTACCATCCCCCGTCAAATAAATTAACAGAACAGTCCCAGATTCCACGGGGCCCTCGTTTACGTATACATGTAAAGTGAGTTTAGAGTTTACGTATAGAAATTAAACTCTCACGTGTGAATAAATACCTCAAATTGTGCGTCTGAAAGTTTCAGTTCAAAATATTAAACTGATCGGAATAGAATCCTAGGTTTGCTTCACGCTTCTTTTTAAAAAAAAACTTTAGAGCAATATCTGACTCAATGGATTTCCGTTGCAATATGAAAGACAAAAAGCTAATTATATCTTCATCAAAATAAACAGTGTATCATTTCTAATATTTTGATCCTGTTTCTGAAAAATAGAGTAGGTTTATTGTCCACCTACACATAGACACAGGCACACTGTGGACATGTTGAATGTTTGACCGTATATTTTGGTCAACGTGTCAATAAAGGTGACACGAATGAAGACGGGGGATTAAATTGTTATACGAAAACATGTCTATCGAATGTATAGTATGGCAATCAAGACAGTATTACATTCATTAGTTATCCGTCTTAATAGGCTATTCATCACAGGTATATTATAACAAGCCGAAATTTATTCTTACAAAGGCTGGCTGAAAAGTTCTATATGAAATGAAATGAAATGAAATGGGGTTTAACGTCCTACTGTTCAGCAACATCGTTGGCAAAAGTGTGTACACCTCGATAGGCTTAGAACTTTTCAGCCACCCCCTGTACATGTTTTACGACTATATCTAATATTTTGACAGTACCAATTTAAACAACAAATAGATTCATATTCTTGTATTGCACAGAAATATTGTAGAAAAGGATGATCATCGATCACGGAGAATTAGTACATTTAAATGCAAATGTCATCTATCTTCCGATTGACTGTAGTGTACGTATGTAGTGTATGGGGTCTTTTTTGCTACAGAGGATATATTATAAACTATTCCAATTAACTGTTGGTAGAGATGTAGTCCACTGAGTAAACGTTTACCTGGAAAGCAGAACTAAACCTAAAATATGATGCAGAAGAATATGCAGAAGATGCGGGGAAAGTGCGTGAGAAGTTGTTGGAGAATAAGCACATATCATATTATGATAGGACGAATGCATTGCTACTAATATCACTACCATTTTAAGAGCCTTAACGACTTTTAACGCTCCTTGTCAGTTTGTAAGGTGGTTTTCTATTTCAGTTTCACCCGATCGGTTAGCTTTAGTAGTTTGGTAAAGATGAAAACAGAAAAGAAATCCGTTATGAATTTCCAGAAAATATCTGAGACTGTTAACTTGATAATGCATTCTGTAAGAGCTAAATAGCTGCCTATTCCAGATCTTTCGTTCGGCCCCAAATGTTATATAAATCATTAATTAGACATTTATTCACATGTCAAGTTCATAATCAAATCTCTAGAACATTGGATGGTTTTAATTTTCAACAGATTTAATCACAATTGTCAGTTAATTATTTAATTGGAGATTGGATAATCAAGACTTTGTTTATTATCTTAACAACAGAAGCAATGACAATCGAGTCTACACTGTTTTTCAAACGGCCATAACTCGGACCAGAATGGAGTAATTTGACTGAAATTTTCTACATATCACCTTTTTATTTTTAAACTATTATACCGAGAACAGCCAGTTCTTTCACAACGCACCTTTAAGTAACAAAGAACAACAAATAAACCTGTTTTTTTCTTTATCCGTTTATCAAATAACGGTGCGATAACATCAAAACTGTAAAACAAATTTTATTTTTATGTGAATAAAACGTGCACCTTTCAATTTCCAATAAAATTCACCAAAATTCACAAAAATTAAACTATAAAATGTGTGAATATTCTAGTAATAGAAACACTTAAAGGTTACTAAATTTATGTTGCCACTAGAAATCATATAAAAATTGAAAATAAACTCCATTTGTCTGCACCCAATGTGATTTATTGGGCTCAATGCGTGGAATTTTCAAATTGTTGTGATATTTTTTGATTTATACCTCCACGAAACTAGTAAAGGACAGTTTAATAGTCGGTAAATTTAATAGTTTTAAGCCACTTAACAATCATAATACATGTTAATGACCAACCACAAAATCATATACCCCAATAAAATATGGCCACAATATAAAATTTGCAAACAATCATATAAATAATAAAAATCTCTATAAGAGGCAGCAAAGTGAACAAGTGCACATTGACTTTTGTTTAAATTATTTTGTAATTTTCATCGACAGAAACCCTTTACCCTTTTTCGGACATATGAAGCAAATATACTGAAAATAAAAGAATCCATTTCTAGCAAAGAAAACATCTAGAGAAACTCTGGAAAATGTCAGTATGCGCTTTTCGGTTCTTTCATTCAGAATTTTCTTTTAAAACATATTTAACGAAGAAAAAGAAGTCTTGACGGTTTCTGACAGGAAGAACATCGTTGTTTTTTTTTTCTTTTAAAGAACGAAATTTAATTCTTTTAATTCGAAAAATGACACCTATATTTATTTAAAGATCACCATTTTCACTACAAAAGAAGAAAATACAGTACTGTAAGCTCTATGATCATCCAACAAGAGAGAGGATATCATGTTCTGTAGAAGACGTAGTTGCATAACATTCAAAACAATACAATTTTATTTCATTTCATAGAAAGTTCCAATACTTTTAGGGTAGGATTGAGAAAAATGATATCAAATGAAATCGGGTTTAACGTCCTACTGTTTTGCTCAGTATAAATTAATGGAACACCCATTAATAAAAATTATTGACAAACAGCAATCGAAATCATAATGGCGACTTCCTTTTCAACATCTGCATACGATTTCTGGATAACAAAGATGCCTCTGGATTTTCTGGAGGGGATTTTTCCTCCTTGTCAATGTGCGTGCAGGACATGCTGTGCTGTGTGTGAGTGTGGGGGGTGGGTGCATGGAACAGCGTATCTAAACGTTCAGATTGCGAGTAGAGGTTCATTGTATTCGTCGGCGTACCCGTAAGAGCCATTGACAGTTGAAATTCGAAATACGGGCAGGCCGTGGCACCGCTCCACGATCAAAATTTCCCTCATAATACACCGTCTTCGGTAGTCCGGATGGGGCAGAAAAATAGGCCGTTAATCCCCATTAACGAAGATTTCTTCAAAATTGTATAATTAAATTTAGATTTTTAAAAGTACCTTTCTTTTTTTAACGGTTGTTGTTCTCCTTTTTACAGCCAATTAGTTTCATTTACACAATGTAAACACTTTCAGTTAGAATAGGGAAATAACATAATTTATTTCTAAAAGAAAAAGTCAAAAACAAAATCTAACGCGTGTGACTTTTCTTTCTTTCCTACAGAATATAAGACGATCATTTTCGTTAGATGAGGGTGCTTATGTCTTGAAAGTAGCATCATCCATTATAAAGTAAGCTTACCATTGTGTCAAGGGTGGTCGGTTAATTAGCCAATTAACACAACATTACAATCGGTGCCGTATTGACTAAATTGATAATCTTTTAGAGACATTTGGTAACTGGGTAGGGTAATAAACTATATCACATTTTTATGGAAAACAAAATGAAAGTTGGTTGAACGTCCTACTCTTCTCCTACGCCTGGGCTGATAAAGAAGGGCATACAGTGTGCTATGAAGGAATTTTTCCCCGGATAGCAGCGATACGGCCTACTCCTATGATGTTTGTGTGTTCAACTTCTCTACTCTCCTTAATGTGACTATACAGAGGGAGAAATGGAGTTTAACGTCCACTCGGGACTAACACACGGTCAGTAACCTGTTTAATCCGGGCCTGGTGTAAATGGATTGGATGTTTGATCCCGAAATAAAATAATTAATTTCTCAACATATTAGCCCGAGTCGTTTTCTCCAGAAATTTGTGCCAAACTCGGCCATCCAGGCTTGGTCCGAGCGCCCATAAGGGTCACCGACCCTTCGGCCTCGATTAGAAGAACATAATTTGACGTATATTTTTTTTAAAAAAAAAGAATTAAAATTCATTGAGGATTGGTTTTTAATATCTCTGGATTTGGTTGCAACAATATAAGGCCAGTGGGAAGAGAGGGTACAATATTGTCATAGGACAATGGGAGTATGATAACCTTGACGCGGACATTTCCTTAAGTCTTTAGGTAACTCTTTCTAAATTCGAGAGCATTTTTTGCAGAAGACGGGGCACATTTTGGGGAAGGGAGGGTACATAATCAGACACACCCCTATACCCCGGTATGATATCTCATTGAATTCAAAAGTTACTAGCTCCATTGAGATTTATTCAGCCACCAGCAACTCCCTCGGTGAGGTTGTTGTTGGTCTTAGCCATCCTACCCCCCCCCCCCCAGACTAGGTTTAAAGTAAACCTTTTATACCGTTGCCACAGTCGGTGTATAAATCTAGAGTGTCTTCTCGTTCCTTAGCGAACAGAATCAACATGTAACTTGGCAGCTACTCGTAGGTTGTTTAGTTCTTGATTGTTGATAACTATGTCTATGTTCAGATCTTCAGGACGTAATCATAATCTCCTATACAGACCCTAAATTTCCCGGCCTACATGTATTACTCTTATTAGGTCTACTAACCTCAGGAAACATAGGGGAAATGACACAGGCGTTTTTAGTTAATAATATGTCAGTATTTTCCTACCCTAATTAATATTCATGATCCTGGTCACGGATCAGCTGATACACGCGTTGACGTTTGGGCTGGTATTTTTCTCTATAAATATCGCGATCTGCACATTGATAAGTCAGAGGTTGTCGGGGATCTTCCAGTACAGATTGAGAGGAACTCCTACAAAACTTTTGGCAAAGTTGATCATTTTTCTATTGTTAGATTTCTACACTCTTAAGTATGGTAAGTAATATTTAATCCATTTATGTTTATTATGGTTTCACATGTTTGTTTTCTAAAAAAATGTATTCATAACTTTTATAAATATTTAAAAGTTTCTTACTTCAGCGGTTTTCGAAAAATGTGCAACTTTTTGTATTTTTGTATTCCTTGTCGAATAGGCCATATTTATATTCATTGCCGAGAAATAACCAATTTTGCATGATTATCTTTTCAAGTTGTTTTGTTCATGACATTTATTTATTATTCAGTTTCAAAGAAATTTCTATAATGGGATGCCTAATGCCAATCGTTACATTGATCAACAAGTAGTATGAAAATATACGTTTAAAAAATAAATGAATAAAATGATCCGTTGTAGAAAAATTGTACATTAATATGACGCTGTCCGTTTTGTTATTCCTGGATATCTTTTGAAATCTTTGTTTTATTTCATTCATTTTTATTTTACATTATTTCTCATATCGTCTTTGATTTCATCAACTCGCCATATTACCTTTCAATATTGTTTTCTAATTTCAAAACGGGATTATAAGAATTGACACATCTACACATTGATTCGGATCCAAATTACAAATTATACTTACACATGACCCTATGACGCACGTGACCATTATTTGTCTGTATAGACCCCTATTACCTAATGTCTGGCTCTCGAACCTTTAACCTACATTCAACTGTAGTAAGGAAAGCTATTTCTGTAGTTATTTCGCAGGAGGGTCGAAATACTGATTTTTGGTTATTGAACGTTACGCACCAATATGTAACAAATATCAAATTAGTTATAAAGGTAGACTGATATAGTATGTACAAACAAAACCCAAAAACCTAGAATCTACGCAATTTTAAATTAGTTACAGTAGATGATATTTTCCAGTTATTAATTTCCAGGTAACAGTTATTTACTGTTGGTAACTTGTACTGATTCATTGAATATATCGGTTACCCATATTTCATTTCATACATCTTTCTTTAATTTCATATTTTCATATTCATTAATCTGTATTGTATTTCATTTAATTTGTTTTGTATTTGGGGCTACTATACTATGTTTTAAAAATATATTTGTTATATTTAATGAATCAATTTTCTCTCAATAGGATAGCGCGAGGATTCTGCTATTTATCGGATTGGCGATGCATGCCTCTTTATTGGGTGAGTGTGATAACTACAATTTATTATTATATTTGCTAAAGGTATGACTATATTAAAGGCGCGTTCACTGTTTTGGTGAATAATAATTAATAATGTGAACTTTTAAATGATATTTTTTCGAGAACCTTTAAAATAATAGCTTATTGATATCGCTGTCATGGTTTGTAATTAAAAGCCTGTGTCTCTAAATGCAAACATTTAGAATTATTGAAACTCTCAAGGATGGGGGGTGGGGGGGAGTCTGATTTATATATATTTGGGTTTCTTTTATTCGCGAGTAAAGACAATTTATCGGATATTACAAGTTCTTGTTAATATGATTAAAGTTTTAAATTGTTGTTAATATTTGGCGTTATGAAAGAGTAAAAGTGCCACCTTAAAAGTGAATTGGTATATTTCTCTAGGAACTTGACATATTAATAAAACAATAAACATACGCTATTAATAACTAAGTATATTGTATTTATAAAAATAAATACTTATATTATTGCCCAGGTCAATATTGTATAACCTCTTAACGCACACACAAATAATTTGATAAATTATGATAGAGATAAACCAGTCATGACTTTTGTTATACTTGTCAATGGATGGCAATAGTTTCAATTCAAGTTTCGTCACTGCCTTGACCCCGATGAACATTTATAGAAATTAATTTCCGAGAATCATTTGACAATAGAAAAGTACAAGAAAATGTTTTATCAGGTGACTTGGCTGCTTACTAAAACAAGAACGGGTTGGATTTAGATTTCAGAAAACCAAGACATGTACTGACATGATACTTGTTACTTTTGGATTGATATTGCATGACATTCAATTTTCTACACAGTTTTTTTTAACATTTTAGCCATAGGTTGGGTGGATTATTTTAGTTGGTGGGTAAGAGCGAGTGCAAATTTAATTGATTCCATAAAGAAAAAAGATATTACGGGTAATTTTGCAAAATTAATTAGCAATAAATAGACTTTACACCTGTGGCAATCAAGGAATCATTCCATTTTTTTCAAAATATTTTAGCTTCTGGAAACCAATACAAAGTGGTGTGCTACCATAGTAACTGGTCACGTTACAGACCATCCCCAGGTACTTTCACGGAAGCAAACATCGACCCATTCTTGTGTACCCATCTCATCTATGCTTTTGGTGTTTTTGACGATAATGGCAACATAACCCCACACGAATTGGATTGGGAATTCCCCAGGTATGTACAAATATCTACTCTTCCGGTCCAAAATAATTAGGACCTAAAAAGCGTACAATTTCGATTACTTTTGATCTTTCAAGGCTAAGGTTCTATTTCCAGTCCGAAATTCTCTATTCTCTAAGGGTACAAAGGGGGTTTAATGCCTGTATATTTAGTTATTATTTTAGTTAGGATGAAAGTAGGCTATTGTCAAATATTCGTTGGTTTGTTCTGAAACCACATTATGCTCGGTCAATAACATTTTCTTCTTCTGATATCACAAAACTAAAAGTCTGTATTCCAATTTTTTATTTGTGTATATCATGTTATAGATATGTCGCCTTTAATGAAGTCAAACTGCAAAATCCCAATTTGAAGACACTGCTTGCCATTGGTGGTTGGAACTTCGGTAGCATTGCATTCTCGAATATGGCTAATGATCCTGTCAAAAGAAAGAACTTCGTTGATACAAGTATCAGTATATTAAGAGATTATAATTTTGATGGTCTAGATCTGGACTGGGAATATCCCGTTCAAAGAGGTGGCGCAGCGATAGATAAAGACAATTTCGTTACACTGTGTAAGGTAATAACATTACTGTTTTATGACTATATTTAGTAGATATTATAGCTAACTACATATAATTACATTTATTTGTACTGTGCATCAGGTGTATTCTGGCCCAAGAATAAACATATTAAGCATCCCCTCTCCCTCCGTAAAATATTCCCAGCCATTTCCCCTGCGAGATGCATTGGGTGTGTCACGTGTCGTTTTCCATTCCAGGAACTAATGATTGCGTATACGGCCGAAGCGGATTCATCTGGTAAAACTCGTCTGCTGTTGACTGCTGCTGTTCCCGCCAGCAGAGCTAATATACAAGCTGGTTACGATGTTCCAGAACTCAACAAGTAAATAAATTAAATACCAAATCTCTTTCTAATTTATCCTTATCATGTCCACTTCGACTGTAATGCTGCAATTGCAAATTAAAGTTTGTATCTATTTTTACATTGCTCTTGGCGTGGTTTCGAATCCCCGGTTGTACGTGGCAAGGAGTAGGGTCGCCTGTCCAACCTCGTGGGTTTTCTCCGGGGCCTCCGGTTTCCTCCCACTGCTAAAGACCCCTACGCGCAAGCGAATTATGTAAATAAAATTAAAACCATATATTAGTCCCGAAATGACCTAGTTTGTGTCGAGTGGACGTTAAACCCCATTTCTCTCTCTCACATTGCTCTTGTTTTGTCTGTTTCTTGTTGTGCAGTTTTCCCATCCTTGTCTCTTAATTATATTATTATCAATATGTATTATTTTCAAGTTATCTAGATTTCTTCAACCTTATGACCTATGACTTCCATGGTGGTTGGGATAGTACGACAGGACACAACAGTCCTTTATACGCTAGTCCTTATGATAGTGGTGATTATGCTCACTTTAACGTGGTAAGTTAGTTTTACCTATACTTAGATCTATATGCTCTAGATATTTTCATGTAAATATAAATGCCTGAGAAAGAGTATGCTTCTACATTCTCGGAGGGCCAGGAGAGAGGAACAAGGTTCTTATGTTTCCTTGCTCGACGAAGCGAATTATCGAATATAGTTTAACACATGTTAGTCCCGCAATGATCTAATTCGTATTAAGTAGATGCTAAGTTTCATTTAGTTTGGGCGTATATGGTCTCTACACCTGCCCGTCGGTCCTTCATCAACGTTTAACACGATGCAGGCTAGAGCTGGTACGATGACTACAAACTTAGAGAGGATGATCCCTATCCATTTGCAGCGATCTACGACAATTTGACCCAGAGTTGCCCCCCTCCCCCCTTTCCCCCTCGGCCATTCCCACAGGAAAATTTCTCATCAACGAGATCGAGGCTAGAGTTTTTGTAGGATATCTTTCTAAATTTGATATGATGCATTGGCATCACGAAAAGATGATCCATATCGATTTCCAGCTTTCTCCGATTTACTGTTTTGGAGTTACTGCCCTTGTCGTTCTGATATCGCAATTTCTCGTAAACGTAATAGAAGCTAAAGCTTTTGACAGATTCTTTTTAAATTTGGTGTGAAGAATCCGCATTATCCAGTAAATCACACTAATACACCAGACAAGGAAAGCCGATATCTCGTTATTTTCAATATTAATATTGGTTTTATATACAACTGGGGAGTTGGATGGCCGAATGGTTAGCACTGGCGTGGTTTCGAATCCCCGGTTGTACGTGACAAGGAGTAGGGTCGCCTGTCCAACCTCGTGGGTTTTCTCCGGGTCCTCCGGTTTCCTCCCACTGCTAAAGAACCCTACGCGCAAGCGAATTATTGAAATAAAATTAAACCATATTTTAGTCTCAAAATGACCTAGTTTGTGTCGAGTGGGCGTTAAACCCCATTTCCCATTTCTCTCTCTCTCTCTCTATCTTTATATACAACGTGTTTCTTTACAGAACGACACGGCGGCTTATTGGCATGAAGTTGGAGTTCCCAAAAACAAGATTATTGTTGGTTTGGCTACATATGGTCGATCATTTACGTTGAGTTCTACCAGTAATTTTGGTGTAAATGCTCCTGCTTCTACGGGACCTGCTGGTACACAAACTAGAGAAGCTGGATTCATGTCTTACTATGAGGTAATTGAGTAATTCCCACAGATCTATCGATCATTAACCAAATCTAGTTCTGTTTCTGTGACTTGCAATGTAACGTTTGTAAAAGTTTTAAAAATCCTTAGACGTTTGGTAGATTGGGAAATACAGCAAAAAAGGAATTAGAAATTACAATTTAAAAAGCAAATTATAGTCAGGAATGTATGTATATGAGAGATACAAGCAAAAGTACACAAATTAACTACATTTCTTTTATTTTGGAGTAATATCAATCAACCACATGAATTTAAATTGAAGTTTCGTTTGTTTTATTTATAGATCTGTAATGATATGCAGACTGGTGGATCAGTAATGTTCGATGACACTATGCAGGTACCATATTATGTGAATGGTAATGTTTGGGTTGGATACGATGACGAAAATTCTCTGAGAATAAAGGTATGGATTTTTGGAATTATTTATCAAATATATATATATATAGACACACAACTATTATCCAGGAAAATACTATATTATAGTAATATGTTCTGGAAACTCAACAATAGCAAAGCATATTTGATCAGATCAGTTCTTGCTTGATCCATTCTTTCTGCATATTATTATATCGTCCTGAAGATGGTCTCTATATTGGTTTACAATCCTGTCTTCTAGGCTAACATGATTGCTGATTATCAGTATGGTGGTATGATGATTTGGGCTATAGCTTTAGATGACTTCAACCACATCTGTTCAACTTCTACACGAACATTTCCCCTCATCAAAGCCGCTTCCGAGGTCTTAAATCCAACAGGTGCTGCACCCTCTGTTGATCCTGTTGTGCCCGGTGATCCTACTGCGGCCCCGACAACGACCACCACGACTACTACCACAACGGCTCCAGCTACTGGCAGTTCTAATACCGGTAAGTTCCAGATGTGCTCTTAATCTTTAGTATTATAAATACGGTCTTCCGCTACATCAAATTAATATCTTCTGGATAATCGAGTCCACGAGAAATCTCCGGAGAAACTGGCTTTCAATATAAAATGATATTGTTATGTTCTGGCATTTACAACCCACTGTGTCAGCTTCTCGAATATTTGCCCATACTCTTTTACATAGAATAATGCCGAATATTTGAAAATCAGTATTTGCTGAAAGTGATGGTCGCCAAAGTCGGAATTTGCGATAAAAAAATTAAAGTGGTGATTAAAATTTGATTTAGGCGATAATTTTTGTCATAATGTTTTGGGGTACTTGGTATTCCTTGTAAAAAGTGGCGAAAAAACATCTTAAAATTCTAATATTAAATTATCTTACATTGACCATAACGTTGGGACTGGGTGTCAATCACATACATACACTTGACGACATACTATAAATCAATTGTGAATATACCTGCTCAAATACCCGAATACCATGTTTATTATTTTACAGGTTTCTGTGCGAACAGAGTAGATGGCTTTTATGCTAACCCAGGAAGCTGTGAAAGTTTCTATAATTGTTATGAAGGTCAGACTTACTTGACAAATTGTCCTTCCGGCACTCTTTTCGATGAAAGTACCAATTCATGTGACTGGGAAATATCCGTCAAATGTAACACACCATTGATTAGAAAATAGAACATTTAGTTTATTTAAGGGTCGAAGTGCTGTTTTTATGTTGATTTAAGATAAAATTTGGACAATTATTTTTAAAATTATCTAGTAAATCTTTGATATAACTGCTTCAGAATTGCAAACTATTGGATTCGTCGTGATGTGAATTAAAAGTTTTGTACATGACCAGTATATACGTTTTGGGTTTTAAATCATATTTTTAACGAAGCATAATACGGGAAAATCTTAGGTTAAATTAAGATTTGCAATGACTTTATATCAAGGTTATGCATAAACCTTTTGAATTCCAATTCATAAAATTTACTTTTTCAGTTCTTTTTTTATCGAGAATTTTATTTTGCGCGGATACTGATCTTATTACAAGCTATGGACTACGGCAATTGGAAATATATTTAAAAATTATAAAAGTTAATAGATGTTTTATTTATAAAAAAAATCAGATTAATTGAATAAGTAATATAATTGTATTTTTGTGTATCGATACCCGTGATTGTTATTATTATTATTCTTTAAATTGTATATTGTTTTAATTTATAATTCATGTACCTTGGTGATTTGTTACTGATTAAACGTACGATATTTTATTAATTGGTTATGGATTTGATTTAGAAGGCGATAATAGGCCTTATACAAACCCACTAAACCTTCAAAAGCTTTAAAGGATTGCTTGTAGTTCATCTATTTATAGCAATTATTTACAAACCCACTAAACCTTCAAAAGCTTTAAAGGATTGCTTGTAGTTCATCTATTTATAGCAATTATTTTGTATGGTCTAGATTGAAGACTAGCATTGGAAATTATATTTTCTGCCATATTTTTGTAATTATTCATGGTTTAGGGGCGCAAGATTACCATGGATAGAACACCAAATCAATGATTTATACTACTAATAATACAGTCTAACAGAGACTTTATTAAGTCAATGAAAAGGAATGAATAAACGAGATCAACACATTCTTAGATGTGATAAAATAGTTTTCATATAAGATTAGGAAATCAATGAATATGCACCGGACGCAGTTTCACAACAATCTCGTCCTCAAGGAACTGACACTTGCCATAAGACATTTAACCTACTGTGATATTCTTACATTTCAACAAAGCAATGGAAGGTCGCGGAACGCTGAATACCGATAGGGTTCATCCTCTCATGATACCAATGCTTCTTACCAAATTTGCAAAATGTCCGTTAAAACTGCATCGCGAACACGTGGTTTTCGGAAAACGGGGAATAACACTATAATGGAAGGTCGAAGAATGCTGCAGGCCTATATCGATACGGTTGGTCCTCTAATTATCACAAAGTTTTAAAATAAAATCGGAAAAAAGGATGGTCGTAGCAGTTAATATCGATAGGTTTAGTCCTCTCATATTCCCTATGCTTCACGCACGCTAAATTTGACAGGAAATCCCTTATTAAAAATCATAGCGTGTATTGCATTCACAAAGTTCTTAGCGGGATGAGAGTGGGGTGGGTGGCGGGTCGAGACTCCGGAAGGAAAGATCGCGGGACGCTGAATATCACTAGGGCTTTTCAGCTCATGACCACAATGCTTCCCACCTAATTTGAAAAAAAAAGATATGTTTAAAGATATGATCTCTATTGTGTTCACAAGGTTTTGGAAAAAGGGACATAACTCTTCTCATGACGACAGCGCTTACTGCCGAATTTGAAAAAAAAAACAATCGTTAAAAACTACCAACTACCGTTGGGGACGGGAACGGGAAGGGGGGGGGGGGTAAAAATATAGAATTAGGGGTATTGGTTCAATACGACAATGATGCTATATCTATTTACAGTTTAATCAACTAACGGGAGATACGTACTATTAAATATCAAAACACAAAAATGCACGTACAGTTGACCCTATAATATAGACAACAATGATGCAAGTATTTACTTGAAATGCCATCAAATATGCTATTCGTCAAACCAAAATAAAATGTTAGTTGTAATTTACAATATAATTTGTTCCATATATTAACCATTATGACAACAATAGACAGCTTCATATGGGATTCTTGAACTGATTTTGCAAAGAAATTTCATTTTATTTCTGTTATACGAAGAGTCCTTAGAACATTATCTTAAATATTCTTCAATTGTTCAGCAGCATGTCACTATAATTGTCAAATAATTTATACATCGTGTCTTTCATACAGATTATCTATTTCGGTTTTAAACCTCTGTCGTAACTGTGGTCGTTTGTTTTTAAACGTTGGTGTTAATAATGAATTTTCAACTGAAAACAGTTCTGGGTGGATGTAGATATCTTTTACCTGAAATATAAACATGAAATATAAACAATAGATTAATACTTAAACCACCAGAAAAGTGGGACTTTAAACCCGATTTCATTTTACCCGAAAGTTTCTCAAGTTTTATTTTTATTTTACAGTTAGGGATATTCTTTTTGTGAATTCTTGGATTGCCCGGTGATCAAGGCGCTGACTCACGAACCCATCCTTATTTGTATCCCAGTTTCGGCCCAGAAAGTACCACTTGTTAGTGGTTCATCACGGATGGCCGGTAAGGAACAGCGCAGTCTTGGCGCGCACGTAAAACGATCCTTTGCAGTTAAAATTCTACGAAGGGTAGGCGGAAACGTCGATATCCCGGCAAATATATCCCTCACGTACAGTACACTGCATTGTGTATGCCCGTATATGTCTGATATTAATTTTAATTTATAAGTAAATGAATAAATGGAATTTTCACTGGGTATATCTTAAACAGAAACATTGAGTAGCTTTGTTATAAAATACAACCAGGTAGGTGGTACTTTTATTGAAACGGTGATATCTACGCCCCCATATTATGTTAACATCTCCAACTTCACAGTTAATAATTTACACGACAGGAAGATGACGTGACACAACGGACTGAAGCCAAAGACAATTTTATGACAAATCTGGTCGCCGAAATTTTATATTTAAATTAAAGCTTGTATATGTGTATAGACATAGATCACTAAAGTTGTCAAATTACCTGCTCAAAGCCTTTAAGGCGGCTTGATTTACCTATTGCTATCATATCTGAATAAACTAAATCTTTTATTTTCTGTAAATAAATAAATAAAAAGGTTCACACACACAAGGAAAGGCAAGTAGAATTGGTGGGCATGGGTTCTTCCAAAATCAAATATGAAAGTAAAAGCCTTCATTCTATGCTTGGGTGGATAAAAAAATACAAATCTCAAGGGATAATCATATAGACAAGAGCCCATTATCGAGTAAGTAATAAGTGTACTTCCGGAACGGGAATAGGCCTACACAATGGCGAGGAGTTACCACGTTTTCCAGAAAGAATAATAAAGGCCTCAATGATTGTAAATTCCGGTGTAAGTTCAAGTTGAGAATTGTCCTGTCTAAAGATACATTAGGCAAAATTTAAATAAAGAGCTGGTCGTTCTTGCTATAATAGTTCAAAATAGATTATGAAAAATGAATATATTGAAAATGTCATTGAAATTACTTTATTCTGGGTGTTGGTTTAGGGGGTTGATTGTGGACTTTTCATGTTAATAAATGCCTAAATGATAGTTTATATAACATTTGAAGCCAAAATAAAGACATCATAAAGTGTAAAGGCTCTGGCATATTCGTTCAGAAAGGAATGACTGTAAGTAAACCAAATAAATTGGATATTGTGGTATACGTATATTACTACAAATAAAAAGTAATTCATGTTCTCCATCGGTATATACACAATTCTTTACCAAGACTTTAGAGTTACTTGGTTAGTTAGGGAGTGGTGTGGGCGTTTCGCCCAGGGTTGGACTTTTGTAGGGGTGTTAGAGGGGAACTTTTGGTCTACTATGCGTAGAAATAACGATTTCTTTTTGTCAAGACAGCAGAAAAATACAAAACTAGCGACACAATTTTAATTTTGTTTCTTGTTTAAAGGTTTAAGTGTTTGGCTCGAGCGGCACACTTTGAAATAATGCATTGACAAAAAATCTTACATTTGAAACGAATAAACCATGAATTCTACGATATACAGATGTGGAGCATTTAATATATACAATTATTATTAGAACATATTTTGGACAATAAATAGGACTTATTATAATAGTGATATTGTTTTTTACCCGACATTTTCCATAAGTTATTACCTTAGACCTGGAGACAACTTCTGGATCGGTTGATATATTATACTGTTTAGCAACGTTACTTATCACATCTGGATCCAATACTACAACTGCCATACAATACGCCTGTAAAATATACAGTAAACATGGCGTTGTATACCCACCAGTAACATTGTGAAGCGAAGCGGTCTCAGACGAGGCTTTCGACAACAGAGGCGATTATTCAAGGTTAATTCCTTGTGTAGCTCAATTGAGGACCCATCCTTATGACTAACCAACCAATACTAGCAAGTTTTTTTAAAACTTAAAATGTCGAGTGTTTATAAGGTTCCTCCTTATGATCAACCTCCCAACAAGTTTTAAAACAAAATCTCAAAAACGCTGACTGGAGACCGTTTCAAGGTTTCGGTGAAATGGACAATAACTCGGATTAAAATCAATGCACGACCATAGTCCCAATAGTAATCCGAAAAACCTCAGGACATTTATAAGATTAATGAGCAAACCGATGGACAGTACAAGGAACGGAGGACAGGCTCGTGATAATAAAGAAAAAAAACCCTGAATAAATTGTGTTTGTGGCAGAAAATGAACATCGAAAATAGAATTCTCTTCATGTTTACGTTTGGACTGACTGAAACCACCTTAGCCATCATACACACGTATCTATTTATATTGTCAAGTGTGAAAAGTGCTATAGCGCCATAGACTTTTGTAGAAATGAGGCAATCTAATTAAAATATAGATCTATATTTCGTTTCGTTTTTTATACTTTCGATGTTTTGAACTATAAAAACGAAACGAAATTGGATCTGTGTTTTAATCAGATTGAGAAATGAATACGTCTATTAATCTCAACAAATGCTATAGTCCTATGTATACCAGTGGTGTTTCAAAGATGACAAACCTATTACCCTAATGGAGTCCATGGCAATTTTATGCGGGGACAGGATGAGGTGTTGGTGGCTCGTTTGGGCAGTTATCATGATTGTAAAATAAACCTTATCTTACCTTTAGGCTATTTCCATCAACAAATATTTGAGCAACATATTGACTTTTTAAATATGCAGCTTCTATTTTTTCTGGTGCGACATATTCTCCCTGTAATATAAATGAATGGCCTTATTAAAAGAAAATAACAGAAGTCCACCAAAACTAAAGCACATCTTGCCTTATGTACTGCAGCCGTACTCTAGAAATTTCTAAATAAACTGGGAGTGACTGTAGGTCCAACAAAGTGGTCTTGGTGTTATCCCTATTGGTGCAAAAAAGTAGGACGTCAAAAATCATTTATTTTCTTTTCTAAATAAACTAATTACCTGACAAAGTTTGAATATGTGTTTTCTTCTATCTATAATTTTCAACGTACCATTCTGTAATATAATGCAAACAAATCTATGTATATCTTAACATACATTTATCTATTTACTAAATCAAAATTTAATTTGAGGATTGAACATGTAGATTTTGTTTATTTACAATCACAGCTATAGCCTGGATGTCGGGTGTTCGATCCCTGCATTGGCCGAGAAAGTTCATCGGGATTTTCCGACTTGGTTCCCCCTTGTCAGTGGTGCAGAACGGAGGGCCTAACAAGGACAGCTGTCTAGTCCTTCGGATGAGACGAAAAACCGATGTCCCGTGTATACATTGGAATGCACGTAAAAGATCCCTTGGCAGTTGGAATTCGATATAAGAGTAGGCGATAGTGCCGCTGCCCAGGCAAAATTTCCCTCATAGCACACTGTATGGCGTATGCCCGTCTTCATTAGCCCAGTATAGGAGCAGAACAGTAGGACGTTAAACCCCATTTCATTTCATTTCATTTCATTTACAATCACAGCTATGATTTGGACCAACAATTTGAAAGAATGCATTGACAAAAAACGTGCGTGTTTAAAATTTGAGATGCCTTGGGAACAAATGATGTATGTGGACGACCACTTGGATAATTATCATATTCCGGTGTCTGATGAGGACTGGTCAATACCCTACCATTTATATAAGATTAGAAAACTCACAGGTAACCATGCACCGACATCACCAGTACGTAACCAACCATCTTCATCTATTGTTTCTTTTGTTTTCTCGGGATTTTTATAATAACCTTTAAATACATTTACGCCCTTAATACAAATCTGAAAATAAAATATGACATTATTCAAAACTTATGCGCACAATTTAGAGATTCAAGCCTAATAAAATAATAATAGTAAAGGAAAACCTCATAGTTTATTCTCGACTTGAAAGACGTAATGAGAGTGCAATACGTGGTTACCTCCCCTTTTTGGTTTGCGGCGTAGTAATCTAATTCGGGTACGTCGATCAACTTAATAGAATTACATAAACAAGGAGCACCAACATGACCTGGAAGTAAAATGACAGAAAATGTAAGCTACTGCCTATGGCAGGTCTTGAGAATCCTGTTATAATATTCACGAAAAAAGGGACGGGAAAGAAAAGACAAATAAAAATCGACATAAAGATTGAATACATTAATTAAAATATAAAAATCAAAACTTGTAATGCCATAAAGACATCTTCCCAATTGAGGTTGGTGCACAAAAGTATGCGGTTTGTTTGGGTTAAATTGTACGTACCAGACGTCGTATCACCTGGTAAAGTGCACGATACTGCTGCCGTGGCTTCTGTTTGACCATATGCTTCAAATACCTGAAATAAAACACAGCTTATCAGTCCTTTGTGTTATTTCCATTTTATAGAAATGCTGTTATGATATTTCCATTTGTTAAAAATGTCAGTCCTTTATGATATTTCCATTTGTTAGAAAATGTTAGTCCTTTATATTATTTCCATTTTATAGAAACTGTCGTTATGATATTTCCATTTGTTAAAAATGTCAGTCCTTTACGATATTTCCATTTGTTAGAAAATGTTAGTCCTTTATGTTATTTCCATTTTTTAGAAAATGTCGTTATGGTATTTCCAATTTATAGAAAATGCCAGTCCTTGTCCTTTATGTTATTTTCATTTGTTAGAAAAATCCGTTATGTTATTTCCATTTAAAAGAAAATGTCAGTCCATTATGTTATTTCCATTTTATAGAAATATCAATCTTTTATATCATTTCCGTTCGTTAGAAAATATCTTTATAGTATTTCCAATTGTTAGAAAATGTCAGTCCTTTATGTTATTTCCATTTTATAGAAAATATCAGTCCTTTATGTTATTTATATTTTATAACAGTCCTTTATATAATTTCCATTTGTTAGAATATGCTGTTATAGAAATAAGTACGAACAATCCAAAACATTAGACAAAATTCGAAGTCCTTAAAAAAACGGTATAGGCAAAATAGTGTAATCAGGCAAAATAGTGTAATCAGCAAATTGACTGTTTACCGTGTACAAAATACACGACGGACAGTGGTAACAGGTGTCTTGAAGAGTAAGCTTACCCAACCTGACGCCACATCCGCCTAGCTGCATCCAAATCTCGGTAAAATAGAGTTATTGGCCAATGGACTTCCCGTATGTAAGATGCACATGATGAACAGTGTTAACAGATGTATAGTGGGGCGGTTAAGCAAAAAAATGTGCATGAAACTTGGCACATAGATGGCATCAACCCTACTGATTATTTTGGGATGTGGATCCACCTCAGCAGCTCCCCCTGGTGGTCGTTACGGCCATCTTTTCCAAAATGGCCGCCTATTCATTGATATACATATAACAAGGGGTGTCACAATAAGACATTTTTTTACAAATCATTTCAGGCCAGCAATTTCCAGATGCAAAATTGCTAGCTGAACACGATTTTTGAAAAAAGATTTATCTATGACGTCATTTTCGTTTGGGGTTTGCCTGATTGCAAAAATGGCCGCCAAAATTTGAAGAAAAATGAATTTCCAGATAGGATGGGTGATTATCACGCAATGTATGCCTTGTAATATATCAAATATAAGGTTTTTGTTGTAATTGAACTGAAAAATAATCTCTAAAACTAGTTTCCCCAAATCCAAGATGGCAGAAATTCAAAATGGTTGCCAAAATATACCCAAAATGGCGGTTGATCAGATTAAAGTCATTTCACTGTTTGATTTGGTTTGTAATATATAATTTAAAGGGTTTACATTGTCACTGAACTTAATCTAAAGACAAAGGAGATGAAATTAAAAATGCCTCAGTTGGCCCCGCTGTATTGTTATGGGGTGGGGGGGGGGGGGTGGAGGGTCGGAATAACCAGATATTTTCTCCAAAGAATGTGTCAATTCTTAACATTATCATTAGCATCAATTACAACAAAAACCTTATATTTGATATATTACAAGGCATACATTGCGTGATAATCAAGTTTAAAAGTAGCACTGTCGAATGATGTCCCGAAACCAGGGTCTTTGAAGAGACAGTCATGCTATCGTTTACATATGTGTTATTTCTACTTGTTAGAAAATGTCGTTATGTTATTTCCATTTTTTAGAAAATGTCAGTCCTTTATGTTATTTCCATTTTATTGAAAATGGCGTTATGTTATTTCCATTGGTTAAGAAATATCAGTTATTTTTGTTATTACCATTTAATACAAAATTACAGCAGTATATTTATCATCATAGATGTTGAGAATGAATAACAATGCATATTGTATTAGATAATAGAAAGGATAAAATGCTATCCACTGAAAAGCTGAAAAATATCTTACTGGACATCCAAAGACAGCTCTAGTAAAATTCATGGCATCAGCAGATAATGGCGCTGATGCTGTGATAAGTATTGATATTCTACCACCAAGCATGTTTCTTATCTTCTTTAATACCAGATAATCCCAGATACTGTTATCACGTACGACACCCCTTTAATAAAACATAAATTACATATAAAACAGAGAGAGAGAGAGATAGAGAGAGAGAGAGAGAGAGAGAGAGGGTTTAACGTCCACTCGACACAAACTAGGTAATTTCGGGACTAACATATGGAATAATTCGCTTGCGCGTAGGGGTCTTTAGCAGTGGGAGGAAACCGGAAGCCCCGGAGAAAACCCACGAGGTTGGACAGGCGACCCTACTCCTTGTCACACACAACCGGGGATTCAAAACCTCGCCAGTTGACTCAATGACAGGCTTTATGATACAGCGCGCACGTGCTAACTATATAAAACAGACATATAGACAAGGTACCACACGAACACCAAGAATAGTGATTTCTAGAATGTTTAACACGTGTTAAAGCCAAGGTTTTCGTTCCCTTCTTCATTAACCGTATGAAGAAGAACGGCAGAACGTTAAACCGCATCTTATTTTATTTCCAACGTCCTCACAGGAGATCGCGGAAGAAATCACAATGGAAGAAATGCAGTGATCATTTACAAAAACAAAATCGATTGACCTAGAACGACGGATGGATATACGAACACAGGTGACGATAATTTTACATTTTCCTCTTTTACAATAAAACTGGACATTGTTTTATAACAAATTGATACAACTAATATGTTTCCAAGGAAGAAAATATTTATTGTTTCACAAGAATTTTATTTACCGTTTAACTTCAGCAATCTTTCTGTTGATAGCTGTCCTTAATAAAATACTTTTAAATGAATATCCTCGACAATTGCTATGCACCTGTAAGAAATAAAATAATATATATCTATTAAAAATATTCAATTTTTTTCAATCATTCAAATATGGACAACTATAAACGCCAATATTAATAATTTATTGACCCACCGTTCGTCGTGGCCATGTGAGTAATATTTTTTTTAAATCAATTTGGGAAAGCCCTTTTAAAGAGATACGTTTTAAGTGATTTCTTAAAAGATATCAAGTGATTTAGATTTTTTTATATTGTCAGGTAAATCATTCCATAGCTGTGGATCGGCAGCACCGAAGGACCTGTCTGCAAATGTGTTTCGGTTTGTAGATGGAACAAAAATTACTGACTGTTTGAAGATCGTGTCGAATATTAGTTAGGGTTAGATTTAAGTAAATCAATAAACAAATTTACTTAGTATTCACGATCCTAAATATGGAGAATGGCCTACCTTGTCGTACAGTCTTGTTAATAATCTCGGTACAGTTGGAAATATAGTTGGCTTTAATTCTTTTATATCATCAAATAAATTCTTTATATCACCGGAATAAAAGCCAACATGGTAACCATGCATAAAGGCGCTGATCTGAAATAAATATAATTTTCTGATTAGCCGATACACTTATAGCATCCAATCCATTTCGATTAGCTGATACACTTATACCATCCAATCTAGCCAGACTACTCAATATACTCATACCGCCCAACCCATTTCGATTAACTTATACATTTATACCACCCAATCCATTCAGACTACCCTTTACACCCATACCATCCATTCCATTTAAATAATTCTGCTCATTCAGATCGCTCCATAAATTTAGATAACATCGCCCAGTCTACGCATTAAGGTCATTCCATAAATTCAGATAAATATAAATACTCAAAGATTTCTACATTCAGAAAAAAAGAAATATTCATGAAGATATGCCAGAACTCGATTATTACTGATCTTACCTGCATCGATCTTTCAAACATATGTGTTAATGGTAAATATGAAATGTGACAATCATTTGGTCCAAAATTGTACTGTAAAAAAAAAAGAAGGATTTAAGATTAGTTTACATACAATCTATTCTCTGAAAAAAAAGAGATATATATTTATTACTATTATTATTTCAATAAATTAACCCATACACTACAAATATTTTAATACTTCTTGACAACTGAAGTACCGAGACAAGGATATTAAACACCCAGTTGATGAACGTGGTACACAGGGCAAAGTATGCATGGTACTACTTTATCATGGAAACGTCAGTTATTTTGGCATGTCCAGTTGATGAATTAAACTACTATTACACTAATTTGTCTTTCTTCGACAATCACTGGTATTATTTGAGCTATTATATGTTTTACACTGATAGCACATTTACCTACCTTTACTAATGAAATTATTCCACTAATATGCGAGATCAAATTTTCATGGGTTAACAAAACACCCTTAGGATCACCTTAAAATAAAATGAATCAACATGTAAATAAGCACCTAGTAAAATTTCCAATCATTCAAAAAATACTCAATATAAAATCAATTGTAACTAAAGATAATCGAATATTTGAAACTAAAAAAATATCTGATATACACAGGTTTAATATAATTACATAAGTTTTTTTTTTAAGATATGGCATATAATAACTTATTTTATGGTTCAACACGATGGGCTTCTGTTTGGTGCTATTTGTATCTGTGGTAGTATATTTTATGGCGTACTTCAACAAACAAAAATTAGATATGTAAACAAAATTAATGTTCTAGCGACTGAAAGATCACTGAAAATATGAAAAGCTGATACAGGCAAAGGTTGTGAAATAAAAGAGGGTATAACGTTCTACATTTTTGCACCAACCGGGCTAATGAAGGTGAACATGCAGTGTACTGTGATGGAAATTTTGCTCTGACAGCGGCGTTTCCATCCACTCTTCGTCGAATTCCAAAATGCAAAGAGTTCTTTTAGGTGACCGCCAACGTGAATCCGACACCTCGGATTTTCCTCCCATCCGTACGACTAGACGTTGTGAATCCCATAAATATTGTATATATATAATAGAATGATGATTGTGTAATCCATCTCACCTGTTGTTCCACTTGTAAAACTAATAGTTGTCAGATCAGAAGGTTTTGGGGGCTACAAAACAAAATCATATGAAAATCATTGATTTCGATGGTATACTCCCGATTTCAGTTAATCCTATAATAATCAATCGTGCTGTTGCTTTATTTTACAAATTTAGCGATTAGAATCTATTGTGCTTATATTACAGAAATATAATAAAATTGTACTTACCACGGCATCGTGTAGATTCTTTGAACCGATATTCTAAAATTAAAGGTAGAACAACTATCATAAAATACAAGTACCAACAGGGACATCTATTATAAAATACAAGTACCAACACGGACAACTATTATAAAATACAAGTACCACCAGGGACAACTATCATAAAATACAAGTACCAACACGGACAACTATCATAAAATACAAGTACCACTAGGGACAACTATCATAAAATACAAGTACCACCAGGGACAACTATCATGAAATACAAGTACCACCAGGGACAACTATCATAAAATACAAGTACCAACTGGGACAACTATTATGAAATACAAGTACCAACAGGGACAACTATTATCAAATACTATCATAAAATACAAGTACCAACAGGGACAACTATCAGAATATACAAGTACTACCAGGAACAACCATCATCAACGATAATACCCATAGTACATAAACTGCAGGAGACTGTGATAACGTGCTTGTGAGTGATATTCCCCGGTAGAAGCAGTGCTTAATAAAGACTGGAAGTTTCCAACAAAAACAGTTATAAATACTATATTATTCTGAAAGACAACTGTCATCCAAAACAACTATACAAGCAAGGATAACTATTTTGAGGGATTTGTTTTGAAATAGATACTATTATTTCATATTTGAAAGTGTAGAGAATAAAAATGTAGTACATACCTCTATATCATGATATGTGTATAAAGTGATATCTTTAGTTTTAGCTAAATCCACATTGTTGTTTGACATTTCTTCTATAATTATAATTCTCTTTAAACTAGGCAGTTGATCTATCTGATCCAATAATATCTGAGCCTTTTTAGCTGTATCACAAACCACTGTCTCCATTTCAGCTAAAATCAGATAAATACATTATATTGTATAAAGCGTGTATGCATATGTATTGGCATTGAGTCTATCGATATCATCAAATCGTATGGTCTCTATTCTCCAGGACAGATTTGGAATAAGCATACGTTCTGAATAAAAGAGTAAAATCTCCGATATTAACACATTTCACTCCAGACTAAGAATATTAACATGTATTCGAGCGAATAATTATAGTGTTACAGTGATTGAATTTTAAGACATGTCTATTATTGAAAAGTCACAAAATATCAACCTCCCCCAGCCGTTAAATGTTTAATCCGACAACATGCTTCGTGAATGACACAACGTTTAGCTATATGGTTCAATACAGTGATCCTTGATAGCCAATGTTAATTATTCTGGATAGCAGGTAATCACAGGGAAACTGTAAACGGCCGAGTTCTTTAAATACGTACAGCTCCCGCATTAAATGAGAAATGACATCATTGTACGATTGGTGGATACAATATGTATAAATAAAATAAACCAAGTACGAACAATCCAAAATATAAGACAGAATTCGAAGTCCTAAAAAACGTTATAGGCAAAATAGTGTATTCAAGCAAAATAGTGTAATCAGCAAATGGACTGCTCCTCGTGTACACGGGTACTTACTTAAACTGATGATATATTTACAAGCATCTGGTCCCAGTGTATCATATAACGGTACTATTACCATACTGTACATATTACATGCTTGTTCTGTTGTTACCCACTGAAACTTACAAACAGCATCTTTATATAACATGCAAACAGCATCTTTATAAAACAAAACAACATCTTCCTAATAACACAAACAAAACTGTACAGAACGTACATTTGACCAACGGGTGTTAAGAAACAACATACATTATTTGTGTCGAAGTCTCTAGATTAAAAGTACAAGGTGACGTTTTGTAACATCATCCGGTATCACATATAACAAGACAGGAATAGAAGGTAAACATGCTTTAATCAACTAGATAAGTTTTTGACAAACTGTCTGGAAAAGAATGTGATCAGGCGTTCGGGGGTGGAGGGATGGGGGGAGGGTGCAGCGTGTGAAGCTTACTAGAAAGACAAAATAAACAATGTATCCAGATTCTACAAACTTCGATGAGTTTTATAATGTCTGCTGGTTGGTCCAGTTCAGTATTATCAACAAAGTTTCTTTCATTACTTATTTGGAGAAGATCCTCCAGTCTGTCGGGAGACATAGATGCTCTTAAGTGAGTATCTTTGATCATTAATATGTGTGCGTTCGCATAAAGCAATCGATACAGGTGCAAATAAATCAGGATACAAATTTTACGGTCATCCTTACTGAAAAACTTCAAAGGATTAGGTAAACAGACCCCACGATTACGATTCTCTATCCGATTCCCCCCTGTTTTATGTCCAGAATACTGGTCCAGTTTCATGCACAGCAGTTTTATTTGATGGATATCTTTAATGAATCATGTTGTCAGATTGTAACGTGTGATCTTGTTGAATAGTTATATTATGCTGATATAAGAAACATGAAGTCCAAAGTATACATATTCATTCCTAACAACCATTCAAATGTTTTGTTATATTGTGTGAATCAAGAAAAGAAAATCAGTACTAAGACGTGACGTTACCATAAAACTTCTCAACTCACCTCTACTCTATTTGAAGCATAAATTCCTATCATTGTGTCAGTACCAGGTGAAATTCCAAGCTCAATCATTCCAGATCCAAACGCATGTGCTCTTTCATAAACCTGTAAAAAAAGGATTTCTTTTATGGGTTTGAAAAGACCAACGAAAAGACCAGTGATGACAATATACATTTAAATTAGATCTGAGCGTTTGAAAACAAACTGACTTCCCGGAACATCTGAAAACCCTTTGAATGACCCGGTGCTATAGGTATACTTTTTCTCGCGCCGTATAATTGATTAAATCCAATGAATAAAAATATAATGCGAAAGTATAAGATACCGGCAAAGATAACACAAACGAGTTACGGTAATATTATGCTGATCTGTTATTTTAGTTTAGTTTCGATTACTTTTATTGGTAAGTTTTATAATATTACTAGATACATTAGCTATATGAGATATTATATAACGTACCTGCTGGTATGTCACCCATTCATATTTTCCACCTGGATCTTTTCTAGTTCCCAAGCATTTAGCATGACCTGAAATAGTCAAGTAAATGCCTCTCCTTTATTTGTTTCAAATTAAACATACATTATGCAAGAGCTAAATCTACCTACTGCAGGTCGTTCTTTAGGCCTGAAAATGTTTTCTAAATTATTAATTAGACATTAATTAACTTATCCAGGTCATAATCAACTCTCGATGGCATCGGATTTTTCCGATATTAAATAGACTAGAACAGTTTAGCCATATTTTGATTTAAACTTAAAATGAAGGAGCGAGACAGCTTCGAAAAACCAGTACGGTAGTTGAAATTATTGCACACGTCTTGTCAAACCATCAAAGGCTAATATCTTCGCTCGCAATAGAGTAATTTGAATGAAATTTTCAAATTATTCATTTTACATTATATATTCTCGAACTATTATAGCAAGAATGGCTAGCTCTTTATCTAAATCTTACATAATGCATCTTTAAGTTTTCAGTAGCACTATAATTACTAAGATATACATCTTATCGATTAATAAGTATTAATGGTTAAACCAAATCTTATCGCATTGACAGCGCCTTCATTTTATATAAAACGCATTTGTCAACAAGTGCAAAATGCGTATACTGTACTCCCCGGGGATATAAATACACAAGATCAAATCGTAACAAAATACAATTTAATATTAACATACGTGATAATCTTAGTCCTCTCTGAAAACATTCATACACTGTCTGTACATCTTCAAATAAATAGCCTAAATAATCATCATCTTTAAACTGGGGCAAACGTCTTCCTCCATCCTGGAAGAAAAATGAATGTTGTGTTTGATTACTTTTTGTTATTAGATGCTTTTGACACATGTGGAATCACATTTAAAGTCTATTGTGGATTTCTTCTAGGGTTTGTAATTTCTGTTAAGCAGGCAGAAATTCATAATAATCTGTTCTTTTATGACCACACTAAAAGTTAATATAATATTAATCAAAAGTAACATTTGACTCTTTACATTTAGTCCCCAATAAGTTGTGTTTTTATAACCACATTAGAGATAATAATGTAGCGAATTTGATCATGCTTAACTGCCAATCAATATAGATAACAAGAAATGCCAATTAATGAATCCTTCTCATTGTAATGGCGGTAGCACGAGTTTCTAATCTTAATGGAACCCCTTGGATAATATAAAATACAAAGCATATATTTATAAAAAGCCCATGCTGCCCATTTCAACAGAAATGTTAGAAAAAATAAACAACACCTTTTTTTTAAAAATCCAATAAGTCTGCTAATGTTATTTATTTAAGGACATTTATGATATTAAAACCAGCCCAAGCATGTTGCGAAGACCGCGCAGCTCATTGTGATCTATTAAGATATTTATTTGAATAGAAATATAACACAACCTAGTATTACTGAATACAGACTTATATATTACACATGTTCATGCACACCATTATCTATTATTCATTTACCACTTCTAAGGTAACGTTAAAGTAACAGTGAGGTGTCCGGTGAATGAAGATTATACAAAAGCGTATACACGTGTATACACAAGGCTTAAGTGTTTTGCCAGTCAATTTCTACACACGCCCGATAAAAGCAATGGCTGTCGAAATGATATCGGAGAAGAGCCCTCTTCAGGAGGTGTCACTCACCACACCCTCTCCCCCACACTTCTCAAGACTCAAAATATTATTTTAAACATTACCTTTGTTTCAACAGATTGGCACGCTAGATCATATGGTAATTTGGGTGATTGTGGTTTGGCATACAGATAGTATGCCAATGCTGATGCGCCAACCAGAGTTCCTGCTACTGCTATTTTACCATTGGTTGTTGCTAATAATTTATTACTTGATTCTATTATGTCATTCATCCTATCACAGTCACCAGTGCGATGATTTTATTCCCTTTTGGCTGGTAGATCTGATTACAAACTAACCTGAATAATACAGGATAGACAATACAAAATAAGTATCCTTATACTAAACATCCTGACCATGCGAACAGTGAATATAGTATATCAATAGTTTCATCTACTGCCAGGAGTAACACCAAAGTTCACAGTACAGGCTTATAATAAACCTTTGGTCTTTGTACCTTAACATTCCTTTTTTGCATAGGTATAGCAATAAAACACGAGATAAAATAATATATACCTTTCTAAGGACCCGCCGGTCGTGTGTAAGCATGCAAAGCCAACCATTCAGATATAAGTTTATTAGATATTTGTATTTTAAAACAAGCTAAATGTCCACCAAAACTAAAACATGGGTTGTAAGTTCACTGTGACAGTTTTTACAATAATTTAAAATTAGCTTACAGTTGTTCATGTTTGATTGCTTACTTCCGTAGTAAAGGTCATTACGGTCTACTACATGTCGACACATAAAGACACAAGTTAATAATTTATGAATAACCAATACATGACCCGGTGTCACGTGTGCAATACTATAAGCACAAAAAGTTATACGTCCGTTGGTGAAATATATATAAATAACGATTAATTAACTGGGCCTAATATATAAAGACGCATTTGAATACCCAAATATATGAACATAAATATGTTAAGATGCAGAACGACCTAATTGTTAAAGTAACATTTTAAAGGAGTCAAGTCTTTAACTCGGTATCACCCACAGTCTTCGACATTGCAAACACGTTTTATTGGTCAATTTAAATCAACATTGATGTTGTTATCTCACCGTGAAAAGTTAGGCTTCTGATATCCAATTTTCTAAGACAGAGTGATATCTTAAAATTGGCACACGAATCGTGTGCCAGAATGTTTTGGGGTGTCAGTTGTATGAAGCGACTCGATGACCGAGGCTAAACATATCCCATGTAGGAGAACACAACCGGTGTAGACTGAAATAATCAGACTCTTCGCGTATTTCGCCGAACATAACTGATTAGAAATTACAATGAAAACAGAAACGATCGAATGTAAATCAGTTTATATATATATTCATATTACATTAATTTATGCGTTGCGACCCATTTGTGTCCATTTCTAGGTGCCAAAGAATAGCGATTTAGCTCCTTTAAATAGAGCTTTGATCTGTATATTACTTACTTATTATCTTTTTATAGATATCTATATCATATTATAGCATTAACATGTATCCGATGTCTGTGCCCTCTCGTAGTATTACTAATAGCATTGTTTTAATCAAAATAGCTCAACATCATTATCGTCATCATCTTCATCATCATCAATTATAAACTGAACTGAGAAATCAATACTTACTTGATTCTTGAACACGAATTTGTAAAATAGTTTCAGCTTTCACGTGCACTGTTGGTGACATATATAAGACACGCCCATGTCTGTTCGTCCTAAAGTAGCGTCTGTGATAATGAAATGGGGGTTATGAAATCGACACTTGTACATATACTCATATAGATAAATAAAACCTCGTGAATATTACCTTGCTCTATATAATACGTAGAGAAGTAGACGATTGTGAAATACGCATTGTCACTTGCCAGTCGTATCATAGTAAGTTAAAGGGAGTATGCTTCGAGTAATATTACAAAATTTAATTTAATTGTATTATGTTTTTTAAAAGTTCGCGAGGCAGGGTGTACCAACCCTTTCATAAACACCTGGTACCACTTTCCATAATGAGTTTTTTTCCATTGCCTGTCCTTACTCGATTTTACAGAATTGGTCGTCTGCTGGTTAGAGTCGGGTTTTTATACGCCCACATTTTCATGTTCCTTTCGATATTCGCGCATATTGGAACGTAACTTCCTGAATTATGGCCCCTGATTGTACGAAAAATCGCGATTTTAGCTTGTGGACCCTATAGAGGTCATAATTTTTATCCGATTTTAAAAAAAACGTATTATTACATCACCGTTAGACCCTAAGGACGACTGAGTTTGAATTTCGTGAAAATCGGCAAAAAACTGACAGATAAATGGCCACCCTTCGTTCTCAAATACCGTAAAAATATGGTATATCATGGTTGTGGACCCTATAGAGGTCTCAATTTTTATCAGATTTTGTTGAAACTTGAAATATAAGTTTATAACCCAACGATCTCGGTTCCTGTCGATATTCGCGCATATCGGAACGTAACTTCCTGAATTATGGCCCCTGATTGAACGAAAAATCGCGTTTTTAGCTTGTGGCCCCTTTAGAGGTCATAATTTTTATCCGATTTAAAAAAACGTATTATTATATCCCCGTTAGACCCTAAGGTCAACTGAGTTCGAATTTCGTGAAAATAGGCCCAAAACTGACAGACAAAATGGCCACCCTTCGTTCTCAAATACCGTAAAAATATGGTATATCAAGGTTGTGGACTCTGTAGAGGTCACAATTTTTATCAGATTTTGTTGAACCGTAACTTCCTGGATTATCGCCCCTGATTGTACGAAAAATCACTTTCTTTTTAGCTTGTTCTCTATCCATCTCTCGAAAATGTGGCAGCCACTGGTTGTTTTATCATACTACCTAATAAGTCCATATTTAAATTTAGAAATTAAATGTTGATTTCAGATGTATCTATTTGTTTCATATCTAAGTATAAGATTTATTTTTATATCTGTCTGGTTTCCTCCCATTGCTAAAGACCACTACTCTCAAGCGAATTATTGGAATAAAACCAAAAAATATGTTCGTCCCGAAATGACATAGTTTGTGTCGGCTCTACATTAAACCCTATTTCTGTCTCTATCTTTATACGAAAACTTGCCCGTTTTTGTTTAATGGGTCGTGTGGGCGCCGCCTACTATGTAAATAAAGCATACAATACTTGCCAATATATATACTGAATAAACTACGTTAATGCGTAGGGGATGTAACTTTTTATAGATTGGTTCCTGAATCCCATTTTACTCGTAAAACAGTCAAGGCTAAAATAATGTACCTAGTTTAACGGCACCCCCTCCCCTCCACTACGCTTTGTGCCCCTATGACATCTTTAGAATTAGATAGAACATTTAATTAAAATTCATGGTGCTGGCCGTCCTTTTAAGGTAACATATATCATGCAAATTCATCTCACCAAAGCGTGTTATATGAATGGAGCGATGTTGAAAACGAGACGGGAGAAATGACCGGATATCAGATAGTGGAGTTATTGGCCTAAGACATTGTAAAGTCCATATGAAATATATAGATCATGGCTATGGTATATGTGTGGCGGAGTAGTTTTATCAATAAACACTTATGACTATTTATGGCAAATAATAAAACATTTATACATTAGTGATAATGTCGTATATCTTATCTAAGAGTTCGGGAAGACCACTCCAAAAAATAACATTACGATAACATGCGTTATGTCAACGTTCAGCAATAGAGACTTTTGGCAAACGTAAATTATTGGTCCGTATTGCGTATCCGTAACGATTTTGTGTGTGATGTCATCAATGCGTGTGTATTTCTCATACGTGAACCGGCACACGGATACGGCAGCACGTATCGAACAGCTTTCATACGGAAAAGGTCCGTATAATGTCGTCGTCTTTTTACCGCTGAAATGTTGTGCTGTGGCGTTTTTATGAATGTGTATCCTAGAACACGAAGGTGTATATTTGACGTGATTTTAACCATGGCAAAGACTGGAATTAAATTATTACTTTTGATGAGCTTTTCGCGGAATTTTCATATTTTTCCTGTCTGTCTGCACGCTGGTTGATCTACGTGCTAAATTTAGGGAGGTGGGACCTTGCAAATCTGTAAAAGGGGTATATTATTTCTGAAATGATACATTCATGAAGATTTTTAATAAGATTCGACACTAATTTTTTTACAAAAATTGTAAATAACTCAGCAACTGTCGAACGACTTCACTCCCTTCAGTAATTTGTAGGCTAGGTACTTGACTAGTACTGATGTTGATCTTGGTAGATAACTGCCATTATGCTGTAATAAACTACGCTCAGCTCAGCTACCCATACGTACGCGGCGCGAAGTCTGCCAAAACTCTAAAACTAAATTAACGCAACGTATCACGTGACGATACGGATACGTTATACGGATGGGAAAAATTCCACTTGCCAAAAGTCTCTAATGATACGATAATGTTACGTAGATGATTTAAGCCCACCGATCAACTTTGCCGAAGTCAGCCAAATACTGTTTCTGTCTAAAATTGATGTCAACTGTTAGCTTAGAAAACATCAACTACTGTTAATTAAATTGAATACATATAAGGGTGGGATGGAACCACAGTTTTTCAGAATTATATGGTTTTCTTATGGCGTCACGCAGGTTATCCACAATACACCGTCTGCCATCTTCTATGGCAAGACTTGTACCTTGTATGTATGAATTGGACACCTATCCTCTAAAGTCACATTCAAGTGACCTAGCCTATAATATCTAATTCTATTATTAATGCCGTAAGATTTATGGCGTCGCGACAAATATTGTGGCTCGAATTAAAAAAAATCCGCAAGACTTATTGCATTGTATCTAAACATTTATAAAACAAAATCAAATAATTTGGTCCATAGACGTACGGGCAGATTATCCTTTAGGCAGGTTGGGGTTAGGGGTGGGGATGGGGTCGGGGCTGTATCATTTATGCCCGAAAAATAGGCCTACGACGGCAGCGCCCGAATAATGAATTCACATAACGTTACAACAAAATAACCATGTCGAAATCTCGACACGCCTAGTGTAGCGAATTTTCTGGAATTACAGTTTTAATTTGAGAACAAGACACACTGGATCAAATTTAGAATTGATGATATCGTCAACGTAAGGGTATCTAATCCAGCCAGTGGCGGCGCCGGGGGGAAGGGGGGGGGGCGAGGTCCCCAATGGACTTGCTACTTTGGCGCTCACAAGGGGAATTCGTTAATTCGTTGAGGTTCGCAAGTCCGTTCGTTTGAACGGATATAAACTAGTGATCAGGCGACGAACGGTATCTGGGCAGATCTATTTATCTCGACGATCGGTGCCTGACAGAATACTGTAAGACAGCATTTCCGGCAGTCCATTTTTCACAATTTTCTGGGGGAGGACTCCCTACATTGACGCTCGTGAGTGGGCTTCGTCGTGATTCGCAAGTCCGTTCGTTTGACACTTTACCTCATCGACCAGTGCCTTAAATACTACCAGGCTGCATTTCCGGCAACCTGTTTTTCAAAATTTTCTGGGGGAGGCCCCCTACCCCTAGTTGAAGCTCGTGCCTTTGCCCCCTTAAACTTGGACTTTGCCCCTCCAATCACCGACGGCTGGCGCCGCCACTGAATCCAGCATCTGACTATGGTTCTGTAGGAAAGTTTGAGTAGGAAGAATTTTTTTGAAGAAATGTTTAGTGGGTGCCGATGTAAGTATTTTGAACTTGGGCGTACACTCACCACGTGATAGGTTATTCCACAATGACGTCATCAAATATGGCCGCCGATATTATATTTATTTTATCCTACCCGCTCTAGTTTTCCGTCGATTTCTATGAAATAAAGGCCAGAATGAAGCTGTTTATTTGAACTGATTTGAAGAACATATTTTTGGTAATTATATTTTATTAATTTTCAAGAAAACACATACCACATTTTTAAGCGAAAACGTGGAAAAAGTTAAAAAAAAATATAAGAAAATTATCATATCATTAGAGACTTTTGGCAAGTGGAATTTTTCCCATCCGTATAACGTATCCGTATCGTCACGTGATACGTTGCGTTAATTTAGTTTTAGAGTTTTGGCAGACTTCGCGCCGCGTACGTATGGGTAGCTGAGCTGAGCGTAGTTTATTACAGCATAATGGCAGTTATCTACCAAGATCAACATCAGTACTAGTCAAGTACCTAGCCTACAAATTACTGAAGGGAGTGAAGTCGTTCGACAGTTGCTGAGTTATTTACAATTTTTGTAAAAAAATTAGTGTCGAATCTTATTAAAAATCTTCATGAATGTATCATTTCAGAAATAATATACCCCTGTCTTTTTATATATAAAGAACTATCTGTGCATACTAATTACTGATGTCAAGCATAGTTACCGCAAGATGTGATGTCAAAATACATAGTTACCACAAGATGTAGTATCTTCTGACTGTGAAGAAATACACCGAGCGGAATCTCTCACACGAATTCAAAATGAAATTAGCAAACATATACCTAGCGTGAATAAAACCTATATATATATATTTATATGTATCACGATAATAATTGTTACCTTTATAATAGAAGCATTTTAAGACATGTTATTACCGTAAAGATACTAAAATATTGCAAACTGGGTCCGCAGTAAAGGGTACGTTCACTTTGCATAAAACAGTATTCAAACCAGCTTTGATGGCAAAATGTTTTTTATTTCTCAGAATCAAGGGATGAATAAACTACTAGACTGCAAAATTTCATAAGCCGCCTATGTTGTATTGTATTCAAGGCGCCTATTTCACACAAAATATTATTTTATATCCATGTGGACCTTCCATATTAACATCTATCTGCATAATAAGTTTACGAAAATATGCATTTAAACAACATTTAGATATTATCTACCACCTGTAGCACTTTCCCCTCCCTTTTTAGGGATGTGTTGAACAAGAGTATAGTAGTTTCAGGGCTCCCAAAACTAGTTTAGGTTCTTGCGTAATTTGGTGTCCCCGTTTAATCATGAATTTATGTCGTTTTTGATGAATTGCTAAGGTTGCCGCACGTTAGATGTGCAGAAGCTAGAAACACCAAGATATACTCTATAAAGCACAATTTACATTAAAAACGAAACTGAAAGCGAAACTTTTACTTTCGTCTTCGTTTTATTAGGCGCTAAAAATCTGGAAGTTTTTCGATATTTTTTGGCAATTGCGGACCCTTTTCCAGTTACCCCAGATATACGCCAAGTGACGCCAGAGACTATGTGTCTTTCAAAACGTTTCGTCGAGTTGCTTCTCCCAGGGCCTTGATGTCGCTGTCGCGGGCCATGAAATAAAGTCCACCTTATGTCTTTTGATGGATTAAATATCTTTAATATGTGCCGATTCAGAATCCGGATGATGCCAATACAAATTAGTATTCCAATATGACGACTTTAATCAAAATATGGCCACATTATTATGATAGGAAATTTCGATGTTAGCAATGTTGTGGCATAATACGTCAAATAGTAGGTTTTTGGGGTAGGCAAATTAACATTTGAACCCCAAAATGTGCCATGACCGAACAAAGCACCAATATGGTACTCAAATTTGACAAAATATCTATGTTCAGTAGACCATGGAAGAAAATATTACATTTAGCAGTCCAGATATTAATTCGGCGACGTCGAAAACCTACACCATCACATTACTACAATTAACATTGAAATGTCCTTCCGTCTTCATTATCCCAGTTGGGGCAGAACTGTAGGATGTTAAACCCCATTTCATTTCGAAATGTCCCGCCAATCTTGACCGCGAATGCGAATATAGTGGTCATATTGGAATAATTTTGGGTGGAACATATTTTATGTTAATACCTGAATTAGGAGACCACGAAAAACTATACAGGGGACTTTATGATTTTCTCTCTAAAATGGGTCTCATTTTGAATTTGGCTTCTTAGCGGAATTTGCCGTCACTTTTGGGGGCGGGGGGATGTCCAAGCTCTTTGGATTCAGCGAGTCGTATTCTTATAAAAAACAACCTTCAAACCGACGTCTGAGATAAATAACCAGAAAATGTATGGGGACAAATATAAGAACTTCTTCAAAATGTGGCTTAACATTACTAGAAAGATGATATAATCAAATTTAAGGATGAAGCCGAATGAGAGCGACGATGTAGTGGCCAAATAGATAAAACAAAAGCGACATTAAGGTGCCCAGCGACTCAATTTTTGACACCCATTTTGTGCTTGTACTGTGGAAGTGCATTGAATGATGCATGGATAGGGTCTACCGATTTTCAACTTTTTGGACTCTCTGGTATTCTGTTCCTATCCGTCCACATATGATCTGGACCCACAAAACGCCACTATAAAGTAATGCTTTTGTGGACACCACCAGGAGGTGCTGTTCACATTACCGCGAAAGTTGGTTTTGTAACACATCTCGGGTACATCTACGAAACTGGTGTCAAAATATAAATCTTTCTGATGATTTTTGAGGCAAATGTCAAAATTGATCAACCCCACCCATTCACCTTTTGGTTCACTACTTCTTCAATAAAAGACCTCTTGGCGGATGAAATTCGATATATGAGTAGGTTGGTGTGCCATTGCAGGGCACATTTTCCCTCATAGCACACTAAGGGAGCCAAATCGGAGCAGAACAATAGCATGTATAACCTTATTTTATTTCATTTCTGCAACAATTGAAATGAATCCGTCTTCCTGCAGCTACTCTGATAGTATCACCTATCGGCAATGCAGCAGTAGTTATACTTTTTTTTATCCCACCCCCTTCTCCATAATTGTAACACATTGTTCTTCTTTATCAACCCAACATAATGGGCATGCACTCTTTTCCGCATCAGCATTCGTTTCTGCTGTTAAGATGGTGTAAATGGACTAATTTTGGAAGAAATGTGACGTCTGATATGGCGTTGTGACATCGCAGCGACGTCATGACGTCATAGAGACATAACGTCGCAATTTTTGGACTCGCTGATACCGACTTCCTATCTGTCCGCAATATATTTATGGTGTCTAAATCCAATAGTTTTAGAGATATTTGCAATTTTTGACCGACAGCCGCCATCTTGGATTTGGCCACGCCCAACGTCCTTATTTGGACTACGGTTTTGGTAAACTTTCTTTTCCTTACTTATTACATCATAATGAGTCAATAGAAATAAAAAAAAACCTTTTGTTGCAATTTGTTCTACGTCAAACGTTAGTTTGACCAGCCTAGCATGTCATTAATCAATTTATATATTTTTTTTCATCATTTGGCCACTGCCCGAAAATTTGATGATCGGCTGAAAAAAGATTGTTTTTTCCGGGCTCCGGGGCTCGTACACGTATGAATTGGTCAGGAAAGTTTTTTTCATAAATATAATTTTAGGGCAAATATAGTCTGGATGTGCGAACGAAATACTATAGGAGGTGTGACATGTCCTTCACACGTGGTTAATAATAGAATAAATGCCGTACCGGTACGTCCAGGTGCATCAAAGTCGTGTTTTGATATCTAATTATGGATATTTCAGAATTCAAAACATTTTTCAACGTCTTTGCTTTACATTAATTAAACTATTGGATTTGGGTACATGTTTTACTTGGAGGAATCCATGTGAATTCGTGTCATTATACTAATTACATGGATCTTTCGAGTCGCTGATGGCGAGAAATCTAAAGGGACAATAACACTCTTGCTGGCTTAACAGCTCCAGAAAATAAAAAAATAGCCTTATTCTACATGTAAGTACTAGATGTGTTAGTGTCCTACCTGTTGTGTAAATTATCCATTAAATCCTATTTTAATTGTCCAGAGGGTTCAAAAATATTTTTAAATCCAAGTCACATTTGAAAAGCTTTACGTCAGGCTTTTCAAATCATTTAGTTGAATTTTTCCAATTTTTTTAAATTAGGTGTGTTAAAGATGAAATTTGTATCATCAATTAATTGGAATATTGTAAAATAGTACAATTTGTTGACCAGAATAAAGATTGGGACATATTATTCAGTTACAACAAGAGTGGTATTGAGCCTTTAATACGACGTTTATGTATTGTTTAATGGTCGAGACCAAAACACTGAGTAATATATTGTAATAACAAGAGGGCCGTATTACGCAGTGTCTTGCTCCAGACCATTAAACGACTTAAAATACAGACACTCCGCACGTGCTTTTACAGTGAAATACGTCACGCGAGTCCAGTATTTCACTAGTATAAATAATATACGATTGGCAAGTTTCCCGTACGATTATTTGAAATAATGGTACGCCAACATCAAAGGGTGACGTCACATCTGTATTTTAATTGTGTTGTTTTGTGCTGCACTAATAGTACAAGGACAGCGTACATAGTAACCGGGTTAGTGCTAAATGATAAGGCCAGCTCCATTTTTCGTCATAGGTCACGAGATGTAAACCAACCACAACCTACAATCTTTCCAACAATCACGTGCTCTAACCTTGTTTACATCTCAGCGACCTTGACGAAAATTGAGCTGGCCTTAACAAATAGATTTAGCCTATATAGTAACCGCGAGTTGCCACACAAGATAGCAACAGCGCAATGAATTATCTGTAATTCCTGTCTACGAAGAACCATCTATAGAAGAGGACTCATCCAAAATTATGGTGGGATATCACCTATAGGTATATTAAACAAACACGAGTTAAAACGGTCTGATTCTACTTTAGGGAAAATTGTGAAATTAGTTTATTGAAATCCATGTGGCTGTGAAAGACAAATATAACCCCACAAACCTCGGTCATATATGAATTAACCCTTGGACTGCGGAATTGCCGTCCCTCGTATAAAATTATAATTGAATTTATGAACCTTAAAAAAGTGTTGAAAATGAACAGATTTTCGGATTTTTTTTTGTTCAAATTTCGCAATATGTTTGTTTGATCGGTTTTCCCCAACAAGAAACACCAGCCCCTCACCCACAAAAGAAAAGAATAAAATTGTCAAAGTACCGAACAAAGATCTGTAATTATCAGTGAATATGACCCCAACCGTATTCAGTTTTTAAGTTAATTGGTAGTATTTATACACAAAGAAATAACCAATAGTATGCTGTACCAAAAATATATATTTATTACAAATTTTTATATATACAAAAAATATAATTATGAAATGACAGTTGTAAAGATGGTGGATGATATTCCTTTTGTCTCCATCTTGTGGTTTCATTACCAGGAAATCATTGCATGACGCAATCGAGTTCAATAAAGATGGAGCTTTTACGATGCTGAAATTTCGACGGGGGCGGCGGGTATTGGGAGTCCATTTATATTTGCACATAGAGTCTACGGACTTACAGTTATCAGATTGGCTATTATAGTTTTATTATTATGTCACAATAACGACTGAAACGTCACATAGCATCGGTTATCTACTGCTTTCATTGGTCTGCCAAGTTCGCTTGCCTACTAATCAGAACAATGAGATTTTTTTCAGGCAGACCTGTATCACTGACTTTCCGTGGTCTACTCCATACAATAGTAAGTTCTTCTAAAACAAATATATTCTAGACGCTTGTTCACCTTTGAATTAATTATGTTAATTCTTAATAGATTTTAACAATTATAATGATTACCATATAATTTTAAGAATTTGTCTAAAAATTAATTACCAAGACATAATAGTCTAAGAATTTTTCTAATAATTATTGAATATGACACATTAGAGTATACATTTTTCTAATAATTAATGATTATGACATAATAGGATAAGAATTGGTCTAATAATTAATTACTATGACATATAGTATGGCAAGAATTTGTCTATATACAAATGAACATGGTTATCTTCTTGTGGATAGTCGCTTTGAGCAACGTTTCGGTGTCTCTTCTGACACAAATTTCCATGACTATTAATCTTGGTGTTTTTGATAAAGAGCATCTATTTCTCCCTTGAAGTTTTTCCTCAGAGCGGGTCTTTTGTTTTTAAATGTGGGGGTGAGTAAACCATTTTCTATGGAGAACAATTCTGGATGGAGATATACATCCTTTATCTGTAAAAAAAAACCCCAACATATAAATAACATAATACAGAACGTCTATAATAATACATATGAAATTATAAGCTATTTGAATTATCTGTGTAGATTATAAAGCAACACCAGAAATAAAATATCTTAAATAAATAAAGTTATTGACCGAAAACTGTATGGAAGACATTACAGGTCTTTATTAAGAGTTATTAATTCTTAGTTCAAGATTCAGTTATATCATTACTCAGTTATGTCTTTGATCTTGCATCAACTTAATGAGCCCAGAACTAAAGAATTAAGGATTCTTAATAAAGATCTGTTATGTCTTTGATAAAGCTATGTCAATTTTCAAAGCAATTGGGGCTGATCATAGATTAAGGATTCTTTATAAAGACCTGGAATGTTTTCCATAAAGCCCTGTCTGCGTTCAAAGCAATTGGCGCTGATTATAGATTAGTATATGTATGATATTTTGTTATACCCTCAATAAACAGGCGACTAATCGAACTGTAAAGTAACACATAATGCTTTGGATATTGTCAAATATTTATTAACAAAGCTATATATGTAATCAATGTACTGTCATGTTTTTACCTGTTCAAAGCCCTTTAACTGTGCATCTTTACCACACTTTAATAAATCTTTTAACACGATATCTTTAACTTCCTGTAATAAGAAAATAAACAGGCTATATGTCTCTTGTTTAAGCATGCATTATGTAACAGCTAAATCTGCTTATTGCAGGTCTTTTTTCGGCTTCACATGTTATATAAATTATTATTTTGATACTTATCTACATGACAAGCCCGCAATCAATTCTATATGCCAGCCGATGGTTTGGGTATTAATTGGATTTGATTGAAATTTTAAACATATTCATTTTCAACATCTTTATTTTTTAAAAAATAAAAAACTAGTATAGCCACAACGACCAGCTCTCTATCTGAACCTTACAAAATGCATATTTAATGAGCAGTAATTATATAGGTATACACTTTATTCCAAAAATGAAGTCACGATGGCTCAGTGATTAAGGCGCTGGTTCGATAACCTAAAGGTCCTGGGTTCGATCCCAGTGTTGGCTGAGAAGTTCCAGTGTTGCTGGACGGAGAGTCGGGCAAAAAACAGCGTCTAGTCGTTCGGACGGAACGAAAAAACTGAGGTCCCATGTACATCATGGCGAGGACGTAAAATAACCCTTGACAGTTGGAATTCAATTGCTGGCAGGGCGAAATTATAGCACACTGTACATATACGGCCGATGCGCGTCTTCGTTATCCGGGTTGTCCATTTACAGAGGCGTGTCCATTGTTCAATAGAGAAAACTTGAAAAGCGCAATAGAAACGTTTGTTTTAGTATATTATCGAGCTATATAAATATAGGATTATTATATTATTTTATTTCAGTTCATTTCTGGTTCAAGAATACGCCCCCGATTCTTCACACGAAATAATAGTTCTGGGGCTATAGCAGGGCAACCGGTAACACATTTTAGATTGTCACAAAGGGTAGGGGATGTATAATTATTATTCCTTTTTACTATTTTTATGTTATACTGATTTAGTATCATAATATATTCTTACTTGAGATTGTGACAGTTCTTTTAAGGAGGTTGGTTGGTTGTTATTTTTAGCCCATTTTAAAATATATTCTTCGTCTAAAACAGCTACAGCCATCAAAAAATGCTGAAAGAAACAACCAGAACAGATAATTTATTAACATTAAAGTCGCCATAAGCCTAGAGAATCACTATGTTGGAATTTCCATGATAACTTTTATTTTGACTTCCGCTTCGTGTATTTAAATTGTTCAGCCAAATTCATCATTAGCCAATTACATATAAACCCTGGAAAACCGTATTGTTCCAAATCTATGCTACAGATCTTTATAACACCGCTAATACAAATTAAGTCAATAACTAGACTGGTTAACGGGGAAAGTACGGCCGTCTTGTTTGGACCATAATAATCTGACTTCACGTTGGGTTCCTAAAACTAGCAGTCTTTGTGTCATATTGGTTAATTAAATATATATAACCCTGGAAACCCATATTCTTCTAAATCTATGTTTATATATCTTTATAACATGGCTGATACAAATTGTAGAACAGCATAAAATTGCCACACTTTAACGTTCAAACACCATTGTTAACACACACTCAACATATAATGACTAAATCAAGCTGAAAACCACACAAGTGTTATCTGCATTCTGAAATGATATCTGTAGATATATAGATATAAGGATTCCTTAATATAACAAAAACTTTCAAGCTCTTCTGACTAACATGACATGATGTCTAAAGAAGTCCATAAGTGTGATATCGTAGACAAGATGTCTAAGCCAGTTCCTATCTTTTAAAGCCAGGAAGCGCACCCTTGGCTTAACTTGGATGAAACAAACCCTCCAGATAACGATGTATTCTTTACTTGATTGGTCAGTAAACCGACAAATATATTCCAGTGCTACAATCGTGACCTAAACATTGTTTTAAGAAATCGCCTCCCGCTATGGCTAATGATTAACTGTCTCGGGACTCGTAATGTGTACAAAACTATGACTAAATATGTAGTAGAAGACAATGGACTAGGAAATATACCATGTTAATTTACCCTAAATTTGATCTGTAAACATGAAGGGCGATTGACTTTTTGTCTTCAGCAATTACATTAATAGATATATATCCATTGTTATAATATTAATATATCACCTCGTGAAATGATATATTAACCACACATCTTAATGGCCCTGATACACCAAGTAGGTCAATCGGTGGTGTGATAACACTGACTTACATCCTTGATACCCAAGTCCATATTGTCCACCACTAAACAGAGAAGATGATTAGTCTAACAACCTTTGATCAGATACACGCACAGCCGAAAGAAAGCGCTTTCTACCGGTTGTAGGTCGCTTAGTTTGAATTTAGACGATTTAAATATAACGCAAATTCATTTGTTGCAGATTTATTTTTAGGAAGAAAATGATTGACGGAATAAGATTTTTTGAAGTGTTAGTGTATTTATTTTTTTTTTCTTTCAATATCTAGCATGATATTTACATAGCGATATCACCACCTTTGATTAACTTTAATGGCTCATATTTTAATAGTTTGTCATTAATAAGATACGTGTACAAACCTAATAAAACTGACCTCCTTTAACACATTGATTACGAGGTTATCGACCTGACATTCAGTCCATGCAAGTTATAACTGATACCATCTGCAGTGACATTCGGTCCATGCAATTATATAACCGATACCTTAAAAATCGTATGCTAGTAGTCTGATAAATCTCATACCCTCCCCCATAAGACAATATATCAGGTAATTCGTTTGTTTCCAAAATGCAACCCGTACTTACCTTTAAACTATCCCCTTCAATAAACACTTGTGCAACAAAACTACTTCTCTGATAAATATTCTCTATTTTTTCAGCTGCTATATATTCTCCCTGAAATAGATATTTGTGCCGTTTCCATTGAAAAGTGGAGAAATTATATCGCTGTTTAACCTAATATAATGAGAAGTCTGTATAGATAAGATATTCAATAAGGGATTTACCTTTTTAGTATCGTCTCGGTTGACACAAACAACATATTATTCTAGCTAATGAAACAAGCACAAACCTACTATATGGACAAGGAACCCAGTAAGTCCTTCAATCAATGCGATATTGTCCAAGAAACAGTTCCATGTCTAACTAACTTGGATTGTGTAATATTATTTGGTAATTTATGCGAAATTGTATTAGACGAATATAAGTGCACCAGAGAACATGATTTATAATTTGATAAATACATATGTTATCTGCCTTCTCCATTGTCAAAATATTGTCGTTGCGACCATGTTATGTCATGGACTAATTATTCGTTTCAAATTCATAGACAAGGAATGGAGCAATATATGATGGTTGAAACAATATGTTTATCTTTGCAAATTATTGATTCCAAGTTCATAACTAATAATATAAAATGTATGCTGGTTATTTTGATACGTAACAGAGCTATGGTTTAGTAAATTGTTGGTCATTTACTTTTTTCAAGGATAACTTGTTTGAAATACACGTGAGTGGAAAATTACTAATTAGCCTACGTCATTCGGCACTTATAAGAGAGCGGGGCTAGAATAATTTTAGACATTGTGTACATTTTTTAGTGCTAGACACGCCTAGATGCTTTAGACATTCATTTGATGTAGCGGTTTCCCGAGTCTAACCACGCTGGTTAGACATTTACAGGAGTTGGGTTTGAGAGAGAGAGAGAGATATGTTAATTTTAAATATTGTAATGTAGACGATCACAGGCTAATAAAGATCTGTGGCAGGAGAGAATATGTCGGACGTCGGATGTGGTAAGCTTTTTTAAAGGTTTTGGGCTTTCCATATCTGATCGACGACGTATATTGCTACAATTGGCGGGTCCTTAAGGTTTTTTTGCGAAAAGCGTCACCCCAAGAGGAATAATAATAAGAAGAACAACAGCAAGACGAGTAGCCTTGGGGTCCATTTAATGGTCCAATAATGTATAAAATTATACATATAAAACACTTATATCAATAAAACAACTTGCCATCTCTACAACTTACTTGAGAGAGCTTAAAGATATTTTTCTTACGATCAACAATTTTCAAAGTTCCATTCTACAAAAGAAAACAAATTAACATTAACTGATATCCACATCTTCGGTTTAAACCTCAAACATGGTTAGAACAGCACCTCATATATGGTTAGAAGAGTACGATATCTTCAGGTTAAAACTCAAACATGGTTAGAACAGTGTGATTTCTTCAGGTTAAACCCCAAACATGGTTAGAACAGTGCGATTTCTTCAGGTTAAACACCAACATGGTTAGAACAGTGCGATTTCCTTAGGTTAAACCCCAAACATGGTTAGAACAGTGCGATTTCCTCAGGTTAAACCCCAAACATGGTTTGAACAGTGCGATTTCTTCAGGTTAAACACCAACATGGTTAGAACAGTCCGATTTCCTTAGGTTAAACCCCAAACATGGTTAGAACAGTGCGATTTCCTCAGGTTAAACCCCAAACATGGTTAGAACAGTGCGATTTCCTCAGGCTATCTCTCAAATATGGTCACAACAGTACGATTTCTTCAGGTTAAAACTCAAATATGGTTTAAAAAAGAACGATTTCTTTAGATTAAACTTCAAACATGGTTAGAGCAGTATGTTCCAACACATTAACAAATTCTTATACCATCCATTCATCAACTAATTAAATATTATTATAACCATTTATATATACTTACTGGTAACCAAGTACCTATATCACCAGTATGTAACCAACCATCTTTATCCAATGCTTCTTCTGTTTTCTCGGGATTTTTATAATAACCCTTAAATACATTAGGCCCTTTAGCTAATATCTGTAATAACAATGGTCATAACATGTCCTTTAACTAATATATGTAATAGCAACGGTCATATCATTTATAACATTTTCATATCAAACGACTAAAATGCTATAATATGTTACTTCCTGACAAAAAGTATACCATTTCTGACTAACAGTATAATATTTCTATCTAAAACTAAAACATAAACTTTTAGACCATTCACGACATAACGGATTTCCCAGTACTTTCTATTTATTTCTTGTCGCCATATATATTTATTCTCTGAGATCGTAAACAAACGTTTGAATGATAACTAAGATAACTAATTCCTATCCACGAACATCGAGGCCAAAACTTAGTGGCATATAACTTAGTTTTAATCTTCAAGATTACTATAAAGAACACCTTTCAGTCCTTATGTTTGCTAAACTTAAAAAAGAAAATGAGTATTTCACTTCTGGCACCATGCGGCTTCAGACATGCATCTAAACTGAAGACAACCTATGAAGTTGTTATCTCCCTTACGGAATCATTTGTCTGTTTTAAATCTGGCTTAGTTTGAACACATAGTAATGATTCGTTCTCCAGATCTAGTTTGGAACCGACAAAAATTGGTATATCATAGGCCTATCTTATGAGCTGTTTCTTCTGTGTGACTATGTGGGCCAGCATGGAGGCTTTCATTTCACGGGGCATGGTCAAACATGAAGGTACAAAGTAGCAAAAAGTCTAGATGCTTGCAAAAAAAAAAAACTGAATTCCAGAACCGAAACGCAAAAATCAAACAAATCTAAAGATGTTATATTACCTCTCCGGTTCCTTGATCAGCAAAATAATCCATCTCTGGTACATCAATCAATTTGACATAATTACACACTAAAGGTGGCCCACAATGTCCTACAAAAAATTGTATAGATTTAAAATAATCATTATCTTTTCAATATCAATCATAAGATATCAACATAAATTTGATACTGTACATCATATTATGAAACAAGCTGTTGTCATGCAAGATATCCCCACAGTTTACAATAGATGGACGGAGAATAGAGAAAATCGATAGAGTTCATCCTGTTATTGTCCTTCACACCAAATGTAAAATAAATCTGTTCAAAATGAACACGGCCAGAAGGTTTTCACCAAAATGGAGTAAATCCGGAAAGGAAAGGTTGCGGAACGAATAAAAAGATCACCTGGTATACTTTCACCGGGTATATTAAATACAATTCCAGCTGTAGCTTCTGTTTGTCCATAACCCTCTAACACCTACAATATATAAAATCATTTTTTTTTATAATAATATTTTCTCTTGTCCCGTTCGCTTACCCATTTTAACTGCTTTTCATTTCAGTAAAAATAGATCCTCTTTTCATGTAGGGAAGGGGGTCGTGGTGGCTCAGTGAGTAAGACGTTGGCTCGCGATCCTAGAGGCCCCGTCCTCGATCCTGGTGTTGGCCGAGAAGTTTATCGAGATTTTCCGGCCTGGTTATCGGCGTGTCAGAGGCGCAGGACGGGTGGGACGAAAAACCGAGGCCCAGTGTACTCATTGGCGTGAACGTAAAAGAAGCCTTGGCAGTTGGAATTCCGGGCAAAAGGTTTCCTCATAACACACTGTCGGGGCAGAACGTTAAACCTCATTTCATTTATGTGGAGATAATTCAGTTTCTTGAGGTGTCGGGTGAATGTTCAGTTTGAGTTATGCTATATGATGGTTTTGGGGTTTAAGAACATAGGAAGTTCATCTGGTTCTCTACTATGATATAAACATTGGGTTTCAAAATCAAACAAAGTCAACTTACCAAGCAACCAAAAGCACATCTAGTAAAATTTAAAACTGGTTCAGAAAGTGGTGCTGAGCCAGATATTAGGATTTTTATTCTTCCTCCAAGTAAAGTCTGTATTTTATTGAAGATTAATTTATCCCAGATGCTGTCTCTTCTAATAATACCTCTAATGATACAAATTTTTTCAAACATTAAAAAAGGTAATTTCGATTATTAATTCCGACGATATCGAATTGCTATTAATATCAAATTGTTTAATGTGACTTGGCCCTAAGAATGACCGTGTTCCATCCGTGAAAAATGTTTTAGTCGAGAATCCCAATCATGCAAAGGGTCAAATGATTTTATCTATGTATATATATATGTATTACCTTTTAATTTCTTTTAATTTAGCTTTCATTCCCCAATCTAATAATGTTGATTTAATTTTACTACCTCGAACACCAGTTATAACCTAAAATAAGATACAAGCTATTAAAAAAAAAACCCAAAAAAAAACAACAAACGCCCAGACATAATTAGGCCAATAAAGAAAATTACGTCTTTTCGACACCACTGTTTGTTATCTTTTGGGCAATTGTGGCTTAGGAATGTAGATGTGGTATTAATTAAACCATAGAACTAAAGAACTAACAAATGATGGATCAAAAACAAAATACAACAATCATTGATGGCAACTAAAACAAACTTTAATGTTGGATAACCCTGGCAAGATAATATGAACATAGCGATGGGAAGGGTTGAAGTCATTAAAAATCGTGGCATAGAAGGGAAATACACTAAGATGCTAGCATTAGGCCTAGTTGCTATAAATGTCTCATCATCTATTTGCTATAAACGGCTCATCATAATTTGATGTAAATGTCTCACCATCTATTTGCTATATATTTGCTATAAATGTCTAATCATCTATTTGCTATACATTTCTCTTCAACTATTTGCTATAAATGTTTCATAATTACAAGTCTTCGTGTAAGGTAATACAGTAATCGAGTTGGGATTTTTAAAAAAATAGTTGCGATGAGATTTCTTAATGGCTATATTTGGGGATGAATCTGCCGAGGCAGTGTGAAGTTGAATCGTTTTTCGTTATTTACCAATAGCGAATAATGAGGGATACGCTACCTCGTTATTCGATATTTAACTTGTTATTCGGGATTCAAATATGTAGCTAGCCATCACTAAAATTATGGATGCCATGTATCCCCCAGTAGCATAAAACACAACAAAACGACTTCTAGACGAAAAATAGTCCACATTGTTTTTCAAGCATCGAATAACGAGCTGTTTGTTATTTGCTTTTCACCTCGTTATTCGGGATTCACATGTAAGGCGTTCAGGTATCTTTAATATGGCTATTTCAGGATCTAATTAAAAACAAACACTAGAAAACAATAGAATAATGGACTACAAAGTAACCCCTAGCAGTATTAAACGCATAGTCAGTGAATAAACCAGATTGCTATTCAAGCGGTGAATAACGATTAACGAAGTCAGAGAAAATAAATTATTTCACTTAGAAAGAGCAACTTAGAGAGAGGGGGAGTTCAATTTTATTACAATAATTCGCTTGCGCGTAGGGGTCTTTAGTAGTGGGAGGAAACCGGAGGACCTGGAGAAAACCCTAAAGGTTGGACATGCGACCCTTTTTCTTGTCACGTACAACCGTTGAATCGAAACCACGCCAGTTGACTCAATGGCAGATATTATGATACAACGCGCACGCGCTAACCACCTGCCATCCACACCCACCCCACGCTTCCCCACCTCCGTCCATTTTAATTAAAATAACAGAATTAGAAAAACAAATAAATATATCAAAAAGATATTTATTAAATAAAATTTTCATCAACAAATGTATATGGAAAATAAAAAATAAAAGTATATATTATAAATAATTCACGATTCAAAGTTTATAAATAGAAATGTATTATATTTTATCAAACTGTCACTTTTATTATATGGATAAATGTTCTCTAATTGAAAGAACAATTTCTATTCTAAATAACATTTTTTTTAATGAAAATAAAATTATATCTCTAATCACAACTCTTCTTCCATCATCTGTCTGAAATAATAAAAAAATATGATAATTTAATATCTTTGATAAACCGAAATGAAATGGGATTTAACGTCCAACTTTTCTGCCTCTGAATGGATGTATAAAATAGTATTTCATTCTACTCCTTTCTATTTTCAGTAAAAATTAATTAATCCGCTTAATATAGAAGAACACAGCCAAGCTAATACTAAGATTAGAATATACAGTTCCGGAGGTTTTTAAAAAATATTATCAATAATAAAGATTATATTTACCTTTTCTATATCCTTCTTATTGTCTAGATTCCTTTTGTTCTCCAAGACATGTTCTAAACGGTCGGGTGACAGTCGTCCAAAATTGTCTGCAACTTTTTCTGATTCTACCTCCAATATGAAGTTGAACTTTCTTTTCTGTAAAATAGACACCATTATAGTCAAATTCATTCTATAATATTATAATATATAGGCCTAGAAGTCCTTCATTTATAGAACTGCCCTCGAATGCTAGTTTGGTCAGTTTCCAGATAACAGAATATGTAGTCGCGTTGAATAACATAATTATAAGAAAAGATATAACATTTACATTTGGCGTATAGAAAAGGTGGCAGTACTGATGATTTTGAAGAAAGAGGGCAACATACCTCGTGACATCACTGGAGTAGCTGCATCCACTCCATCAGCTAACCCTTCGTTTATTTTGTCTTCAACATTAGTATATTTTGTAGCAACAATCAAACCATCAGCCAATGTTTCGGGTATTCTGTCTTTTGTTTTAATTTCCTGACATTTGGTATTTTCTATATCTTTGCTTTGTATAATTTCAACATTATTTTGATTAACACCAGACGTGTCAGTTTGCAGAAGTTTTCCCGCTCTTTCACTAGTTATCTTCTGCTGTTGCGCACGTTTCTGTGCTTGAATAATTGAACGGTGAATATCTAGAAGCTCAATTACTCTACTTTGACGATTCTTCATCAATTTATCCAAATCCTTTGAGGGTCTTTTTTTCTCTGCTGCATTCTCCTTTCGGTATCTTTCGGCGATTTCATCAATTTGTTTCCATGCTCTCTTGAGAATTGTCTTTAAATTTTCTCTTTCATTGTGTTCCTTTGCTAAAATAGAAATGAATTATTAGAATTATATTATATTTTAATCCCCTTTTTAAAAACATTTAGTAAGTCTGCTATCCCCTTATCTTTTTTTCTTTATCTTATTGAGAACAAAATTAAATAAAAACTTACATGGCATCGAATCAACTTTAACTTTTCTTGAGAAACAGTTGAAAGGCATAATTAAAACTCTGCAAAAAGAGAATAATATAGATATAATAATACAAACATGCATATATCTAGTACTGTCTGACGCTATTTGATTTATTCATTTTAAAATAACATTACTGAAATACAATTTAAAACTAAAAAAAAGGATGGACAAGGCCGAAAGAATCAATTTTTTTTATTATTTTTCCGCTATATTTTAAATATAGGGAGATTTTTAGTTGAATTATTTTGAAGTATAGATAAAAGTTTATATAAAAAGTCAACTTACTTGATATTAAAGTGTTGAAAACTTCAATAAAACGTGGAAATTTGAAAAATAGTTAAACAATTTTCAATAAAGCGCACACGATATTTAGATAGACTTCTTTCTTCTTCGACAATCAACAATAGATGTGACGTCATGACATTATGACGTGATTTCATTGTGACAAGTAGGCCGTACTCCTCGTCGATTTCCGTTTTTCTCAACTCCGACCGTAGTCGTACCGACAATAAATGCAGCTGAGAAGTCGCTAGAGAGAAAATGAAATGAAACAATTTCTTGTTAACTGACTGATTTAGAATGTCCGCGAAATGTACGCCCTCTCCCACTGGCATCGTTGACATACACCCCCTTTATAATCAACTGTGTGGCCCTTGAATTCTGATCTTTTTCCAATATTATGTCTACTGTATCCATTAGTCCCGGCATCAACAGATCGTCGCAGGTGGAACGACAAACTCAGGTGTCTATATCTAAAGGTCAGCACATATTGGTGATTTTTTTGCTGGCGATTTTCCATTCGACAAGTGTGCGCCAAAATACACAGACGCATTATAAGCTATATTTGCGGTACCACCTGATACATAATTATCGGGGTTGGTTGTCAGCTATTTCAGAATGTACGCTTGTATGGCGAGAGCTGGAATAGTGTGAACAGAGTTCTTTGTCTGACAAATGATCGCTGATCAGAAATGAGGCATTCGGTGAGAAATAAGACTTGGTGTACGTTGTAGAAAAGTAGTTTTAATAATTGTTGTTTATCAGTTTGGCTATATCTACCCCTTATTTCTCCCGTCTCCAATTATTAAGTATTTCAAGCACTAAGCTGCTGACCCTAATATTAAAATATGTGATGGCAGGCCTACTTACACGTTGGTACATCCTATTGAGTAATCTGGGTACTGTGGGAAATAAAGTTGGTCGTAATGTCTGCATATCATCTGTTAATAGTTTAATATCACCTTGAAAAAATCCTATCTTTGCTCCGTGCATAAACAATAGTAACTAGAACATATAATAAGTGAAGCCCAAATTAAAGATCTATTTCGATATCGGTAAATAACTAGCCCAAACGAAACCCTCATGGCTTATAATTATATGGGTAGGTCACTATAAAGACACAAATAGTTACATAAATAAATTTTTTTGGCATACTTCAAACAGATCAGGCATCTTAAAAATTCAGTGCTACGTAAATTTAGTCAAGGGAGATAAATTCAAATCGGGATTATGTTTTGATGGTGTAAGTCGTCCATAAAATCTCTACATATCTCACAAATATTCAAATTATACGAGATCATATTCATATTAATACTGTCTTGTGAACTATAAAATCCTTTTTTGGTGATGTAAGTCAATGAATGAATAAAATGGAATTTAACGTCTTACGTTCATGCTCCAACCGGGATACTGGAGTGTTCTATGGGGGCAGTTTTTTTTTGTCCCGGTTTTTTTGTCCCATCCGAACGATTAGACGCAGTTCCTTTCCAGACCCTCTCTCCTGAACTACTGACACGGAGAAATCGGCCGGAAAATCACGACGAACTTTCTCCGCCAACACCGGTATTGAACACGGGACCTCCAGGTTAGCGAACTAACGCCTTACTCACTAAGCCACCGCGGCTAGTCACTGATAACACCAAATTCTATAATTGCAATCCTTCCTTACCTGCATGCCTCTTTCAAACATATGAGCTAATGGCAGATAAGATAAATGGACATCATCCTTAGTGAGTATATACGCTTTCTGAAACACAAGAGAAAAATAGATGAAGCAATAGAAATGAAGGGTCGTTATATTTAAGGGGATTTCAGCTCGCAAATTGATAAATCTATGGACTTTCGTGAATATCTGTTAAATGGTGATTAGGTAACGGGGGGGGGGGGCTCAACTAGAATGTACCGTATTCGAATCCCGCCGTGAGGTTGACAAGGAAAGTTTGGATGCGACGAAGCGTCGAGAGCGACCTATGCACGTTAAAGAACCCCTGAATTTCAAAATAGAGTATAGACGAAAACGGCACTGTCTTTACAAAATTCCACTACCTCGCATATGTAACGCATATAAATAAATTACCACATGCTTGTATCAAAATTACCGAAGCATTGTATTGAGACAATAACACCCCCCCCCTCCCCCACCCCAATACTCATCCACGTTAAATCTACGTGTAAAATAATAAATATCGAATGCTGTGTAAACTTTGCTTTGGTCATTTCTGGGCTCCTCGCTCTTGCCCTTATCAAGCAATTGTGTCCTGAGTGTGTCTAGTTCAATCGCCAAATACCATTGAAACAATTCTTAGTAATATAATAATGTATGATCTCTAATAAACAAATTCAAATTGAACGTACATCTAGAGTGGCTGCTATAGCTGATATATTAGATACTAAGTTAGAATGTGTCAACATAACACCTTTAGGATCTCCTGAAAATATAGACATGTTAGTTTAAAGACTTTTTACTCCAATATTATTATTATTCTATATAAAATATTGAAGGAACTGCACTGTATAAGGAATGAATGAATGAAACGCTATACAGTGTTCTATGGGGTAAGTTTTGTCATGGGTTCTTTTGCCTGCATGCCAGCGTGTGCATGGAGCCTTAGTTTTCCTTACCACTGGCAAGGGGAAACCGCGCTGGATAATTCTGGCAAACTTTCTCGGCAAGCGAGCAAGCGTCTTACTCGCTGAGACAGTAGACGCTAACATATTTGAAGGGACTATACATTAATATAAAAACTGTAGGGTGGCTTTAAATTTTATAGACAAACTAAAGGAAATAATATTCTTAACTCATGAATTAAATCATAAAGTATGCATTTACCTGTTGTACCACTGGTGTAGCATATTGTTGCTAGATCTTCTGGTTTGGGTAACTATAATATCAATATGCATATATAGGTAGAAAATAGGATAATTAAAAGTTATAAAGGCCATTATTTATAAGATAAAAAAAATACTGTTGTACATGTACATAAAATTTAGATTATTTAATACAAAAATGCAAAATGGCTATAAATAATATTTATAGACATTTTGCATTTTTGTATTCACTGTCTGGCTATAATATATGTTCTTAATCATGCCCAATCTTTCCATGAAATAAAAACTATGCTAAAATTATAACCATTTACAACTAACAGTCTCCTACAGAGCTCACATTTCACATTAATTAATATACAACGTTTGATGACACAAATTCTTTGATTAGTTTGCAACTAAAATGATGTAGGCTTACATTTAGTGTGAATGGATGAAATTGGGTTTAACGTTATACTATTCTGTACCAACCAGGCTAAACAACTAATGTTAAACAACTAAATAAGGGGTATTATTTCAGAGGGTTATATGTAAGGGGGGCTAGTATGTCTATATTAATATTTATCAATAATTAGGCTGATTAATGAACTTATTTTCAGTTAAATTATAACTGAATTATAAGAGAACATAAGTTTGCTGACAGTGGTGGTCAGGTATGAGAGATCAATCATATAAAACATATTCCATAGTCGTGCACCCCACTAGATAGTTCACACTGGTCTTTTAGTGTGTGTGTGTGATACAATCTTCTTTGATTTATCATTTCATTTTATTTATTTGTGTTGATTAATACTTGACAATGACTTCTGAAACCTTGCTGAAACGTCGTGGTGTAATAAACCATAGTAATTGTTATCCATAAATAGTGTGTTATTTAATTATGTTCCAATTACTAAATGGAATTCAAAGAATATGAGAGATCAATGTATACTTACAACTGGACTAACAGGATTAGTTTTACCAGATTCCTATCAATAAAAATATCTGTGTTAAAACCAGAAATGAAATGGGGTTTAACGTCCTACTGTTCTGCTCCTATACTGGGCTAATGAAGACGGGCATACGCCATTCAGTGTGCTATGAGGGAAATTTTGCCCGGGCAGCGTGTTAAAACCAAGAAGAAACCATGAAGTAATTGAGCTTTAAAGTTTACGTTGGTTGACACGGCCATCTTTATGTGTCTAAGACATATAATAATGATAATTCATTTTCGCACAAGCCAACCCATTCCTAATAGACGTGTTATTTCTACTCAGATGTGCTTTTACGTAAAGTAGTACGTATCGTTACTTTTGGGATATGCGAATGATTGGGTTTGTTGTGCTTTCAATTTGTCAAACAAAATCATGTTTAAATTTAATGATGATTGTGGTTCTTGAATAACTCCATCAATGAAATGACTTAATATAATATATCAATGAATTGCGCAACAAAAAAAAAAAGCTCCTTTGGAAAAGATGAATCAAAGAGTTTTTACTTACCTCGACATCAGAAAAATGTAATAATTGAATATTACATGTCTTTGCTGTTTGTGTAATTGTTTCGGTTATTTTATCAAATAGTATAATATACTTCAGTGAGGGTATTTTTGCAGCCTGCTTCAGTAAAATCTGTGCCTTTTCTGGTTTATCACATACAACCACTGATGTACCAACTTTATAAACAATTCAAACCAAAGTTATTTTAAGATAAAATTAATTATTTTAGCATCCCATTACAATACCCAAACATTACAATGACCGAGAACAAATTAAAACCAAAAAACACGATTTGTCGTACAATCAGGGCCATAATCCAGGAAGTTATGGTCTAACTGAATATCGAAAGGAACCGAGATCTTTGGGATATAAACATATATTTTAAGTTTCATCGAAATCGGATAAAAATTGTGACCTCTAGAGGGTCCACAACCTTGGTATTACATATTTTTACACTATTTGCGTTCAAGAAGCGGCCATTTTGTCGGGCAGTTTCGGTCCAATTTTCATGAAATTTGAACTCGACCATCATGATGGTGTAATGGTGATATATTCTAAGTTTTTTTTTTAAATCGAATAAAAATTATGACCTCTAGATGGTCCACAAGCTATAAACGGGATTTTTCATACAATCAGGGGTCATAATCTAAGAAGTAACGGTCCGATATGCGCAAATATCGAAAGAAACCGCGAACTTTGAGTTATAAACATATATTTTAAGTTTCATCAAAATCTGATAAACATTGTGATCCCTAGAGGGTCCACAACCTTGGTATTACATACTTTTACACTATTTGCGTTCAAGGAGCGGTCATTTTGTTGGGCAGTTTCGATCCGATTTTCACGAAATACGAACTCAACTGTAACGGTGATATATTCGAATGGTTGTTTCAAATCGGATAAAAATTGTAACCTCTAAAGGGACAACAAGCTAAAAACGCGATTTTTCGTACAATCAAGGGCCATAATCCAAGAAGTTACGGTCCGATATGCGCGAATATCGACAGGAATCGCGTACTTAAGAGTTATAAACATATATTGTGAAGTTTCATCAAAATCGGATAAACATTGTGACCATAATCCATGAAGCTACAGTCCGACACATATCGAAAGAAACCGAGATCTTTGGAAGGTAAACCTATATTTCAAGTTTCGTTAAAATCGGATAAAAAATGTGACCTGTAGAGTGTCCATAAACAAATTGCGCACGGACGGACAGGGGCGACGACAATATACGTCCACATGAAAATGTGGTCGTACAAAAAAGACACAAAGAATGACCAAACGAAAGTGCGGCGAATTAAAAGAAAAGACACTCGATAACTACTAAGTGAAGCCTGTATCTCTATAGACATGGGACTGTACAGTGGATACCCGGATTCATTCAATTGATTTGATATATCGGGTGACCCAGAAAAAACGAGGACACTATTTTAAAGTGGAATAATTCAAAAAGTGTTGTACTGATGCATCATTAACATTTCCATATTGCAGGTTAGCCACACAAATATTGTTAAAACCTAGTTCATGTTTTAAACAAGAATGTCAAATTATGTTTTTCCTGACTGAGGCGTCACATCACACTCATATCAGTTCACATAAACAAATAGTCGAATTTCATATTTCTTCCTATCAGTGATGCAGGACGGAGGGCCTGACAAGGACAGCTGTCTAGTCGCTCGGATGGGACAAAAAACCGAGGTCCCGTGTACACATTGGCGTGCACGTAAAAGATCCCTTGACAGCTGGAATTCGATATAAGAGTAGGCCGTAGTCCCTCAAAGCACACTGTATGGCGTATGCTCGTCTTCATTAGCCCAGTTCGGAGCAGAACAGTATAGGACGTTAAACCCCATTTCATTTTATTTCCTTATAGCGTAATCCCGGTTTGGGACTTAGGCGACCATTGATCTTTTTTTTCTTAATACATAAATCTGGGGTAGATTGTTTATATGAGTGAGATTAAATTCGGATTCACGCGTCACAATTTCAAGTAATTATTGGATAATTCATATTTTTATCTTTTTTTAAAAATAAAGTCTGGAGTGGCTTCCTCGAAATAGTTATGAGTCGGCCTGTTTGTGTGGCTTGCAGCCCAATTATGCTGAAACACATACTAGTCAGTGGCAATCAGGTACTAATCCATTAATCCATCCAGAATGCCACCGCAATCCCCGGAACTGAATCAAATGGAAATGAAATGAAATGGAGTTTAACGCCGTATTGTTTTGCTCCGACTGGGGTATGCGCCATACACGAGGGAAATTTTTCCCGAAACGGCGCTATGGCCTACTCTTATATCGAATTCCAACTGCCAAGGGATCTTTTACGTGCACAACAATGCGTACACCGGACCTCGGTTTTCCGTACCACCCGAACGACTATACGCTGTCCCTTCCCTTACCAGGCCCTCTGTCCTTCATCACTGACGGAAGGGGGGGGGGGGCACGCCGGAAACCCGATGAACTTTCTCGGCTAACGCAGGGATCGAACACGGTACCTCAAGCTTAGCGAGTCAACGTCTTATTCACTGATCCACCATGGCTCCCGAATCAAATGGAACACAGTCTCCGGGAAAATGTCTATGAAGGGCGGACGAACGAAAACATTTACGGAAAATTATCTGAAGAATATAATTCGGGCAGAAATATTTTTAAGTATTTCATCTTAAATAGTGTACTCATTTTTTCTGGGCCATGATACGGTTGTTGTTTATTGCTTTTAACGTCTGTGTAACTTGTGTGCCCCATTGTCCCCAGATTTGTCTGATCGGGTTTGTTTGTGTACAGTGCGGTTCTCCTGCACTTACTATTAGTTCGTAAGAACTCCAAATTAATAAGAAATTTTATATAACCAGAATCAATAAACAACAAAATCTACGATAGTATGTCCCTTTAATGGTTTACGATCAGGGGCAATAATTCTTTCAAATTAAGTATATGTTGTTAACCGATTATTAACTATGTAGATAAATGACGGCTGTTGAATGTGCAGATAATGGATAACTTACTCTGATTAATAATATATTGACAGGATTCTACTCCTAATGTATCATATAATGGAACTGTCACCATAGAGAATGTATTACACGCTTGTTCTGCTAAAGTCCACTACAAAATATACAATAGTAGGCCTAAATTACACAAATTAATGATACTTCTTAATTGAAAGCAACAGACCAATGCATTATAAGCCATTATAATTAAATGGCCTTTAGAATACATTACAAATTCAATACAAATCCAATACACGGCCCATGGATCTCATTCAAGGTGGCTTAATTTTGAAAACACAGATTTCAGTTCCAGGAATTTGGAAACCAGTTTATTTTTTTGATCGAAACCCGTCAACACCAATTTAGAAAATAACCATTGTGACTTGTATTGTAGAATGTTTTTATTTGTCCATAATCAAAAATTCACAAAAAGTTTTGAGAGAGACTTGTTGCAACCATTTATGAATTCACCGCGTACATGTATGTATTGGAAATAAATAGACAAGCCGACTAGTTGCAGAAATTATATTGAGTAAAAAACCAGATTGAATTATTAAATCAAACCTACCTCTATTCTGTTAGCACTATAAATACCAATAAATGATCCTGGCTTAAGACCTAACTTAATCAATCCAGATCCAAAATTCACCGCCTTTTCATACACCTAAATATAAATAATAATGGTATAATAGTTCCATTTCATATCGATGCATAAAGAGAAGTGCGGTGCGAAACGGAATAAAAATAGAGTATGAAGGAAAAATTAGAGCTGTAATAATTAATAAATGCGAAATGTTAATAAGTTACTGTTCGTCAATGTACGTGTAAAATGAAATGAAATGGGGCTTAACGTCCTACTGTTCTGCGTCGACTGGGCTAATGAAGACGTGCATGTGCCATAGAGACGTGTGCTACACAGAGTAAAAGCGACACTATGGCCTACTCATATATTGAATGCCAATTGTCAAGGGTTATTTTATGTGCATTAAGGGTTATTTAATGTACACGAGACCTCCGTTTTTCGTCGCACACAAACAACTATGTTGTCCGTTGCCAAGTCCTCCGTCCTGTACCACTGACAAGGGGGGACCAAGCCGGAAACGCCAGAAGAACTTTCTCGGTCAACACAGGGAGCGAACACGGGGCATCCAGGTTAGCCAGCCGGTGTCTTATTCGTCGAGCCACCGCGACTCCTTCGCCAAGATAATTTAATAAGTAAACAACTGATATAGATAAGCTATACAGTAAGTGGTGATAAAAGCGGATATATAATTATTATCATCTTGATTTGTATGATAATGGCTTTTATCAAATGTTTCACAACTCTAGATATTAATATAAATATTAATACAATAAAACATTAAACAAATGAAAATAACATGGACAAAATTATGTTTATTTCACTAAATTTAAAACTCTATCTATGTCTAAGTCCATGAGTGAGAATTCTTCGTTCATGTATTGTTTTATTAATTGCGTCAATTGGTGTTTCATGTAGACATATTTGTGTGGTTTCTGGAGCTGGATCATTTGAATTTCATTAATATCTTGAACCTTTCTCAAAATCATTTAGAAAATATAGTGCACTAATTTAAAGGAGGCAAGTCTAACTCAGTATCACCACAGTCTTCGACATTGCAAACATGACTTATTGATCAATTTAAATCAACATTGATGTTGTTATATTAACGTGAAAAGTTAGGCTTCTGATATCCAATATTTAAGACAAAATGAAAATTTTAAAATTGGCACACGAATCGCGTGTCAGAATGCTTTCGAACGTCGTTTGTAATGAAGCGACTGTAATACAATATCATTTGGGATGTAAATTTTAATATTGTATTCTGAATTCATATTTTATTTGTAACTCATTTTGGACATATTAAGAGACAGATTAATTGTAAGATTTAATCTATATCAAGTGTGGGGTTTATGACATACATGTAGTATTATGTAATTAAATGGGTTGTAGAAACTTGTATACTCGGAGTGTCTATATGATATAAGATTTAAGCTTAACACTTATTGTCTAGAGTTAAGGTGTGTGACTTTTAATAATTAGTTTTCATTGTTCTGATTACTAATTCTATTAACTATAGCGTGCCACAGTTGGCGCGACAGATATTGCTCCACAATATGAAAAGCCTGGTTTAGAATTAGGAAAAAAGGAGAGACCTTGAGGTCTTTCGAGACCTCGGAGAGGCTCTGCTCTCGGACCCCGGGAGAATGAGGTCTTCAGAGTCCTAGTAGGAGCAGCTGTATATAGACGTTATTATATCTAACCACAATGACTTTCATATGTAGAGTTTTATCCAGTATTAAAACATCCTTCTAATCAAAAAGAGTTATGTATTCTATCACACGACTCGATGAACGAGATTGAACATACTCCAGGCGTAGACTGGAATAACCAGACGCCAAAGACTGTCATTCAATTTGGATTCTTCGAGTATTACGCCGAACATAACTGATTAGAAATTACAATAAAACAGAAATGATTGAATGTTAATCAGTGTATATAGGCCTACATTCATATTACATTATAATATGCGTTGCGACCCATTTATGTGGCAAAGAATAGAGATTTAGCTTCTTTAAAACTTCAAAACAAGCTGTGGACTTTTCTTGCCATTACTGGCGTCGGCAGGTTTTGCCGATTTTCGAAAATTAAATATTACCTGAGGATATGAGATCCATTCATAAGATTTGTTTGGTCCAGTTCTGCTACCTAGACAGTTACCATTTTCTGTATTAAGAAAAAAACCCAGAAACAAATGTAGTGTTTACCTATCTGGGTAATAAGACTTGACTATTGTGAAAACTTAAGTCATGCTGACGAACAAAATCACTAACAGAAACCCTTTACGTCTGTCCCTTTAAGACAGACAGGCGCAAGGCCAAATTAAGGACAGAAGTCGCTTCCTATATGAAATGAATGGGGTTTAACGCCCTACTTGTATGCACCAACGGGGATAATGAAGACGGGCATACGCCATGCAGTGTACCATGAAGGAAATTTTTGCCCGGACAGCGTCATTTCAGCCTTCGTCGAATTCCAACTGCCAGGTGTTTCGCCCCATACGAAACGGGAGCCACAGTTGCCCAGTGAGTAAGACGGTGACTCGCTAGCCTGGAGGTCTCGGGTTCACTCCCGGTGTTGGTCAAGCAAGTTCCTTGGGATTTTCGAGCGAGGTCCCCCCTTATCAGTGGTGCATACTGAATGGCCTGACAAGGACAGTGTCTAGATGTTCGGATGGGACGGAACAACCGAGGTCCCGTGTACACATTGGGGTGCGCGTAAAAGAACCCTTGACAGATGAGATTCGCGGTAAGATAGCAATATCAATGTTGATTTAAACTGACCAATAAGTCGTGTTTGCATTGTCGATGACTGGATGATATTGAGTTGGCGACTAGTCTCCTTTAAATCCCAGTTTCTGTGTTTTAGCAAAGTGACCTCCAGTTACCCTAGATTGACGCCGAAATGACGCTCGAGTCCATGATCTATCAAAAATTTTCGAGCCCGGGGTGGGTGACCCCCCCCCTCCCAAACAATAGCTGCTTGTCCCAGGGCCCTGATTGCCCTGTCGCGGGCCATGGAAATTCGATATAGGAGTAGTACACTGTATGGCGTACGCCTGTCTTTATTAGCCCGCTCGATGTAGAAAAGTAGGACGCTAAACTCCATCCGAACACTAACATAGGGATCTAATCCCTGACCGGTAAACACTTGGAAACCCGTGGAAATATGTCCATGTATGGACCTTATGTATTATCAGGTTCATGTTCCCTGTGTCAATACAGAATTTTCAGAATTCGAGCAAGGGGAAAGTCGTAAGCCCCATGCAACCACCCCCTTCTTAATTAGAAGCCACACAGTGGAAAAGCGACCCTATCGATAAATCGATACATCAATCTATGCTAGTTTTTAATTGTAACAGTTACATGCTTATAGTAATACATTCTTACCAGACACCCGAATTCCTCTTTGAAAACATTCATACAATGTTTGAGAATCTTCAAATAGATATTTCATTAACTCAGAATCCTTGGTTAAATATCCAGATATTCTCACACCGGGCTGAAATAAGTGAAAGGATATTGTTCAGTGTAATGTGAAATTATGTTCAAATGTCAATCCTAATAGACGATAAACGACTTCGAAAATACAGCTCTATACAGCATGATACGATCCATGTATACAGTAATCGGAGATAAGGTTTTCCTTTGAAACGTCACAAGATACAATGATGTCGTGAACAATTTGAAACACGTAAATATTTTATTAATGTCGGTTGTAAACGTTTGCTCCTTTTACTTTTGGGAAATATAACTTGCGTTATGATTTTTACTTGGTAAAATAAGTTTTAAAATTTATTTGCAATGTATTTATAATTTGTAACGGTTTAATGTTATTTTGTATTTATAACCAGCGGCTGCCAGGCAGGATACGCCCACATTTTCGAGAGATGGATAGAGAACAAGCTAAAAAGAAAGCGATTTTTCGTACAATCAGGGGCCATAATTCAGGAAGTTACGGTCCGATTAGCTACGAGAACGTAGCTAAAAACGTTGAGAGGGTTGAGAGATTAAGGTTTGTTATCTACGGTCCGATATGCGCGAATATCGAAAGGAACCAAGATCTTTGGATTATAAACTTACATTTCAAGTTTCAACAAAATCGGATAAAAATTGTGACCTCTATAGGGTCCACAACCTTGATATACCATATTTTTACGCTATTTGAGAACGAACGGCAGCCATTTTGTCTGTTAATTTTGGACTGATTTTCAAGACATTCGAACTCGGCCATCCTTAGGGTGTAACGGTGATATAATAAAACGGTTTTTTAAATCGGATAAAAATTATGACCTCTATAGGGTCCACAAGCTAAAAACGTGATTTTTTGTACAATCAGGGGCCATAATTCAGAAAGTTACGGTCCGATATGCGCGAATATCGAAAGGAACCGAGATCTTTGGGTTATCAACTTACATTTCAAGTTTCAACAAAATCGGATAAAAATTGTGACCTCTATAGTGTCCACAAGCTAAAAACGTGATTTTTCGTACAAACAGGGGTCATAATCCATGAAGTTTCGATCCGATACATGCCAATATCGAAAGCAGCCGAGATCTTTTGGAGATACACCTATATTTCAAGTTTCGTTAAAATTGGATAAGAATTGTGACCTGTAGAGTGTCCACAAACAAATTGTGGACGGACGGACGGACGGACGGACAGGGGCGACGGCATAATACGTCCACATAAAAATGTGGGCGTATAAAAATGTAGTTTAACAAATTTACTGAGGCCCTAAACTACCTTGTGATGTCAGATTTTATACGAAAGTTACAAAGTATGTTTAAATTTCTGTTGAATTTTGTGTCAAATGTCCATGAATGAGAGCAAATTCATTGTTTTAAGCATCTAAGTTAAACAGAAATCTATATATATTGCAATAGATGAAAATTCTCTATAATTTACCGAATCAGTACAACTTTTCTGGGAGATAATGACGTCATAAGGTATTTGCCGTCATAATGTTTTTAATACTAAGGTAAATATCACCATGGACCTTATAAGGTCCATGATATCACGTAAAATAAACTTCTTACCTCTACTTCAATGGATTGATTTTCCATGTTAATAGACGTCTTGATCGGTGTATGTTTTGTTGAATACATGATGTAATAAGTTATAGCACCAGCTACTACCAGGCTTAGGGCTACACCGCCGACAACACCGCCTATTTTATCACCAAATAAAATATTCAGCTGTTCTACCAGGTTCTCCTCACTCATGACTGTAATTATACATTTTATATAGAATTTATTTCACGAGTTAATTAAAAACAAAATGAGTTGAGATTTAAATAAATACAAACTTTACACACAAATCTATAGGGGTTGTCCTGTATATAGTTGACCTGTCTCTGGTTCCTAGAATGCTGACTTATATGCTGTCCGACATGCTACATCGAGTTGACTTATTGTACACTAAATATATATATATATATATATCCTCTTTATAAACAATCGACATGGTCCACAGTACTGTCCCTGACATAGATTCAATGATTGTTATAATCACCCTTCATGTGGCTTCATGTTAAATTTTGGAACTTTTGTAGCTTTGACATTTAAATGTCCCAGTATAGGAAATGATATTTAAAATGGCCTTATAGGCTACTGCCTGATTATCGCATATAAGGTCTTCTAAACAAAATATTGTTAGAATAACAAACCAGAGAGGCATACTTATACTTATGAATAAGGTATTACGATTCGATTCGGTTCACCTTTTAAACTCTACAGGCTGTTCTTTCAAAGTTTGCTGTACAAAGTTTAAGTCCGATGGATATATGAAGTAACTGATGCGTGCAAGAAAAACTATAATTTAAAAGTAGATCTTACCTATTTCACATACGCTTACAATCAGTAGCCTTTTCACAAATACTTTTAGCTTTATGCAGTCAGAAATATGTAAATTTGTATTTGTTTTTTCTATAAAATATGACCTGTTTCTATTTCTACAACGTTGTTTTTGTTAGATTGTAGCGGCCTAGCAAATATTCACTGCGGATCAGTGTGAGACTGGTTTTCGTCTGAAAGAAAAACAATGCGGTCACATGATATCGTACAAAAGGGGGCGGTGCAAACACGTGTCAACATGTTAAACTTGATCAGATTTATTATACGTACCATACTGTAGATATGGAGCAAACAACCGTCAATCAATAAATGATACTTAACTACACATGGAGATCTAGTTATGTTCACTTCAATAAGAAAACACATTACATCATATCAGGGGCGTACATAACGATTTTGTTTGGGGGGGGGGGGTGTTTAGCCAAAATGCGACTGACTGATGCCCATACCCCTAGTACGAGTGACGCAGTCAAGAACCGAGCACCACAGGTGCGAGTTTTGTAGGGGCCATGTGCAGTAGCGGATCTAGATGGGGTGGGGGAGGTCTAAATCTAGGGGGCCACCCCAGCCACACTCCCACCCCACAATGAATGTCAACAAAATACTGGCTATAACATTAAGCGTCCCAGTAGAACATAGATGGCATTGTATAATTATATAGTTGTCGATCGTTGTCTCGCTGGAAAGCAGTTTTATTTAAGTTGACATAAAGTTTATGTCATATATGATTGTGCCTATAACACTGAGCAACCTGAGAAAATTTTGAAAAATTGAGTCAATATCTTAGCATTTGAGGTCATTGCTGGGAGAAATTCTTGTGGACGAGAGGACCAGAAATGTGAGTCAATTAAACAAAATCTCGAGATCTGCCCCTGTCAATTCCGCCTGTTTTGCAAGAGTTGACAGAGCTTTTGTATAGTCTGACGCCCCACGACCCACACACCAGTGCCAGTGGTACTACTAACATAACTAGGCAGTTCAGTATAACCGTGAATATGATAGTGCTGAGACAGTATAAAACAACAGAGGAGTGGAAGAATGATGTTATAATGGAATCGAGCGCCGCAGGCGCGAAAAAATTTGAGATGTGTAACCGAGCTTTTAATTTTTGGGACTGTGCCTGACAATTTTAGTCAATGTCATGGCAAATATGGATCCAAATTCTCGTTAACGAGAGGATAAGAAATGGGACAGAATCTTGAGGCCTATATCTGTCAATGTCGCCTGTTTTGTGAGAGTAGAACTAACAATTCTACAGTCTTTTGACCCACGACTCACTCACTAGTGGTACTACTAACTGGGCGATTCACTGTAACTGTGAATATGATAGTGATGAGATAGTATAAGACAGAGAAGGAGTTGAAGAATGATGACATAATGGAATTGAGCGCCGATAAGTAACTGAGCTTTTAATTTTTGAGGACTGGGCCTGAGGGCACTTTACCTCAATGGGGCGCTTACTTGGTCTCTGAAATGCCCTGGACTTTGATGGTCAGAAAACACCCCATTAATTCATTTAGTCTGAGACCGACTGCGGTGAGCACTTTTTTTTGAGACGGACTATTTTTTTGCCATGGGGTGAAAAATATTTTTTTCAAACATGAGAAGTCGACAAGGTTATTTTATACTCAAGTTTTGCGTGAGTAGAGTGACGTGTGCAGTGAGCACTTATTTTGATACCGACTGCTCATATCTTACGACCGACTGCACTGATTTTGCGACCGACTAGTATTTAGGATCTATTCTGGCATTATTTGTTTACCTCATTAATTCATTAAGACGGCGATGCATAATTTTGAGACCGACTGCAGTGACTGCACTTATTTTGAGACCGATTATTTTTCTCCCTGGGGGAAATTTTGTTCTTAGACCTACATACTGACAACAGAATAAGTGTGAAACACATTAAGTTGACAAGGTTATTTTATACTAAAGTTTTGCGTGAGTAGCGTGACGTGTGCGGTGAGCACTTATTTTGATACCGACTGCTCTTATTTTGCGACCGACTGCACTGATTTTGCGACTGCTCTTATTTTGCGACCGACTGCACTGATTTTGCGACTGACTATTTTTTTTCCTGGGGGGGGGGGGGGGGGGTGTTGCACCCCCCCCGCATTTACGCCCCTGCATCATATCATATCAGTCAGTTATATCAAGGACCGGAGAGTATAGCAAACAAAACAGCGCGTAAAAAAAAAACAACTTTGCAATTGGAAATAAGAGTAGTCCGGCAAAGATCTCCCCATAACACGCTACATCATAGCCCATGCCCTGGGCCGGATTAACAATGGGGCATGATGGGGACCAGGTCCTCCGACATCAGCCCCCCCCCCCCCTCCATCCCAAATCTGCTAGTAGCAGTGATGGAACTCTCCATCGGATTTTCATAGTCCTGAACAATGGAACCCCTTTCATCCATTGTGGGCTCGTGTTGCGGTCAACATTCGAGAATTCTATGTAATCCGGCTATGCCGCGGCGTACTTTCGACATGTATCTTTTTTTTTTATTTAGCGGGAAAAGTGTATCCAGAAAACGGATAAAAATCTTCTTTAGTGACAATATTTTGGTTACAACTTGTAATGCTACTTAAAGGTGGAATCAAGGTAACTTGAACTCATTTATATTCGAGTTTTGGACGTAGAATCTGTCAAAAATGTCATGAGACGAAGAAGCCGATTTCCGATAATTACTGCCAGAGTTATAGCCCTTGATCAGTTTGAAAAATCTTGTGGACGCTCTATAGGCCAAAGTTAATATCCGATTGACCTTTATTTTATACACAGTTTTTAAGGTCATGAGACGAAGAAGCCGATTTCCGATAATTACTGCCAGAGTTATAGCCCTTGATCAGTTTGAAAAATCTTGTGGACGCTCTATAGGCCAAAGTTAATATCCGATTGACCTGAAATTTATACACAGTGTTTGTGGTTATGAGACGAAGAATCCCATTGATTTTCAGCAATTTCTGATAATTACTGCCAGAGTTATGGCCCTTGATCAATTTAAAAAATCTTGTGGACGTTCTAGAGGCCAAAGTTAATATTCGATTGACTTTAAATTTATACACAGTGTTTAAGGTCATAAGACGAAGAAGCCTATTGGTTTTCAGCGATTTCCGATAATTACTGGCAGATTATCAACGATTTCCGCTCTAAAGGCTAAAGTTATCATCCGATTGACTTCAGATTGATACACAGAGTTTAAGATCTTGAGACGAACAAGTATATTGATTTTCAATGAATTTTTATGACTTTAACAAATCCATGATATTAAAAGTTTTGTATACAAAACGTTAGCATGGGGCAGAACTTTATAAAAACCAAACAAATTCTAATGGTTTTCTGATAATTACTTCATGAGTTGTTGCTCTTAATCAGATTTTAGTGTATTATAAATGTTTCATTACGGAAAAAAGTAAGAATATGCGACAACTCTTGTTGACTGCCCGGACGATTTAGCTGCTGTGGGCGTATGTTTCGTTGCCTGGCAACCTATCTTTTTTTCTTTTTGTTGCCGGTGAATCGAGGAACGTTGGTTTCTGAACTATAATGGTGTGTATATGTGTAATTTCCGTATAGACTACGTATTTGCATACGATATTTCAACAAAACGCATTTTAATTTGGGTCGTCAAAAATCAACTCCGGTCGGTTACTTCGCGGATATGACAAATGTCCCCCACCCCTCTTATTTATCACTGACCTATTTCAAACTTGGCTTGATGTATTGACACAATTTTGACGCGGATTAAGAGGCAGATCACTCCACCCAACTTCTACATTGGGAGATTCAGTACCAAATTCGTCCTCCAAACGGTAGTTCTATCCCTGAACATGTATTGCAGATTATGTGAGCAGTGTACACACATAAAAGTCTCTCTAAAACGAATGATAAGGGTAAATAACATAATAAGCACTCCATGTATGTAATTCTTTCGATACGACCCTAATAATTACCGACAATTGCGGGGTTATTGCAAAAAATGACCAAAATTAATTCTTCAGATGAATGCGCCGACTATCAGTTGACGGTTTTCTTTTGAAGAATTGTGTGTTTTTAAAATCATTATTTTACAATCCATGTTCAACAATTGTGTTCACTTTTATTCTTTCAAATCGGTTACGTTCAATCAATATGGACCGTTTTAAGAGTCACAGTATTCATATGTCTGTAAGTCGTATATTTTATTTCAATTCATAAATTTATTCGACTTTTAGTTAATATTGGCTATAGGTTAACTCCTTGTAAAATAACCCCATTGTTTTTATATTGACTCTCCACAAACTGAATTAGCTAGCTCTGTTTATCAAAAATTGGGATCCGTTCTGGTCAGTTTCTTCGCCGTTCAGCGAATATACCCCAATAACGCTCAAGATATTGCCAAATGTGACGACAAGGAAAGATATGTTATATAGATATGCATATACTACACATCATATTTAATAATATATAAACAATTTCATATATAATTGACAAAATTTTGGATAATTAAAATTTTGACAAAGTGAGGTTATATCGACGAGGAACTGTAGTTTGTATAGAATGTATGTTGATTATTTTCACGATTAATTAATTCAATTGAATTAGCAGTTTAAATTATTCATTATAATGATTATTCAGTTATATGATGTGTCATACTGATACTACAAATGTCCTATAGTAAATCATCGAAGCCTTTCTAATTACCTAAGTGCACAAAATTATAATAAACAACAATACATTGCAAGATTACACAAAACTGATTAATTTAAAATGGTGCATGAAATGAAATGAAGTGGGGTTTAACGTCCTACTGTTCTGCTCCGACTGGGCTAATGAAGACCGGCTTACGCCATACAGTGACGGAAATTTTGTCCGGTCGGCAGCGCTACGGCCTACTCTTATATGTCATGGGATCTTTTACGTGCACACCAATGTATACACGGGACCTCGGTTATTCGTCCAATCTGATGACTAGACAGCTGTTCTTGTTGGGCCTCTCTTCTTGCACCACAGACACGGATAAACCGCGCCGGAAAATCCTGATGAACTTTCTCGTCCAAAATGGTGCATACCTTTTTCAGTGCAAAACGTTTTTAATATTTATCCAAACGTGATCAGTTTTGGATATGATGGGTAGAATACTTGTCCATGGTTGTGTAACCCAATAAATGTCCGGTGCCTTGTCACCGCGTGGTCTATAAGACATGTTGTCAACTACTTGTGAAATGAAACGGGGGTTTAAAGTGCTAATGAAGACGTCATGGAGTGACATGGGGAAGATGAAGTTTTGGTCCCATCCGAACGACTAAACGCTTAATTGTTTAAAACTGACCGGTTGTATTTCTTATCACCAATCTTCTCGTTCCCAGAAGTTGTTCGCCGCTATGACGTGTTCAATAGAAATTTAAGAAAAGTTCAGGGTAATGATATATCATAATATATAAAGCATATTTAATAAGGATTAGAATACATCTTTCTAATATACATGGACGGGTCCAGAGGAGAACACGACCCCCCCCCCCCAACTGCTTAGCTACGTAATCATTTTTTTTTTATGAGAAAAGTGTGACTGTCGTGTGCGTGTGCTTTATCCTTTATCATTAAATGGTGGGACGGGATGGGAATTCAAAGCGCGAGATAATAATATAGACATAATGTGATATCATAATTAATAATTTGCATCAATGAAATTGAATCACAATGTGATCCTATTAATTCATAATAAAAATTGACGTCAAACAGGGTGTTGGATTTCTCTCTTTGAAAAGCTCAGTGAGTGTGTATGCCTATGCCTACGTAATTTGGAGACGACGATGGCACCATGCATTGTCAACGGTCAAATTTCCTTGGGAACCTAGCAAACCACCTCCTGCAAAAATTCCTGCATTTCATCACAAGTTTTATTTGCTAACATTTATCTGATAAAAGCTATCTGGGGATTTGTCACAGTAGAGAAGCAATTTATCTGAAACTTTTAAATGCATACCTTTGTTTCTTCATACTTTTTCTAACAAAAGAGAAAATTAACCCTTTTCAAGTCAGTTGGTAAAATAATAATTCAGGATTTGAATATACAGTTACATTTGATGTATTAAAAATCTGCTACAAATCTACCAATCCATTGCAGAGATACAGACATTTTATATCAAAAAGCATAACAAAACCTTTGTCAAATACCATACACTAAGTATTATTTAAGTCTTTGGATTTTCAATAATTAGGGGAGTGTGGTTTCTTTCAATTTAAATCCATTGGGGAAGTGTGAGGTTATTCCAAGTTAATTTAAATTCATTAGTGGAGTGTGAGATTATTTCAAGGCAATTTAAACTCATTAGGGGAGTGTGAGGTTATTTCACGGCAATTTAAACTCATTAGGGGAGTGTGAGGTTATTTCAAGTTAATTTAAATTTATTGGGGGTGAGGTTATTTCAAGTCAATCTAAATTTATTAGGGGAGTGTGAGGTTATTTCAAGTCATTCTTAACTCATTGGGGGAGTGTGAGGTTATTTCAAGTAAATCTAAATTCATTAGGGGAGTAGGGGAGTGTGAGGTTATTTCAAGTCATTCTTAACTTATTGGGGGAGTGTGACCTTATTTTAAGTTAATTTAAATTAATTTACATTAAATTTTCTTGGTGAAAGTGTATCAAAAACAAATGGTCTTGGAATAACTGGTCTGGTCAATTTTCATCGCAACACATATCTTTTGATGATTGATAAATATAAACCACCATATGGTACTTTAGGGAAAGATGACAAACTTGAAAGTTACGTACATTGAATCAAATCTGGTATTGATGTAAATTCGGGTGTAAATGAGTTATACATTATATAACAATGGTTAAATAAATGTTATTACCCAATAGATATATTCTGCCAAGTATTAATTGTGTTAATTGATGGTTATCTGGCTTAAATGATTAATTATCAGCCCAGGTGCACGGAAATCTGTCTAGAATATATCTACTTTGAATTTCATAATACCAGTCTCAAATAATATGGTCTGCTGAGGAACCTCTGATTTAAATTCCAACACAAACTTATCTAAAAGTGCCTGTTTGCTGAATTAAAATCACATTCCACGCAAAAAAAGGTGGTACAATGAATGAATGATTGTAATGGGATTTAAGATCCTTTTCTGCAACAAGTGGGCTAAGGAAGATGGACATACATCATACAGTGCGCAATGAGGGAAATTTTGCCAAGGTTTTTGTTTACTTGCATTCCAATGTGTACACAAGACCTCAGTTTTGCATCCCATCCAAATGACTAGGCAGTTTTCTTTGCCAGCTCCTCCGTCCTCCAATACCAGCAATGGGAAACTACACTGGAGAACCCTGGGGAAGTTTCTCAGCAAAGACTGGGATCAAACCTCAGGGCTCCTGGTTAGTGAGCCAATGCCTAACTCACAGAGCCACACTGGCTCCCAAAAGCAAATGACTGAAATCGTTAAAATGTTGGACTTCTTAATCTACAAGGCATTTCCATTTCAAGTCATGTTTGTATGTTTATTCTAGCTGTCTCTACAGCATCCACAAGGGTTTTCAAAGCAATTAAAGTCAGGCATTTATTATCAGAAATTACTAGAAATCATTAGACTTCTCATTAACATTATCTAATTATAAATGTGATCAATGGTGACTATACAACCAATTTTCCATCTATTTATCATTTATCTACTTTTTGTCTTTTTAACCAGAGTAGATAAAGCTTTGCAAAGTTAATCTCAGGTAGCTCATTTTACTACTAAAGATTTTTTTATTTCTTGCTTCACTGAGCATCAAAACAAAAGCTCAATGTCTTGATCCTGAATTGAGTTATCTTTTCCTTGACTTTCTAAACACAGTTGTTCTCTTTCCTCCTGATACTGTTGTTGGTCGTCTGTTTATTTTAGCTTTGACTTTAAATTTTGACTGATTTTGCCCGGGTCTTTCTCTTTTTCCCTTTTTATCTTGTGATTTCTTGTCATAACTTTTGGTGTCTTGACTTCTTTTGAATCTCTTGGGTAGCACTTTTGAATCTGTTTTCCTTTTTCTTTTCATTCCAGCAAACAGTTCTTAATAATAAAAAAAACCAATATAATAAAAAAAACTACCATTTTTTTTTATAAATGCAGACCTGTCAACCTGAAGTAATGACAATTACTATGATTGCTTGTGAAGTGAGTTTGACAAAGCCATTTATTTGGATGGGCATAACACCAGAATGGAAGGTTTGATGCGCACAAAAATCACCCACTTTGTACATATTTCACATTTTGCATAAAAGGCTATAAAACAGAAGGTTAGATGCACACTAAATACAAACTAATCCCAATCTTTTGATCCTTAACATACATGTTCACTGTTTAGTTTCATCTAAATTGGAAAAAATTTCAGTCCAACATTTTAAGTTTCATCAAGATCTTTTGAATATAAACATATATTTTAAATTTCATCACAATCAGATAAAAATTGTGACCTGTCAACTAACCAATGTGAACAGGCTGACAGGGACAACGGCATTATACATCACATGAAGTTAGTATTCTTACCGATGAAACATTGGATAAAATAATGTCTTTTTGATATTGTATTTTATTTATTATTTTATTTCACATGAACATGTGGGTGTATACAAATTGTCCTTGTCACTTGTTGAGAAAGGAATGATGTGTTTAAGACAGAACAGCAGTTGAGAAAGGAATGGTGTGTTTAAGATATAATACAGTTGAGAAATTAATGATGCCTGATTAAACATGCATTATGATAGAGCTAAATCTGCCTATTGCAGGTCTTTCTTTAGGCCTAAAATGTTATCTAAATTATTAATTAGACATTAATTACTTATCCAGACCATAGTCATTGCTAGCCTGCAATATTTACTGGATTAGGATCCGATTTGCTGCTCAAATTTCATTCATGATTTAATCATGAAATGGATAATCAAGACTGTTTTTTTACAGTACCGACTTTAGTAATGACGATCGAGGCTAGGCCAAAAATTCAATCGCCAAATTCTTGGTTCAGAGTGGATCAATTTGACTGAAATTTTCAGCAAATTGCCTTTACATTGTCTAGTTTTTAACTATCATAGTGCGAACTGCCAGCTCTTTACCTAATCTCCCATAATGTATCTTTAAGGCATGAAGGTAACTGAGAAAGGAATAAAGTGTTTTAGCTTGTGGGGCTTGTAGGTACATGACAAACTTGTGTAATACAATATATATTATAATTACCAGGTGCTGGTTTAATTCCCACTTCCTTCTCATAATAATCAACATCATCATCATCTTCTATATCTTTACCACTCTTTGTATTATCTATATATACACAAAAAACAATAAGAATGTCAACAGAAAGATAACTCTTCTCAACATGCTTGAAATTTGCAATTTGAGATTTTCATAATTTGAAAGGGTTCTTCCTGGAGCCCTAATGAACAATCTCCCAGTAAAATATTCCATTAAGAATGAAAACAGGGACATAACTACAAAATGTACAATACCAGATATGCTCACATTTTGCAAGAGATTGATAGAGAACATGCTAAAATCAAAAGCAATTTTTCATACAAAATCCAGAAAGTCATGATCTGAAATACACAAATATCGAAAGGAACTGAGAGTCTGAGATCCTTGGGATATAAAGATATATTTATCAAAACCGGATAAAAATTGTGACCTGTAGAGAGTCCACAACCTTCGTCTCACATACTTTTAAAAACTTTATGTACAAAGAGCGACCATTTTGTCGGGCAGTTTGTTTCGATTTTCCCCTTCATTATGGTGGAATAGTCATATATTTAAACGGTTTTTAAAATCGGATAAAAAATTGTGACAAGCTAAAAAGCAGGATTTTTCATACAATCAGGGGCCATAATCCAGGAAGTTACGGTCTGATATGCGCAAATAGCGAATCGAACCAAGATCTTTGGGACATTAACCTATATTTTAAATTTCATTAAAACCAGATAACAATTGTGAATTATAGAGGGTCCACAACATTGGTATGACATACTTTTACACTTTTTGCGTACAAGGAGCAGCCATTTTGTCAGGCAGTTTTGGTCTGATTTTCACGAAATTGGAACCCTACCGTCATTTGGGTGTAACAGTGAAATATTCACACTTTTTTTAAATCGGATAAAACTTGTGACCTCTAGAGGGACCACAAGCTTAAAACGGGATTTTCCGTACAATCAGGGGCCATTATCCAGGAAGCTACAATACGATATGCAAGAATATCGAAAGGAAACAAGACCTTTGGGTTATAAACAAGTCTTTTAAGTTTCATCAAAATCAGAACAAAATTGTGACCCCTAGAGGGTCCACAACCTTGATATACCAGCCATTTTGTCCGTCATTTTTTGGTCCAATTTTCACGAAATTTGAACTCAAACTTTTTTTTAAATCAGATAATAATTATGACCTCTAGAGGGACCACAAGCAAAAAAATAGATTTTTCATACAATCAGGAGCTATAATGTCAGGAAAATTGAAAGGAATCAATATATATTTGGGTTATAAATATGTATTTCAAGTTTCATCAAAATCAGATGACAATTGTGACCTCTATAGTGTCCACAAGCTAAAAAAGTGATTTTGCGTACAATCAGGGGGAACGTTCCATTCAGTTAGGGACGGATATATGCCAATATCAAAAGGAAAACGAGATCTTTGGAAGATAGCCGTATATTTCTAGTTATGTCAAAATCGGATAAAAATTGTGACCTGTAGAGTATCCACAAACAGATTGTGGACGGATGTCTAGACAGATAGGGGAGACAACAATATACGTCCACATGAAAATGTGGGCGTATGAAATTTTTTTCTAGATTTCAATTGCCACTGAACAATCTCATCAAGTTCCATTACTGAATAACATACTCGGACTACAACAGCCGAAAAAATCTGGAACAAAAACAACTTATTACGTAGCAAACATACCTATATCTCCAAGTAATGATTCTGCTTCTTTTTTCATCTGATTCGACTTTCTGATTCCTTGAAGAGATCTCTCTTTATGTTCTTCTTTTAACTTAGCTTTTTTAACCACATTCAATTCTTGTTGTCTTCTTCTAGCTTCTTTTAATGATCTAAAACATAAACAAAATCCTTAACACAAATCATCTGTGTGCTTGGCTAATAATGATGCTTCTGTTTTACACTTCATACATCTGCTTAACATTCCGGTAAATATATGAAACCTTACTATTACATTACAGCCATATGGTCTTACCTTTTCTGATCCTTTAATTTCCGTATTTGTTTCATTTCTGCTTCTGTTTTCTTCACATATTCATGAAATAAAACTTTGCCATCACAGAAACCTTCCTCTATCATTATAAGCTGTAATGTTAATCTGGGACCGATTTCTTTTAATCTAAATTGGTTATACAAACAATAAATTTAGTAATCACAACTTAAATATAGCTGATATTCTATAAAGTGTATCTGACATCCAGAACACAGAAGCCAGGATAATATCTCTTGCTCCTTGTTACAGTCACACCAATTCTCAAACAACTCCATTTTCGTCCTGTTAGTTACAGAATCAAATTTAAAATTCTGTGTTCTATATTTCAATGTTTAAATGGCACTTCTCCAAAAATATCTGAGTGATCCCTTACAATCCTACACTCCTGCAAAGACCTTAAGATCTGTAGATAAAAAACTCCTTGTAGAGACAAATCCTAAGACAGTCTGTTTTGGTCAAAGAATGTTTTTCCTAATCAACCCCAATAAAGTGGAATGAGTTGCCACTGAAAATAATGAACTCTCCAGATGTTATTGTGTTTACATCCAGACTAAAAAACGTTTTTGTTTAAGAAAGCATTCACTTTGAGCATGCTCATGCATGGATATTGTGCAATATAAATAGATTATCACTATCATCACTATTACTATATCTTTTTTTGTACGAGTCAGCCCATTCTTCGTGTGAGTCTGTTTTACTCAGATCTGTTTATTACATAATCACAATAGTATTAACTTAAAAAAGTACACATTTATTTGAAATATTTGTGACCAATCTTGCTTGTTGTGTCATTAAAGATAAAGGCATCGCTTACCTAATAGCACTTTGTGCAGATTTAATATTACCCCTTCCAAATACATTTTGTGGTAATGTCACTTCATTGTGTGGTCCATCTAACTCAGCTTCACTTTCTGATAAATTACCTCCCCTGAAAGGAAAACAAATATTGAACAATGATTCACAGAACAAACTTGTAATACCAGTATATAATTATAATAAATTATACTGAGACACAATGAAAATGCACCATGTTTATAAATGGATTATTATAAATCTTGTTTGAGAGATACCTTTCACGATCACATAAACGCACAGCAGAACAATTCTCTCAAAACACAAAAGCTTGAACTCGACAGAATGAGAAAGTTAAACACCATGATTTTATACTGCAGACATGGGGTATAAAATGTAGATCTTAAAGCTGAACTCTGATTACAAAACTACAGAAAAAATCAAATAAAAAAAAAAGTTAACACCCTAAACAATCGCCATACTTGTTTTCAATTTGTAGAACAAACATATGGGAATGTATGGTGTACAAAAACAGAGATAGGCCACGCCCACATCCAGAATATGCCTTGTCAACCACACTGTCCACATTGGGCTAGCAATATTTCAACTACCAATTACCTCCTGACTGATTGACATTTTTTCACTATCAGTTTACTGAAAATATTATTGCTACACAATTATTATGTCTGATCAGGTACATATTATTTTACTAATTAGACGAAATAAGTCAACCATGATGTACTTTTGTAATCAGAGTTCAACTTTAAAAAGCAAAGGCCAGTACCACTCCTACAATTCTGTGGAAGGTGCATTGTGTAGACATCTGAACACTGCATGTCTTGCCAGTCAGTGGTGAGTTTTCATTGCCTCTCAGATTTTAGGGTTTTTTTAAAGATAACTGTCACAAAACAAAGGTTTATTGGTTAAATATGAGAAATCCTCAAACAATACTTGGAGGTCGGGTGTTTGATCCCTGCATTGGTCGAGAAAGTTCATTCAGATTTTCCAGCGTGGTTTCCCCTTGTCAGTGATGCAGGATGGAGGGCCTGACAAGAACAGCTGTCTAGTCATTCGGATATGATGAAAAAACGAGGTCCCGTGTACACATTGGCGCGCACGTAAAAGATCCCTTGGCAGTTGGAATTTGTATTAAGAGTAGGCTGTAGCGCCACTGCCCGAACAAAATTTCCCTCATAGCACACGGTATGGCGTATGCCCATCTTCATTAGCCCAAGTTAGGAGCAGAACAGTAGGATGTTAAACCCCATTTCATTTCATTTTAAACAAAACTGTCTTAAACATACATTATGCAAGAGGTAAATCTGCCTATTACAGGTTTTTCTTTAGGCCTTAAATGTTATATAAACTATTAATTAGACATTTATTAACATGACAAGACCATAATTAAATCTCAATGGTATCAGATAGGTATGATTTTATGTAGATTAGAACGGTTCGACCATTTTATGATTTAATTTTTTAAATGTTGAAGATTTGAACAACCAGTACAGTGGTTACAATCAGTGCAAACATCTTATCAAACCTTCAAAGGATAATAGCTTCGCTCAGAATAAAGTAATTTGAATGAAATTTTCACTATATTCATATTGCATTATCTATTTTGGAACTATTATAGCAAGAACAGCTAGCTCTTTATCTAAATCTTACATAATGTATCTTTAAGTACTGCTACTTACTTTGCTAGGTATTCACTGACATCAGCATACTTTCCTAAATCAGGCACTTTTGACTTCATTAATTTTTTAACACCACGACTTAAACCAACTGGTACCACTCTTACAGTACTAGAAAAATAAACAAATAGCTTAAACTAAAAATAAATCTACAATACCGGGTTCAATATAAACTCTGACCGATAAATTTGCCATAAAAATAATTATAAACATAGAAATACAACCCATGCAGGTATCTATATAAGTATGTGGATGCTTAATTGTTAATTGAGAACTTACTGAACTGACAGAGTAGCAATCAAGTGACACAGAATTCAATTCTGGTATTATGAGTAGAATCATGACGTACTGGTAATTAAAAACATGGAATATTTCAGCGGTTGTGGTTAGTTGGGGTATTTTCTTATTCAGTCGGTGCATACACTGTAGTCTGAAATTCCCCTTTTCACTTGTTTGTCACTATTCGTTGGATTAAGAGGATTCAATTGCGGAGTGATCGGTCGAGTATTTCCTATACATAAAAAGTCCAATTATCTAATATAAATGTTTATTTATTACTTACTAATGTCTAAATTCTATCATTTTAGTTTCTGGATCATAATTTAATAAAACACATCTTCTTATTGTGTTTAAATTAACCTGAAAATACAACAATTTCATGTTTCTATCATTAGGTCGAAACTTAGAATGGGTAAACATCATTAATTTGGGTCAAAAATAGGTTTGTGTATTACGTGTATGTATTAATTTATTTTGTCATCGTTCAATAGTTTACATCTATAGTTTAGACCAGTGTTGTGTTCCTCTGACAACACAATTAGCCAATACAAAATTTAATGCTACCCGGCCAATCACTAATGAAAATAACACACCAGATCAACCTGATTCAATACATGTACTTTATTTTGATCTAAATCAAATAGGTTTTAGCTGCCTTTAACTTGTGGTAATATGATTAAATATTTTCATTAGATTTTAAACTATCACTATCATTACCTACATATGTATTAATTAGAGTTTGATATTCAGTTGAAATTGAAATATAACTTGCAAATTTAAATTTCGAGATTCGAGAGATAGAGCCACTGTTAAGATATAGTTGACAGCTTACGGCTTTAAGCCAAAAACGGAACTAAATTTCAATCTATTCACAGATTAAATTAACAAATCAGATCAACCCAATTGATCTGTTTAATAAAATGGTTTACCCCCTTTAATTTACATGTACAATGTATCACACTTGACAGCTTTTGACTTTGATCACAACTACACATACCTGTGCATCAAAACTATCTGTATATCTAATTGGATTTCTATCATTTCACCATAATGGATCATACACCGTTATGTATATGATTGATGATATTTTAAAGATCAATTCATGGATTATACTACTGTACAAACCTTATTCACATTAATAGATGGAAACATATTTTGAAACATGGTAGACATTAGCTTCATGTGCATTCCTTCACCTCCAAAATTATTTAACACTAGTAACGGATGATGTCTATACACAGTTTTATCTAGATCAGGTTTCTTCAGAGATGATAAAACGTCTTTAGTTAAACAGTATTTATGAACTTGAAACGTCATTGTTGGTCCTTTCGGTGTCCGTACAATCCTTAGATTAGTGTGTAAGTCATTTTTTGTAAACATCATGAAATGTGTAACATTTAAAGCACCAGCCACAGAAAGAAAGTCTTTTAATGTATTCTTTTTTCTAACCTGAAATAAACAAGAATATAATGGTATCAGTCTGGCTTATACATACATGTACACTGATTTTTTTTTTAAAATACCACAATCCCAATAAAATGTATTGTGGTCTACATGGTTGTACATATATTTCTACTACATGTACATCTATTTGTTGAAACAGTAAAATGCAGTCACTTTGGATTATATAGGCTATACATTATCTTTGCCTCTTGAAATGCTCATTTGCTGGGTCGGGGGGTAAGTGTTATATGCGCCCCATACGTTTTTTGGACTAAAAGAAAGCCTACACTACAGACTCACACATTTTGATGCTATAGTTACATGTACATGTAAGAGCATTATCAATGCAATAATTACTGTTGTTTTGATTTCCTAAGAAAAACTATGTTTCCAAGCAACAATTAGGATCTGTGTTAGTACATGTAAGCGCCAGAATAGATTCTCGGCAATCACTTCCTGTCAGAACAACCCAATTAAAGCCCATATTTGTCATCAGTGCCAGAATAATTTCTCGGCAATCACTTCCTGTCAGAACAGCCCAATTAAACCCCATAATTGTCATTGCAATGCAATTGTCTATATCATTTTAACTCATATACTGGCTGCTTAATATCTCATCATTTGTGATCGGGATAAGTGACATTTAACATTGTCATTAAGGGCCTTGAATGTGTCATTCTATAATTTAGTTATACATGTAACCACCTCTAGATTAGATGCTGTATATGGTTCCATAACACTTCTTAGATTCCTGACTAATTCTTCCATAACTTTTCCTACATCTCCACGGTGAAAAACCATGGAATGTGGAGTCTTTGTATATTCTTCTTCTTGTAAAGACTGCTGGTGAGCCTTAGTTTTCCGAACTGATTTGGCCTAAAATGATAAGAACAGTTTAAGTTTAATTATATCAAGGACAGATCTGTACTCATACTCATAGGTGGGATTTAACTGACAGGCCTTATAATTCAGCTTGGACTGTGTGCGAGAGAAATGTGGTTTATTGTCCACTCAATAGAAAATAGGCCATTTTGGGACTAAAATTCGGTATAATTTTATTTCAATAATCCACTTTTTCATAGTATAGTGATAGTGGGAAGAAACCAGAGAAAACGATTCGGCCACCCAACCCATAGTTTGGCCTTAGAATTACCTGATCCTTTTCAAAAGAAACCAAATTTTCAAAAAAAAAACGAAGTGGATATTTAACCGTATACGGCAAAGTATCTACTTCCGCTATTTTAAGTACATCGTTTCTGATTAAAAATGGTGGAAAGTACAGAAAAATCCACCATTTTGGCAACTCGCTTTTCAAGTTTGGCGCAGAAGCGCGATTTTACGGGGAAAAACATAAACCACTGACAGTCTTAGTACTTAATTAAAAACCAAATTTGGCAGAAATGCGCCCTCGACCAAAATAGAATAATATTCTAAATGCTTTTCTACAATTTACATTTATTATCTTATTTTCTTTTAAAAATAATTCTCCAGTTTCTACCATAGAAATTCAAGTATGGCTATTTCGTTCCTTTATAAGAAACGGAAAAAGAAGCAATGTTAGAAAAAAAACAAATAGAGCTGTCGGGTTATGGGTTAATGTCAGACGGCATTGCCAAAGCGAAAACTGTTAAGTCCAGGTATCAGAGAACTGCGCATGTTAAACGGAAGCGTACGGCAAAATAGTAAATAAAGTAAAGTGCCGTATACGGTTAAATATCCACTGCCAAAAAAAAAAGAAACACTACTGTACCAATTTTTTTGTGACTAGCCTACAATATACACATGTATCACCCCAGAGGCCCGAAAAAGTTTCAGTGTGAATCTGAAAATGTTTAGGCTTCACACTCACCACAGTAACCGGCGTAGGGACAACAATTACTGCCTTACTGACACGATCTCAATTGAGTTTTATCTTTTATGATACGGTAGCTGTAATTTTAAGGCATGCTTAAATATTTACCCTTTTATTTCGTCCCATCTTGTCGATTAATTAACGAGTGGCACCATATACAGAGTCACTAAAGAAATTATTGTTGACAAATACGCAACACGTGCAAGACCGGAAGTTTAGTGGTGTTTACTAAAATATGACTTCCATTTGCAACTCTGAAACGAAATAAAAAAATTATTTCTGATGGCGGTTTTCGCGAAACGAAAATAGACCTTAATTGATGAGTTCAATGTCGAGAAAGTTCTATGAAGATGCAAAAAAAAACCCCAACAATATTGATATAGACTAGTCTACACAGACATTACAGACGGAAATTTATAATTTAAAAAAGGACAGTTTTATATTTATGAAGATTATAATGACAGTAATAATTCCTTTATGTCCATACCCTTTTTGATATACACAAAGATTCTTAATATTTCGTTTTTACATTTGAATAACGATTTCAATTTCATTTCATTTGGTGTTGAGTGGCAATATTTCGGAAGGCAGTTCATTTAGAGTTATTAACGACTGGAATTCGCTGCCCCAATAGGTAATCAGCTCAGAAACTATTAACCAATCCAAATCATTTCTAAACAAGGACAGACTGAGAACGCTATCTGTGATTTTCCCACCATAACTCTGTTTTCTTACGTTTCAAAATTTTGACCGGAGGTTCCAATTTTAATATTCTTATATAGGCTACCTGAACGTATAGTGACAACATAGAGATGTTGACAATAAGTACATTAAACATGGAGTAGGGTAATCGCTACATCGAAGTGTATTAAAGTAGCTATATGTCTTCAACTCAATATCATCCACAGTCTTCGACATCGCAAACATTGCTTATTGGTCAATTTAAATCAACATTGATGTTGTTACCTTACCGTGAATATTTAAGACACAGGTGAACATTTTAAAATTGGCACACGATCGCGTGCCAGAATGCTTTTGAGAGCCATTTGTAATGACGTGACTCGATGAAAGAGGCTAAGCATACCGATGTAGACTGAAATAACCAGACGCCAAAGAATGCTACTCAATTGTGTTCGCGTATTTCGCCGAACATAACTGATTAGAAATTACAGTAAAAACAGAAACGATTGAATGTAAATCAATTTATATACATTCATTTTTATGCGTTGCGAACCATCTGTGTCCATTTCTAGGTGCCAAAGTGGAGATGGAATTAACAGAGCTAGAACCCGAATGGTTCGCAGCCATTGACGTCATAATGAAATAACGTCATAATGAATGTCAGACGTCACACCATTGTTGATTGTAGAAGAAGAAAGAAGTCTATCTAATTCTAAATATCGTGTGCGCTTTATTGAAAATAGTTTAACTATTTTTCAAATTTCCACGTTTTATCAAAGTTTACAAGAATTTAATACCAAGTAAGTTTACTTTTTATATACACTTTCATTTATACTTCAAAATAATTTTTCGAATATTAGTTGTTTAACTAAGTAGCGAAAAGAAAAAAAGATGCTTCCGACACTATCCATCCTTTTTAGTTTTAAATTGTAGGCCTACGTGTAATGTAATTGTAAAATGAATAAATCAAATAGCGTCAGATAGTACTAGATATATGCATGTTTGTATTATTATATCTATATTATTCTCTTTTTGCAGAGTTTTAACTATGCCTTTCAACTGTTTCTCAAGAAAAGTTAAAGTTGACTCGATGCCATGTAAGTTTTTATTTAATTTTGTTCTCAATAAGATAAAGAAAAAAAGATAAGGGAATAGCAGACTTACTAAATGTTTTTAAAAAGGGATTAAAATATAATATAATTCTAATAATTTATTTCTATTTTAGCAAAGGAACACAATGAAAGAGAAAATTTAAAGACAGTTCTCAAGAGAGCATGGAAACAAATTGATGAAATCGCCGAAAGATACCGAAAGGAGAATGCAGCAGAGAAAAAAAGACCCTCAAAGGATTTGGATAAATTGATGAAGAATCGTCAAAGTAGAGTAATCGAGCTTCTAGATATTCACCGTTCAATTATTCAAGCACAGAAACGTGCGCAACAGCAGAAGATAACTAGTGAAAGAGCGGGAAAACTTCTGCAAACTGACACGTTTGGTGTTAATCAAAATAATGTTGAAATTATACAAAGCAAAGATATAGAAAATACCAAATGCCAGGAAATTAAAACAAAAGACAGAGTAACCGAAACATTGGCTGATGGTTTGATTGTTGCTACAAAAAATACTAATGTTGAAGACAAAACAAACGAAGGGTTAGCTGATGATGGTTTGGGTGCTGCAACTCCAGTGGTGCCACAAGGTATGCTGCTCTCTTTTTTGATATAGTCCACAATAAGCATATTTAAATCGATATCTAAGCGAAATTACATTACACACTGCATTTGATATAGCGCACATTAGTGTCATGATACTGGTGAATAAATGTACCATTGGCATACAACACCACCACATTTGTTATCTCTCGAGAGTCGAGACAGACAAAACTGGCATTCGAGGGCAGTTCTATAAATGAAGGACTTCTAGGCCTATATATTATAATATTATAGAACGAATTTGACTATAATGGTGTCTATTTTACAGAAAAGAAAGTCCAACTTCATCTTAGAGGTAGAATCAGAAAAAGTTGTAGACAATTTTGGACGACTGTTACCCGACCGTTTAGAACATGTCTTGGAGAACAAAAGCAATCTAGACAATAAAAAAGCTATAGAAAAGGTAAATATTATATTTATCACTAATAATATTTTTTAAAAACCTCCCGAACTAGATATTCTAGTCTTAGTATCAACTTGGTTGTGTTCTTCTAATATTTCTATTGAACATAGAAAGGAGTAGAACGAAATACTATTTTATACATCCATTCAGAGGCAGAAAAGCCTGACGTAAAAAACCATTTCATTTTGGTGACATTAAATTATCCTTTTTTTTCATATTTTTCATATTTTATTTCAGACAGCTGATGGAAGAAGAATTGGGATTAGAGATATGATTAAAAAAAAAATGAGATAAATTTATTTTGATTTAGGAAATATTTATCCATTTAATAACAGTTTTTTCCATATAATAACAGTGACAGTTTGATAAAATATACATTTCTATTTAGAAGCTGTTTTTTATATATATATATATATATATTCAATTATTTATATATATCTATTTATTTTTTTGTAAAGATTATTTTCCATATATTTTTGTTGATGCAAATTTTATTAAATAAAAATCTTTTTGATGGTTATTTCGTTGCGTAAATTCCATTATTGAATCCAAAAAATGGACCTTGTCTGGAACAATTTTGTCCGGACCTGGGAATCAATGCCATGTAATCAGTTTCACCATTGTTCTGTTATGAATATTATGAAAAGTTAATCGTATATAATGTGCAAGACTGTTCAAACCTTACATACTTTGTCTCGCTTTATTTTATCTTTCTGTTTTTAAATTTTCACTTTATCGTACCACGGTAAGGACTTTGCCTTTTGTGAAGTGGTTGGATTCGCTTTCCCGATTTGCTCGCAATTATGCCGTTGATTGATTATGTTTTACTAAATGTGTAATTCCATGTCAAGTGGACAAGCGGTTGTCGGGTTACCACCTCATAATATTACGTCCTGCACTGTTCTGCACCGACTGGTCTAATGAAGATGGGTATACGCCACGCAGTGTGTTATGGGGGACATTTTGCACGGACAGCGGCTCTACGGCCTACTTTTATATAGATTTCCAACTGCCAAGGGTTCTTCACCTATTGTTTTCTCAATCCCCTACCACTCGCTAGTCATTACTTTATCATTACACACACTGCCTTACATAAAAATATCATTTTAAGTCAACAAATTATTTATAATCAAAAATGAACTAACAGTACAAGTAACAAGTTGACCAACAATAAAGGTTTATTTATGATTGACAAGAGCCAGTGTAATTCCTGAGTATAATTTATGTAGGTGTATGATTTTTTATTCTTTTGTTCGGCTTTATAATTGTGTAACTTGTTTCATATGTACGTCGAGTGTCACTATAGTCTTTGTAACTTCACCGCTTCACATAGTTCACATAGCCAGTTATAAATAGAATGAATATATGTGGATAGTCTCTGTTGTGTAAACTCTGTATTAGGGGAATATATCTCACCTTAAAAATACCTGTTTAAATTTAATGATGCCCAGTCCTAAATATTTGAGGATTATAGAACAATGTCGATCGAGAGGAAGACCGTATAATGATCCAGATTTCCCTGCCAATTATATCTCAAGAGTTGGAGAAGATGGAAGACACGAGTCAAATATTGAATGGAGGCGACCGTTTGTATGTATTCTTTCAAATTATCCAATCGTCACTAATATCATGTGACAAATAATCTATATTATTTATCAAAGTTATTTGAATTTCATGGATACACCTATTAGTCATACGTTTATTTTTAAAAAAAAAAATAGTATCGTTTCGGAAGTAGTCTATTTAAGCGATTACTCACATAATTATTTATCTTAGATTAGAATGTTATTATCCGATCAATTTTGAATCTATAATTTCTGCATTAGGGAATCAATTTCAAGCATTTCCAATAATTACATAAAGTTATTACATTGTACATGATGGTACATTTCACATAATTATAAATACATGCAGTAGGAAAACAACACAACAAAAAACAAGATATTAAGGGAATTACCCCGCACTCTCTTTCATGAAATGCATGTTATGTTTTTATTGGTACACAACTTTAACAGGGCAGTCTGGCGGATTAAATAATAGTTCAAAAGTCATTGCAAAAGCAGATTTTCGTATTTAGACACTGGAACAGAAAAATGAATTTGCCTTCTACGGAAGAATGAAACATTGGTCAGATGGTATATTCTTGTAGCATCCTCTCAGCTCTCTATGTGAGCGGAGTCGAAACAATAAAAGGATGCTTTAAAGTTTTTATTTTTAATATGCCAATATATCAGGGGCATATGGAGGGGTGGCGATGGGCCATGGACCTTTTGGATCGTCAAAAAACAAAACTTTTTTTATAAGACACACCCAGTTTGACTTACGATAAATAACCAACGTTGATTAACATATACTGTCATATTGTGTACGCCACTGTAATACTTCAAACCCTACTATTATAAAGGTGACAAAGCTGCATTAATTCATTGCTTGAAAATACACATGTATATTATTTTCTGTAGGAAATATCCAAACATGCCCAATTTATTGTTCAAGGGGCTGACTACGATGACATAACCCAGGGTGATTTAGGTAAGTGGTATTTACCGAATGTACAGCAACTATAGGTATGTCAATCTTTGTTTATAAAGAAACTGGTTCATTTACTGGTTCATGTGGCCTACTTATAATTAGACATTGTTTGCTTTAAATCGGACCAAGACACACGGTGATGAAATGGTTCATTAGTTTATTCATACAGAAATGAAATGGGATTTAACGTCCTACTTACCTGCACCAACCGGGGTAATGTAGACGGATCAATGATACAGATGACCTCAACTGAAATTCTGAAAATCTTGATCGCAAACGACAGGGTTACTGTTTTTGTTTTCGATGTTGTGATCCTAATTGGTATACTATATTTGGTCATTGCACACGAGTAAGATCCCTGTTAAAACTTTGAATGTATCAATTGTATATCACATTTTATGTCCATATTTTAAAGCTTATACACACGCATATTCCCCAATCGACGTTCCCGAGAGATGTCGATATAACATTTCATTCCACGGAGTCGAATGATAAAACTTTATTGTCCTCTTACAAACACTATAAATTGTAGATCTTTTATTTATGTTTTAACCCTAGGGGAAGGAGTACTGCTAATATATGTTTTTCTCCGATTATGTATTGGGAATGTGGGTATAGTGTTATGGTATTGGGAACGTGGATATAGTGTTATGGCAGTGGGAATTTGTGTATAGTGTTATGGTAGTGGGAGTGTAGGTATATTGTTACGGTGTTTGGAATGTGGGTATAGTCTTATGGTTTTAGGAATATTGGTATAGTATTATGGTATTGGGGATGTGGGTATAGTCTTGTGGTATTGGGAATAAGGATAGTATGGTGGTAGTTTTAGTAAAGTATTAGTACTGAAGATTTATAATAACGATATTGTATTATTACATTAATAGGCGATTGTTGGTTTATATCGGCCATTTCTATATTAGCAACAAATCAAACATTATTTGAACGGGTTGTACCACAGGATCAAGTTATTGATGAGACACTTGGTATGTATATATACATGTATATTAAAATGATCAAATATATAATTATGATATACTGAGACTACAAATACACAAAATGAATAACTGACAAATCAAAGATATAATAGAACAATAATAAATTTATCAGTAAATATAATTCTATAAAAATTGTAAGTCAAACACATACATATTTAATTGAATTCGGTAATTTAACGCCCCAGATACTTATATAAAAATATTACTATATTTCAGTTTTGGAGACATCACTATAAAAATTTAATTTTGAGAAATAAATATTAATATTGTATTTCTTGATATTTCTGTCTACATTATTTTGTTTATAAAATTATATTCTCTGTTATATGTCACTATGATCTTAGCAAATATAAGTTCGTGACTCATTTTTTGAGAAAATATGTTTTACATTCCCATCGTGTAAATAATAGGTATCAATTTCTGCATAATAATATACAGTAAATAGTAGTTAACATCCGCATTGGATGTATTATTATGCCGCTTTTGAAAGCTTTCTGGGGAATTTGAACTGATAAAAAATAGGTGTTGTCCTTTTATATATATTCATGAATAGGCCCACCTTTTTGTTGTAAGGCTCGCTAAAAATAATAAACTAACCCTTCTATAAAATTAACTTATTTTTACTAAGAATTTCCAAACGACCACATTAATATCACTTGTAGCAGATTAAACTTTCAATAAATGACAAAAAAAATCCCATACATTAGTTGTACCTAAATTATTTTCATTTAACATCAATTTATGCAATGTTTACCATTAAGAGTTTGTTGTTCAAACATTTCTCTTCCAGGCGTATTTGTGTTTAATTTTTGGGTAAACGGAGATTGGCAAGAAGTCATAATCGATGATCGCCTTCCAACATATGTTAATGGACAACTGGTTTATGCTAAAAATTTAAAAGAGCCGAATGAATTCTGGTGTCCTCTTATGGAAAAAGCGTACGCCAAGTAAGATTATGTATAATCAAACCTCAAGAACATTTGTTATATTTTGATATTACCGGCAAATTTTCTGGAAGTTAACGGGATTTATGTCTTTGTCTTCTTTAATGAAATGAACATGTGAAATAAAACAATTATTTGTTACATAAATCGTTTTCTTTCTTATAGGGAGTCATGGTGGCTAAGTGGGTAAGACACTGACTCGCTAGTCGAGAGTTCGCGGGCATGGTGCATGTCGGATGGGCTGACAAGGACAGTTGTCTAGTCGATCGAATGGGACGAAAACCCGAAGTCCCGTGTACACATTAGCGTGCACGTAAAAAGATCCTCTGGCAGTTGGAATTCGATGTAAGAGTAGGCCGGAGCGTCGCTGTCCGGGCATAATTTCCCCATAGTACATTGTATGGCATATGCCCGTCTTCTTTGGCCCAGTAATTTCTTTCTTATGTGTAATGTGCTTCTGGTAATCATTTCAAATCATAGCTATAATATATAAGTGTTTAGTGATTTTCTTATACTTCTCGCATATAGGTATTAGTTTTTATTTTTTTGTATTGAGTTATATTGCCAAATTATAACTATGTTCTGTATTTCAGACTGTATGGTAGCTATCTTGCTCTGGATGGTGGTCTTTCTGTTAACGCTTTAGTTGATATGACTGGAGGTATATCGGAAAGGTTTATTTTAAAACCAAAAGATTACAGTCGTCGTTATAAACCCGAATTTCTTGCTGATGTTTTACTCAAGTGTTATACAATGAATACTTTAATGGGTGCAGGTATTAATGTAAGTGTCAATACAAAATGATAGCGTGAAATTTCATTCAGTATTTAATATCTGCTTTAAACTTTAAGATCGTCTTACTATTTCTTAGTATTATTAACTGAAAAGATTTGTGAAACAGGATGCATGTAGAGTGAATAGCTTGACTGGCTGTGTGGTTGAATATTCGTATTATTTCAGGCAAAGAGTCAGTGGGGTCGATCTTTAAATTATCTGAGAGGAGATTTGTCAGATCAGCATGCATACAGTATCATTAAAGTTGAAAAGGTAAATATAAAATCAATATGTTGGCTTTCCCCATACGCGGCGTAGAAGGCTGGGAACCAAGGGAATTTGCCACCACACACAAATATTCCCTCTGGGTAGTGGCAAATAGTACCCGTTAAGTAATAATTATGTCCTCTTCTATTATCAGATATATTTCTTCCTCAAGTATATACGTCGACTCAACACGAACTACGTCATTTCGGAACTTAAACATGGTACAAATTTTAATTCAATATTTTGCTTGCGCGTAGTTTTATTTATTTTAAGCATTGGGGGGCCGGGGAGAGAATATCCACGAGGCTGGGCAGGCGACCCTAATTTGGATCGAAACCACGCCACTTGACTTACGTTAGTCATGGAATCACCTAGATAGTGTTGTGTAGGTCAATATCTTTCTAAAAAAAATATATACCATATACGATTGATGCAATTACCTCTTTGCTGTGTAATTATAATGCATTATATTGAATCTTTCAATATGCAATATTTCAAACGTTATCAAAATATTGATTAATTTAAAGGCCAATCTCGATTATATTTTGGGGAATAAAACTGCTTACTGTTGTGTTAAAAGCCCTTAAAAGCCTCTTAGGGCCGAGCACTAACTCAATATACGAGATACGTTTTCAAACAACTTAAACCCTCCAGTCTTCATCTGGAAATGGAGATCTGTATCCCAAGCTGTATTTTGCAGTGTTTGGATAAAACCAGACTTTTGTTTTATAAAAATAAGACGTAGGTGAAATTTACCTTTCTTTATCAAGTACAGCACACGGGTTATACACTGTACAGACCTCTAAAGGAACGACAATAGATTAGCAGGTCACCCAAACGAAAAAATTGACCCGAAATCTTAAAAAGATTACTTAGCGGATAAGCGGTTTTGGCGTTCACGTCCAAACGACTCAATCTTTTGTGCTGAAATTTTGAGACAAGGTAGATACACCATTCCTCATTATTTTGGCGCTTAAATTTCATACTTGCACATACTTTTATTTCTTAGACTCTGTTAAAATCGGGATGGTCCCTTATGGTGTTCAGAAAATAATTAAATGAAATCGGGTTTAATTTCCCACTCTTCTGAACCGACTGGGCTAATTTTGCCTGGAAAGTGGCACTACGACCTACTCATATCGATTTCCAACTGTCAAGGTTTCTTTTACGTGCATGCCAATGTGTACACGGGATACTTTACATCGCTAACAGATAATTCAAACTTAATTTCAAAAACTGTCGCCCGGAAACGTAATAATCGATTGTCTAATTAATATAGGGTTTTTTTAATAATAAAAAAAAAAAAATAAAAAAAAAAAACCCTCGGTGACTATCATATTCCACTGTGTTTATAAAGAACCACCCGGTCTCGAATTGCATTATAACTGCAGAATATTTCATAATTCCCAGTATTGTTTTTGAAAAGTATTTACGTAAACAGTTTTACAAGTAAACATAGCATGCTTTCCTCGTAATGTACGACAAAACACGGGTTAATTATGTTTGATAATAATAATATAGTTTCCCACCAATTCCATTTCAGATACAATATGGTCATCAAAATAAAACAGTTACCCTAGTGTTGATACGGGATCCTAATGCAAATAAAAGGGCCATCTCGGAATGGAAAGGGCCCTGGAGTGATAAGTATACAGTCTTTCTTTAATTTCTAATAGTTTTTTTTAAAAATTATTATTATTTTAATAACATTTGAGGATAATTCTTCCAACATTCCCAATTATATAAATGTTTGGTAAGCCAAGAAAATAGATTAAATTATGGATAAGTTTTGCACCTATCTTTTCTGGGTTTTTTTTTCCAGTTCATCTGAATGGTCATCTGTATCTACAGAAGTTAAAGATAGAATAGGTTATGACCCAGAAAGATATGATGGAGAATTCTGGTATGTTTTAAACAGTATTTTGTCAGATTCAAAATTAACCAAGCATCCACTGAATTACATATATATAAAACTTATGATACATCTTCCTCAAAACTTGATATTTACTTCTTCGAAAATTCAACACAGACGCGGTAGCACTTCGTGGGTGTCTATACAACTGTGCTAAGCAACGACTTACCTATTCTAGTAAGTTTTCTGAAGCTATATTCGTTTTGATGAATTCCAGAACCCCATATAACACTTATAATGCATGTATTGCATACAATAATTATAATACATGTATTACATCTGAAGGATATTCATTGGAGCATTTATAATAGTTATAATGTATGTATTACATTTGAAGGATAAGCATTCAACCATTTATTATAATTATAATGCATGTATTACATCTGAAGGATAAGCATTCAATCATTTATGATATAATTATAATGCATGTATAACATCTGAAGGATAAGCATTCAACCATTTATTATAATTATAATGCATGTATTACATCTGAAGGATAAGCATTCAATCATTTATGATATAATTATAATGCATGTATAACATCTGAAGAATAAGCATTCAGCCATTTATGATATAATTATAATGCATGTATTACTTCTGAAGGATGAACATTGAAGACTTAATGGTACAATTTGACGACCTAGATTTACTTCATCTAACACCAAATGCTTACACATCTGAAGTTGCTGATAATATGGTAAACGACTCTAATCCTATCGTTTGTTTTGAATCGATAGTATATAACATAAACGGATAATCTCGGCCCCGTCGTTCCCCACAGTGTTATAGTTGAGATAACAGCCCGTCTAATATTGCTGGCTCCAAAATATTTTTGATTTTCGAGAACATTACAAAACGTAGACCTAATTTCAAACTTCTGAGCTCTTAATAATATTCAGTTATCTAAATTTAATATTCTTATCAGACAGTAACGATTAACTATGAATCTATGGTCTCTGAACATGTTCCCCTGTACTCCTTTAATTACGATCTGTATTCGAAATCAAACATTCTTACAGGGTAAAAAAGAATGGAAAGTTCAAGAAGCTGAAGGTTCATGGAAGAAAAATATCACCGCTGGGGGACAGAAGTGGCTATGTAATAAAATATACTTTATTATTACTCAATGAAAACAGTCTAATCTAATCTAAAACAACCGGCTATTAAAATACTTTATTATACAATTATCATACAATAAATACCCGACATAGTGATTTCCATGAAGGAAAGGACTATAAAAAAAGAACATAGCTTACATGTATTCAAGAAAACAAAAGATAAACATAGATAGCAGCTTATCCGAAAGTCTTCAAGGAGTAAGATCTCAATCGTTTTCACAAACTTTTCTGGTAACGTCGCATATTTCTGGAACAGAAAATCCTAGAATGTACCAACGAACTGGGCAAATACGCAAATCGTCCGCAGTGAATTGTGATTGTATTAAAATTTCTTATACTATACGTTCAAAAACGACTGTATATGAAAGTAACAAACTATTTCATTTTAGTCATGAATCCACAGTTTAGACTGGATATTGAAGAGAGTGAAAGAAATGAAACAACTGTCATTATATCCTTACTTAGATATAGCAGCGGTAAAAATATTTTTGATGATGATGTCTACTTTGGTTTAGGAGTTTACAAGGTAAGTATTAGTCCATTGGCAAACTAGGCATCTGCCTTCCGCCCGTCGAAACTTCAGCTCAGTTGGAAATTGAAGTTAAACAAATCCAACGTCAACCCGACTAGACGGACTGTATAGAGTGACAGGCAGGGTGATTAGTCTAATGTCGGTGTGACAGTGTGAGATGGTTCCTGGTGTGTGATTACCGTTTAGCGTATGCGCAGTTGTAGGAGTCAGCTCACACCAATATGGACACAGTGTGCATTGACTCGCCGTGATAGGATTTCCCCATAAATTTTCTTACGATCAAATCGGTTTCTATACTATTATCTACCAATATTTACAGTATTACTATCAGGAGAGGGTGTCGAGTTTGTGTTGTTTGTTTATTTCGATAAAAAGTAGAAATACAAATTGTCTAAGGCGCGGATTCACTAATAAAGTGAGCCGTAGCAAATTGGGTTGATGGAAAATCCCCGGTCGCGTGACGTCAGAGTGATATTTTCCCGTGAGCATCTCCCGTACATTTCGATAATTTTTTAGCCAGATTCTTTGCAGACATTGACATTGATAACTAAAACAACAGCTAATCACGATAACAAGTACGTTTATTCATGACAAAACTCTTAATCAGTGATCAGGAACCATCTCACAACACCGGAAGTAGATACAGTTTCGTTGTTAACGCTAACAACAGTTTCGGACATGCGCAAGTGCCCAGGAGCAAACACACACCGGGAGTCAATTCAAACTGTCAGACTGGATGCCAATGTTCAATTTTATATCGTTTGACGGCCGATCTGATTCTGAAAACTGCAGTGTCGAAACGGCGGGAGTTACCGGCGGGCGTGATACTGCAACTTAGTCATAATACTGAGCTTGTTGGTTCGATAGATAACTCCGGAATGGAAAGTCGCATAATACTGAAAATCCATAGGTTTCGTCCTCTCATGAACACAATGCCTCAAACCAAATTTGAAATGAATCGTCAAAAACTGTAGCCTTGGTGTTAACAAGCCAATTGTTGACGGGCCGACGGACAGGTTGACGACATAATACTTCCATACAATAAAATATGGACGTATCAAAAATGCTCTGCACGAGGAGGACCGGATCCTCTCCCCCTTCATGACACGCACCTGCTGCCTAGTGGGTTGCTCTCTAATACCCTCGATACAAGCACAATATTGCAACGGACGATTTTCTCACAGGACTACTGGAATTCGATTTCCACTCCGAACAAAATTGTCTTTACAGCCTCTAGTGCGTCCCCTTCTTGACTTAAATTTGGCAGAATATACAAACTTGCACAAGTTTTGAAATAATAATTTCTTCTATTGTAGCTAAATCCAGGAGTAAACGTGAGAAAACTTGATGATCGAAGTTTAGCAACAAGAGTATTTCATTCAAACCTATACAGAAATGTAGCCCGTGAACAGACAGAGAGACTTGAACTAGATGCTGGAACATATTTCCTTATACCATCAACCTATGAAGATGGGGAAGAAGCCGATTTCCTTTTAAGGGTATTTTCAGAAAAGGACGTAGAAAGTCGGTAAATATCCAAATATACACAAGTTGTGTGGTCGAATGGTTAGCACGTTAGGTGTGTCATTGAGTCAACTGGCGTGGTTTCGATTCCTCGGTTGTACGTGACAAGAAGTAGGGTCGCCTGTTCAACAAATGGGGTTTAACAGCCACTGGACACAAATTAATGGTTCAATTTTATTTCAATAATTCGCTTGCGCATAGGGGTCTATAGCAGTGGGAGGAAACAAGAGAACCCACTCCTTGTCACGTACATCCGGGGAATGAAAACCACACCAATTGACATTATACAACGCGCACGCCCCCTCCCCCCTAACACACACAGAGACACACTACATTAGGTATCTCGATGAGTTTGTAAATTGTGATAGATGCAAATAGTCATGCTTTCAATCTGATTAAGATAGTTTGATGTATTTTATTTTGTATCATAATGTCATATTCCATTTATACCTTTCAGTTCTATAGATGACACCACTGAATTTGTTGAGGTATGTATTATATATTAGACATATTATATACCTAGGTGGGGCCTTATAAGACCAATTATTTTTTCTCGATTTGTTATTCTTATTGGCCAGTAGTGCGTGGGAAAATAACCTATAATAACGAGTTATATATTTTAAGAATGTAATTATCCTTTTTGTGAAGTGGGATACTAGAATAAATGTTAAATATCGGTACTGTTGTTTTTTTTTTTTGAAGAAAAGTATTTAAATAATCAATTCTTGTTTAAATTACGGCCAGTTAAAGATTACTGTGGTTTCTATTGGTTTAACAATGCCACCTTTATGTGCCAAGTAATAATAATTCTGCTATCGTTTTCGTGCAAGTCAGCCCTTCTAGGTACATAATATAATCAGTCTCCACTCTACGAAAGTTCTTATTCTTTGTACTATATCAGAGATAGTATGTCAACGACGTGACTTTAAGTAAAATTGTTTTAACATACCTAATACTATATTTATTTATAGAAACCACAAGATCCTAAGAACTATTTGATCGCCAAACTGTTCCAGAAATACACCCAAGACAACAAACATGTTAACTCGTTCCAATTACAGAAAATACTTAATGATTTTGAATTTAAAGGTAGGTTGTAATATGCTTCCAGTCCATAGCTAAGAGATGGGAATGTGCATATTCCGTGTCGGTACATTACTAAGTAGATTGGAATGCAATGCATAGATAAGAAAGTTAGAAACTCAAAATGGGCAGTTATGTTCCTTACGGCGGCTCCAAGATATAAACTGTTCTGATTTGAACCCAAAAAGTCTTGTAGCTATTCTTCAAAATCATCAGCTTTGTTATAAACTGTTCTGATTTAAACCAAAAAGTTTTGTAACCATTTTTAGGAATCATCAGCTTTATCATAGGCATTTTGTGAAATTATCTCTGTTTTAGCATTCATTTTGGGGTTGTTTCTACTTCTTCTTTTTTTAGAGTTTAATAACAGTGAAGGTGTTACCCTGGAAACGACTCGAAGTTTATTACATCACGAAAATGTATCCTTAATTAATTACAAAGCCTTTTGGCAATTGAAGATTAAAGGAAAATAGGCCGATTGGTTGCGTTAATAGAATCAGTTTTGTTTTATTCAAAATAAATCAGTCTTTGGGCAGTGTTCAGTCCTTATGTTGTGTTATAATTTCTTTTAGTTTAGTTTTTAGTTCTCGTGGCTTGCTTGGTTTTGTATAAGAGACAAAATGTCGGTCTCCGCTGCTATGGCATGTTGTAGCTATGGAGAATTGTCTCATTTCACTTGATGGATAAGGCTTCATTTGTTTTTATCTCTGTCATGTAGTTGGGGTTAATATCCTTAATAAAGAACAGCCTAATGGAAGCGGGATGCTAGATTTAAATCAAGTGAAGAATGTCTGGGAATTCGTGGAACAGTGCAAGGTAAGTCTATCCCGTATCAATACAACGTCCCTGTGAATGACTGAATTATATTAAGATGTCGGAAATTATACATGTAGTCTATGGAACGTATTTAGACTGCATGTACTTAAAGTCAGATTTTACCACGCCCTTTAAGTTTTGACTTTTCAAGGTGGGGGAAAGCACAGATAGAAGTTTTCATTGGGTCACAAATTCATTGTCGAATTTTTTTCATTTTTCCTCGTCTGGATAATACCGGTCTATGTTTTTCAATGGAAATTCCACGCAGACAATGACCATGAGTTGCTAACAAATTAAATCAATTCAGTAGTCTATCAAAATCATTGTCAAAATAAATGGATCATTCTTTTTGCAGTTTTCTTTTGTTGCGCTTGATATGGACAAATCTAGAGCTGTAGAAGTCTACGAATTAAGAAGTTTATACAATTCACTAGGTATTGACTACTTTTTTTTACATTTTTTAAGATTTTTTAACATTAACAATCCCAATGGTTTGCTAAGGGGTATATTTTTAACGCGTTAAATCCATGGGGAGGAATACAAATATTTAAGAAACAAACATTGATGATCCATGCTGAGAAAAATAACCAACACTTTTCGAGATATTAATCTTTGCGAGGTCTTTATTATTAGCATATTTGATACACTTCCAATTTGATCCATTTGAAAATGTTGAATGGTCTTACTTTGTTTTTCTTGTTTGCTGTTTGAAAACTGTGTTTTATATTCCTAGGGTTTAACGTAAGTTATAAAGTTGTTGCTGTTATTGCCAAGAGATATGGCAACCAAAATGGTAAAATAAACAGCGAAGATTTTCTTCAAAGTACTGCTAAAGTTATGTCCCTTTACAGTAAGTTGATAAAATTTTATTCTTCCAAGTCAAAAAATGAACTGTTAAAGAAGGCAAGTCTTTTACTCAATATCATCCCCAGTCTTCGACATTGAAAACATAACTTATTGGTCAATTTATATTAATGTGAAAAGATGGGCTTCTGATATCCAATATTTAAGACAAAATAAAATGAAAATTTTAAAATTGGCACACGAGTAGCGTGCCAGAATGCTTTAGAGCGCCATTTGTAATGAAGTGACTCGATGAACGAGGTCAAAAATACCCCACAGGAGAATACTACCGGTATAGACTGGACGCCAAAGACTGTCATTTCAATTTGGGCTCTTCGCGTATTACGCCAAACATAACTGTTTAGAAATTACAGTAAAAACAGAAACAATTGAATGTAAATCAGTTTATATATAGTACATTATTATATGCGTTGCGACCCATTTGTGTCCATTTCTAGGTGCCAAAGAAAACAGATTTAGCTCCTTTAAAATATCACTAATGTATCTCTGTAGGATTCAATTGAATAAATATTCACTTAATGTATGGTAATTATTTTTTATTTGGTCTCATAAATTCACAGCTTGGGTGACGACCCCCCCACCCCAGCCCCCGGAATACAAAGAAGATATTTATCCAGCTCATATTATGAACTTTGATTTTTAATCTTCTGATGGAAACTGAGAATGGACTAATATCTAACCATGTCTCTGATATACTGTTTTTTTTATTAACATTTCCAGATCTCTTGAAAAGTACCATTGTAATTTAATATTTTAAATGACGAAATGGGTATTAAACGAAAAAGCTAACGAGAAGCCAGTTTAAGGTTAATTTTGAACCAAATGATTTCTGTCCCCAAAAATACATGTTTTAGTAATCTTTGTGCTAATAACAAATTTACAATCACAATCGTTTTATTGACATTAATACGGTGCTGCTTGAAAATCAGATTGACTTTAATCGTGATAATTTTGTTTTAGCAAAATTTAGAGAGATGCTAGATAAGAGAATTATAAAAGGAGACATTGAACAGGTAGGACACAACATAAACTTTTCAAAAACTTTTAATACTGTATCTATAGCTGTTTTAATTGGATATTGGTTTACGAGTTGGGGTACTTCAGTACCTTATAATATGTTTCACTTAATCTCGGCGCAATGTATTCAGATGTAAAAATTATGGGGATATATTTTTTGTTCAGGCAATATTATTTTGTGCCATATGAAAATAATTGCATAAATAATAGCTTTTTTCTTGTCTCGTTACAGCTTATAATGGCAGCAATCAACTCTTGAACACCCACACCAAACCATTGTCGAACACCATTTCTCCATCATTTTTTCGATTCTCGTTTTTTTTTAAAATTTAAAATATATAAGTATGCTCATTTATTATAAATTGAACGCATCTTTGTTCGATTTTCATTTATTATTTCCGCCATTTCAAAGGCAGCATTAGCTCAAACGGAACACGTACCCAAGAAGTTTTTCTCTGTTTCAATAAATCTGCATCTTTTGACTCCCTACTAGAAGGACGGCTCGACAGTTAGTTGCTTAATGTCTGATAAAATTACCCCCCCCCCCCCCGGGCCAAAAATGCTGCACGATTTATGTTTGTTTTAAAAAGGTTAAAAGTGCTGCACGAATTATGTTAGTTTTAAAAAGGGTAAAAAATAGTTGAATTCGTACAGCTTACATTATAGGTATATTACGGTAGTGCGTATCATTAGTAGTGTGGTGTCTTCGCCTAGAAATAATTTATTTTTTTACAGAATCATATATTTTTCTTGGGTTTTTTTGGAAAAATACAATTAAATATATTTTAACAAAATTACCCTGTGTTCGGTATTATCAAATTGTAACTTCCTCCACAGTCGTTCTCGCGACTATAAATATAGGAAAATGAAATGGGGTTTAGCGTCGACTGGGCTAATGAAGACGGCCATATGGCATGCAGTAAGCTATGAGGGAAAGTTTTCCCGGACTGCGGCACTACGTACGTCATACTCTTATTTCGAATTCCAACTATCAAGGGTTCTTTTACGTGCACGCCAATATGTACACGGGACCTCGGTTTTTCGTCCCACCCGAACGACTATACGTTGTCCCCATATGCTCTGACGTAATTTGTTCTTGATTTCCCCAATAAATATACATGTATGTTTTGTAGGAATAAGGAAGACATCGTTGCCTTCAAAATGGCATATTCATTTTTTGTGACGGCTTCCGGAAATTACCTAGGCCTTCCGATCTTTCCCGAACACGAATAGTTCTCTCCATTTTAAAAACAGACCAAAATATGGTGGTGTTTGCCCCAGATATTATCTTTCATTTCAGAGACCTTGTTCCATAACACTTTCAACCGTTTAGCCGCCATATTGGATTTTACAAAAAAAACAAACTTCAAATCGATATATTCAGCCGCTATATTTTGATTCCGATTTTCGAAAACTTGTTTTTGTTTTGAACCTACTCCAAATGGCAACAATTCTTAGGGAGCCGATTTTTGAATTTCGATTTTGTTTACTTCCGGTTTTCGACTTTTGACCTAACCGTTCAATGACATGACGTCTACTAACAAAATATCAAAAAGTTTGTTCTTGAAGTATAACTTCCGGTTTTATTAAAGTTCAAAATAAGTTTTTTCCCCCCCCCACTTTAACAGGTATTGGATGTTACTATACTCAATAGTTCATGGTGTAACTTGATTGTTGACGTGACCTGACATACCGAAACACGTTAGTACTCCTTCGGAGTTCTAGTTGTTTGTGTTTTATCGGTCAATATATAGGCCTATGTCTACTGTAATATAATTGGGGATTGATGCCATATTGAATTATAATATTATATCAATATGACCACAGCCTGACCTAATTAGTGGTTGCCATGCAAGATAGCCTATATTTTGCAAGAGATGGACAGAGAACAAGCTAAAATGCTATTTTTAGTACAATCAGGGGGAATAATCCAGAAAGTTTTGGTCCAATATACGCCAATATCGAAACGAATCGAAATCTTTGGGTTATAAACACACATTTTAAGTTGCATCCAAATCGGATCAAAATTGTGACCTTTAAAGTGTCCACAATCTAAAGAGGCGCCATAACCCACGAAATTGCGCTCCAATACATGATAATATCGAAAGGAACCGCGATTTTGGGGATATAAATATTTCAAGTTTCGTCAAAATCGGATAAAAATTGTGACCTCTAAAGGGTCCACAACCTTGACAAATCGGCCCCGTTTGTCGCGACGCAGGAGCGCCATCACGTAGTGATCTCTAAAACTATTATGGCCACTTCCGCCTTCATTTCTATCGGGTTTGGAGCTCAAAGTACGGCAATAAACTCGCTCTAACTTGACTGAATGAAAAATCTAACATACCTTTCGACTTTGTGGAATAAAAATCTATAATTCTACTGATCTTTTTTTTTGAAAATCTTATCGGATTCCTGAGAACAGATGTAGGCCTATTTTCTTCATGATCACCATCAAAACATTGAAGAATCCATTATGTCGTAAATTTTATGTTAATTAGATTGCCATTACTTAGATTTTCCTTTTTCTCACTGTTTTATTGTCGATTTGGGATGATACGAATATTTAGTATATATTAAAGACGTCTCTATTCATTTGACCTCATTTGACGTTTAAACCTATATAATGTACATGAATTTTAGGTACTATTTTTTTTTGCGGATGAATACAGCTGTTCTGTAATGCTTTATATTGATCTGTAACATAAAGAGTTAAGTGGATTTATCTCCCTTTCATGATTAATAATAATGTTCTCATGAGCCGTTCTTTTTTTTCGGCATGAAGCCTTAGTGCATAAGGTACTTATATGTGTATCTCCCCTGTTGGGAGCTATGTATACTATTATATTTTCTTACTTGACTGTCATTTGGGTTTTCTCTCTTTGTTTGCTCTGTACCATGTCCCCTGTGGACCCTTGATTGGAAATAAAGCTATTATTATTATTATTATTTATTATTATTGTATTCTGTTGTAGACTGAAAATTTTGGATCCATGTGTCGACGCTTTAAATCACATGGATCCATTAAATCTTCTAACTGTTTAATTCCATTTTTTTCATTGAAGAAGAAACGTAATCACTGGATATCACATGCTTTGGCACTATTTGCGAACAGGGAGCGACCATTTAGTCGGGCAGTTTCGCTCCTATTTTCACGAAATTCGAACTCAACCATCAATATGGTGTCACGGTGATATACGTTTTTTTAAAATCAAATAAAATGTGACCTATAAAGGGTCCACACGCTACAAACACGATTTTTCGTACTATCAGGGGCCATAATCCAGGAAGTTACGGTCCCATATACACGAATATCAGAAGAAACCGAGAACTTGGGGTTATAAACATATATTTTTAAGTTTCATCAAAATCGTATTAAAATTGGGACCTCCAGGGTGTTCACTCACAAGCTAAAAACGTGATTTTTCGCACAATCAGGGGCCATACATACCAATATCGAAAGGATATAAACTTATATTTCAAGTTTCGTCAAAATCGGATGAGAGAGAGAGAGAGAGAGAGAGAGACCAGGTCATTTCCTGACTAACACATGGTTCAATTTTATTTCAACAACCCATCAGCGCGCAGGGGTCTTTAGCAGTGGGAGGAAACTGGAGGACCCGGAGATAACCCACGAGATTAAAAAGGTGCCCATATCTCCAAGCCACATATGCTCACACCAGGGACTGAAACCACAACCGCAAGCCATAGGTGACCGGCCAAGCCAAGTTTGGACAGGCGACCCTACTCCTTGCCATGTACAACCTGGGAATCGAAACCACGCCAGTTGACACAATGACAAACCTTATGATACAGCGCACATGCTAACCATTCCCCCCCCCCCCCCCATCGGATATAAATTGTGACCTGTAGAATAGAGTGTTCACAAACAAAATGTGAACGGACGGACGGACAGGGTCGACGAAATTATACGTCCACATGAAAATGTATGCGTATAAAAATCTACCTGTTTTCTAGGCTAGTAAGGCTACATGTTTATTTAAAATGCAATTTATCAAATTATGATTAAAACATGTTTTGCAGGTGATGTCCTAACGGCCAAAATCCATTTTGGTCATAATGTCCAAACAGTTTAGTCATAATGGCCCCAAAAATTTGGTCATAATGGCTAAAGATTTTGGTCATAACGGTCAAACAATATTAACTTAATGATAAACAATATATTTTATAAAACTGTACTTAATATTGTTTAAAATAACTTATTTATCTTTGTTGAAATAACTACTGACAAAAATAACCGAAATAACCATGATCATTTGAGCATGGTGTCAACTAATCATCCTATCCAATTAAAATGCTCTTTGATAATCTCTTTGAAGATTGCTACATAGGATTAGTGGTGATTAACAAGTAACTTTGGCTTCACCAGAATATTATGTATAAATGACCATCAGTATCTATTCATCACCACCCCTTTACTTTAAAAAAAAAATATGGCTACTTTAGTAATAAATGAAATGTGTCCTTTGTAGACAAATTGTCAAGAAAAATTAACATGCTATTGACTGTGATATTTGCAAGGAAAGAGGTGGGGACTAATTAATCAACTGATTAATCTGATTAGGTAACATGAGCTGAACATTATTCCAGGTTTTCCAAATAATTTTTGTTTTCACTTTACCTGTCTGCCCAAAAAGTCATGTTGCCCCAAAATCACCTGGCTGGTTGCCTATAATACATATTTGGCCAATTCTATTTACAACTCTATGGGCATACTCAACCAATCAGCTAATTAATAACTTTATGTCAGGGATATAAAAGACCTGCAGAAATTGCCCCTGCTGGGGAGACCCATTAGAATTGTTAGGAGGACATGATGTAAAGTTTCCAGCAGATAGCTCTTCTGTCTACAGCGATCTGAGTGGATTGAGAGAGACTGAAATACAGGTTATTTTTTAGTTCTTATAATCCTGCTTTATATAAAAACATAAGAATATTGTTTTCCTGAGTTTTGTATTTTGAAGTCACGGTGATGTGATATTGAGTCATATTAAAGCCTGCTGTAAAGCCAAATATTTAAATCCATAATTATAACAACAGTATATAGGCCAGTCATACCTAGATGATTAGTGGTCAAAACAAAGAATGTGTAGCTGGGATGGTGTTACAGGTGGGACGACTTGGTAAGCTTGTTGTTTAGCTTCCATATCCGATGGGCTATGCTACACCACATCTGATTAATTACAGTCTAGCTGTATTGTGTAGTTGAGTTTTATATAAAGTTAAATTACTAGAAATAATAGCACAGCTCTGCTGAACTTTTTCCACTGTCAACGGTGCAACTGGAAAAAAAGAAAATACATTATAAGTTTGTAAGTTCAGTTTATAAATCACTGGACAGTTAACATTCTAAGAAGAGCATGAAAAAAGGTGGGGAATTGCCAACAGGTCTGTATAGACAAAACAAAAAATAATCACCAGACAGAAGTCTCAAAAATAAAGTAAGTCTACTATATTGATGAGAAGCATGTACATACCTGTTGGAGAAAACTCCATGCTATTATTTTCATCATTAAAACTATTTACAGCTTGTTTAATAGCAAATAAAGAACCAGTAGATAATACTATAGGTGGTTCCCCTGCAGCTGTAATATAAAGACATATTTATGCACAGTGTTCTGGACATAATACCAGTATGTCACTATATTATGTGCAATGCAGAAGTCTGTAAACAAACACAAATACTATTTAATTTTGAGCTGCCCTCTTTTATAATTCTAGAATATCTAACTGTTCTGTTAGAAAAGAAACAAAACGGTTTTCGGGTATTTTATCAATTGAGTAGCTTTCTAGAAGATGAGGTATCCCATATTCTGGAGCAGTAGTCAAATAGTGGTTGTAGCTGTAGATGGTAGCAGATAAACTAGTGACTGATGGACAAAAGTGTGTACCATCAATAATGACTGAAATTCTTTACCAAATCAGTCATCCCACTATGAGTCATTATCGCTTTCACCAATGAATGTAAAAAAAATTGAATAATATCATATTCCAAGCATACTCAAAATAACCATAAACTCATCACATGATCATGATATTTCATGCTGTGTAAACTATAAAACGATTTGTACCATTCTTACACTGGAAGTTTAAGCCAGAATATTGCAGCCATGGCTTGATAGATAATAGAATTTGAAGATTCTTGATTCACCACTAATAGAAAATCCTGTTTTTTTACCAATCATGGAGGATCTCCAAAATACAAACATAAAAAGGTATACATTTCAAAACAACCAACTCAATTTATTTTCGTCACAGATACCATGGCTATTTGAAATGATTTTTTTAGTTTTCATTGTTCCATGTCAATTAACACTAATATAATTTGACATATTTTTTTTTACTGATCTTAATTGATATCAAATAATATTCAAAACTAAATTACAGTAGTAAGGAAAATAAAATTTATTGAAACACACCATAAACCTGATCACTTCAAATGAATCAACTATGTCCCTACTTAAATAAAAAAAAATTATTAATGTCTATATCAGTTTATACCCACCTTTCGACCCTTTAATACCAACAGGATTAGGAGCATCAGATAATAAATGAATTCTCCAATCTATAGGTATATCTTTACTAGTTGGTGGTTTATAGTCCTGTATACAAAACCAATTATAATTTACATCAACCACTGTCATATTTACAATCGTTTGAAATCTTTTAAAAAGTTACTATATTTTTTCATAATTCTCATCTCTTTTATCCTAATGAATTTTTGTTCATATTTTCATTTTTATCTGAGGAGAGCAAAGTGGATAAGAGAGTATAGCGCTGACTCAGTAAGCAGGAGACTCTGAGACAGTTCATCAAGACTTTCCAGTATAGCTTCACATTGTTGGTGGTGCAGGGCGAAGGGCCTGACAATCCCCATTAGCAGATTCATCAACAGTAAGAAAATCTAAATAAGAGTAGGCTGTATAACGCTGGTAGAGCTGCTGCCTGGGCAAAATTTCTATTAAGGCACTCAATTAGCCCAATTAGTTCAGAAAAGTAAGACACTAACCCCAATCCATTTATTTGATATGAATAATAACACAGGTTAACATAGCTCATTACTGTAAAAATGGGTTTAATGTAGGATGTAAAAAAGCCACATATATTTTGGTAACGGGTCTTTATTCAAAATAATGAACTTACCGGTAGTTGGAATTCTATTGATAGTATTTATTGATGCATTCCTATGTTTTTATTTAATATAATGAATTTAGCACAGGAAAGAGAGAGAGAGAAATGGGGTTTAACGTCCACTCGACACAAACTAGGTCATTTCGGGACTAACATATGGTTTAATTTTATTTACATAATTCGCTTGCGCGTAGGGGTCTTTAGCAGTGGGAGGAAACCGGAGAAAACCCACGAGGTTGGACAGGCAACCCTACTCCTTGCCACGTACAACCGGGGATTCGAAACCACGCCAGTTGACTCAATGACAGACTTTATGATACAGCGCGCGCACGCTAACCATTCAGCCATCCAACCCCCCTAGCACAGGAAGAGATACTGTTACCCAATGGAAAACATCACATATTCTTAATTAACCTTATGGTAGTTTTAACTTAACATATATCTTTACCCATGTTCCATTATTTAGAACTTGTCCTGTTTCAGGATTATATATAGTGTCTTCTGTTAGCATGGCACCCAGTCCCATTACATATGCCCCTTCTATCTGACCAATATCAATAGTAGGATTTAAACTACAATAAAAAAAAAAAAACAAAAAAAACCCAAACATTAATTCTTTAACAAATCCACGGATATGTTTTCAGCTGAATAAATTATATATGACGAAATGTAAATACTTCTTTGTTGGGTCATCCCAATGGAACGTAAAGGCCCTCAAAGTAGTTAAAGTTTTTGGAGTTCAGGTAAATGTTTTTTTTTCTACACAATGGTTGTAATATGGTGAATGCAGCACTAGAAATCCTAATTCTGAAATCCTTGTCGGTTCACCCAGTTGTATCCACGATACTGTCGAGATAGATGAACTTGTATTTTGGGTCGTATGGCATTGTATAGTTTCTGGATCAACCATATAACCTTCTACAATATTCACTAAATAGTTGGTCTATCCTACATGTACATATAATAGTTTCACATATAGTGGTGACTGCCATTCTATGACTGACTAATTCAAATTTGGCCTGTACATTGATCTTATATATCACCGTATGACGTATGGCGAAACTAAAGGACCTTTACACTTGCGCATTAATGGTCATCGTCACAACATTGATAAGGGTAGTAACCAGATTCTCTATAGACATTTTAACCAACCGGACCACTCTATACTATCAATGAGAGTGTCCATATTAGAGAAAATTTACCACCATACTAACAGCCCTACTTTGAGTACTCCCTTTCGCAGAGACCGAGAGGAATATTGGATACGAACATTAGGTACTGCCACCCCTTATGGATACAATGACAATGTAGCTAGTATTGGGAATTTATCAAGCCCTGCGTGTAGCGATGTTAATGTCATGACGTTATTCCTAAAGTTTCGTCGTCGAAAACGCAGTCATGGACATCGTCGCTACACACCACCTAAGCTCAGCACTATATCACTGGACGCCCTTTTGGAAATTATTCAAGAACCATTAGGGCCACACCATATCCGTACTAAATTATATTCTATTCCACTTACTATTTTGAAATTACTTAAATCTAAATGTTTGGATTCAAATTGTACTGATCCTGCATCCACTGAATACAGGGTTGTATCCATTGTTCTTGACATTGCCCACCGTCGTTTGGACATTACAACTGAGCCTGATGCGTCACACACCACCAACAGTTAATTTCTAAAACTGAAATTTGCTAATAAAGGCATTGATGCTATCGGGTTAAGCCAAATATTACACCATAAGCAAGTCACAGCACACATCCCTCCTTACTTCAAAACTGTTACTGTTCCTAGGATTTCTTATACTTATACTAAACCCATTGCATCCAAAATATTTAATTACAGAAATGCATTATCTAACATCAATGCAAAAGAATTATATGATGACCCTCCACCCTGTTCTTGCTCTATGTCGTCCTTCCTTTACCCACCAGCTGGACATGTGGTCACTGGTGATTTGAACATAGTCCAGAATAATAAGCTACGTGAAATTTTGTCCAAAGGACCCAAATACCGGGAACCGCAACCATTTTCATGGGATCAAAATTTCAAACTTATTATGGATGCCTTAGAGGACTACGCTAGATCATGGGCCAAGAGGGAAGATGTTATCTCGGATACTCTCTCTGATTGGACTAAGTCTATCAGTCGTTTACTTAAACGAAGAATATACATGCAACGTTTGTCAGTTGACACTAGGCCTAAGTCTATTTTCAATGATGTTAACATTGTTGAAAATCTCAATGCCTTGCATGACAAGTATGTCATTGTTCCGGCTGACAAGGCGTCCAATAACATAGTGTTTATATGTAAACAACATTATTTTGACTGTCTGTTCAAAGAACTTATAAATTTCGGGAAACCAATCGACAGTGCTACATATAAATGATCAACTTTTAGTAAGGATGAAATTATATCCAATCACAAATCTGTACTCACTTCATTTGGTACTCCGTGTGGAAATACCTATACAGATTTGCCCTTGTTATATTGGATACCTAAACTACATAAAAATCCCTACAAGCAACGTTTTATAGCAGGTTCATCCCGTTGTTCCACAAAATCACTTTCAAAAGTATTGACATCTATACTAACGGCTGTTAAAGAGGGTATTCAAAAATACTGTGACAAAATATACTCTCGTAGTGGTATAAATCAAATGTGGATATTGAAAAATTCCAAAGAATTACTTGATGGTTTGCAATCTAGATCCCTTACTTCAGTCTCATCTATTCAAACGTTTGACTTTTCTACTTTGTACACTAAAATTCCCCATAGTAAATTAAAAGCCCGGTTGAAAGAATTATTCACAGTGTCTTTTCGTCTAAATCAGGTACTGCGATATATCAATATTTAGTTGTAAATTACAATTCCACATATTTCGTTAAGAATCACAGTGATTCCAAAAACAAATTCACGGCCATCAAGATAATTCAGATGTTGGATTTTTTAATTGACAACATCTTTGTTGAATTTGGAGGGGAAATATATCAGCAAGTGGTTGGCATTCCCATGGTCACCAACTGTGCACCTTTGCTTGCTGATCTGTTTCTCTATTCGTACGAAGCCGATTACATACAGACGGTCGTAAAAACTAATAAACGATCAGTCAGACTTTTTAATTTCACTTATCGATATATCGATGACGTTTTATCACTTAATAATCCTAAATTTAGTGATTATGTAGAATTCATATATCCTGATGAGCTCGAAATTAAAAACACCACTGACAGTGACAATTACGCTTCCTACTTGGATCTGCGTCTCGATTTTGACAATTGCCATAAACTGAGTGTTAAATTGTACGATAAACGTGATGACTTTGACTTTCCGATTGTTAACTTTCCATTTATTAGTAGTAACATTCCAATATCACCAGCTTATGGAGTGTTTGTGTCTCAGCTAATTCGTTACGCGAGAGCTTGTTCCTTTTATTCTGATTTTTTAAGTAGATCGAGGCATTTGTCATTTAAGCTTCGACTACAAGGATACTTGCGCACTAAACTTATTAAAACCTTTAAAAAGTTTTATGGCCGTCATATTGATTTGATTGGTAAATATAACGTGTGTCTCTCTCGGCTATTATTCTAGATATATTTAATTGACACGTATACTATTACTATCTCCCTGATAATATCTACTACATCGTTAACACAGTTCATCGCGTGCATTTTGCATACCGATAGTTCATTGGCCAATCACGCTATTTTACCGACATTTCGCCTAATAGTTTGGATGCAGCTATGGCAGGTGTGGCGCCAGGCAGGGTAAGCTTACTCTTCCGGACACCTGTTACCACTGTTTGTCGTGTATTTTGTACACGGTGAGCAGTCCATTTGCTGATTACACTATTTTGCCAGATTACACTATTTTGCCTATACCGTTTGTTTTTGGAACACAACCGGTGTAGGTTGTCATTGATAGTCCGTTGGCCAATCACGTTATTTTGCCGAGATTTCGTCTAATAGTTTGGATGCAGCTATGGCGGGTGTGGCGCCAGGCAGGGTAAGCTTACTCTTCCGGACACCTGTTACCACTGTTTGTCGTGTAATTTGTACACGAGGAGCAGTCCATTTGCTGATTACACTATTTTTCTTGAATACACTATTTTGCCTTTAACGTTTTTTAGGACTTCGAATTCTGTCTTATGGTTTGGATTGTTCGTACTTGGTTTTATTTTGTTGCTTATGTCTAATGTTTGCAACCACCACAAGTCTCATTCTCTTTAGAAAAACTGGGCTGAATAGTTTGCTTGGTAGTGATACTAGGAGCTGAATTCCTGCCAATACCTTCTTTCCATGTTGGTGACTATTATTGTACAAGTTTCTGAAGCTTTGAATATAAGCATTCTATCAAACATCTTGCAGACTTTCTTGTAAGCATAGTCCAACACTATCTTTATGATATTCTTTAAGTGGCATTTAGTAACTGGGCAGATAAATAAACTATAAACATACTTATGGAAAACAGCTACTGATTTATTTAGGTGACGTTTCGAAGAGTATTCTCTCAACACTTGAAAACGTTGAGAGAATACTCTTCGAAACGTCGCCTAAATAAATCAGTAGCTGTTTTCCATAAGTATGTTTATAGTTTATTTAACTATCTTTATGATGATCACTTTATTCACAATCTAGTACCTCAATCTAGTACCTCTAATTCATGCCTATCCATTTCTTTTGTATTGTTTTCTGTTTGTCTATCAAAGAATTTATAAATAAGTTACACTATGGTAGAGTTACCAGTCCTACCCACAGCTAACCACATCCCCCGGCCAGGATATAAAGATTTACTGATGGTGGCAACTGCAAATCAAGTAAGGGAAACGCACCTTGAGACAGATTCGTAACCATTGTATGAGAATGGTTATTGTTTTGGGGGATAAATCAGAGGTACCGTATATGTCTCAAGGGGAACAAAATTCAACGAGAGTACCTCTACAGCAGGTACATTTTACGGTAGAATGACATTTCGGTCACAGATGTTTTGGCCAAGGATGTTCAGATCCTGGCTAATACCTGTGCAGTGCAATAGCGAAACATTTCCGGTATTCTTATTGTGCAAACCATTCAGTTTACCACCTTATGGAATTTTATTTTATGTAAATGCTTGGTACGTTTATTTACAAAACATTAACTAATACTTTACCTTTCACCACAATCAAAGAGAATATCAACTCTACGTAGATGATTTTCACCAGTTAAAATATCAACTTCAACCTCAGTTACACCAGCAGCATAGGTAAAATATTTATAATACGAATCTTTACTATTTATACCAAATTGACTGCAATAAGAAAATCAAAGTGACTGCAATAACAAAACCAAATTAATTGCAATAACAATACCAAACAGCAACAATACCATACCAAAGTAACTGCATCAACAAAACCAAACTAGCTGCAGTGACAATACCAAAACATTACCATACCAACAAAACTAACTGCAGTAACAATACCAAAACATTACTGTACCAAAGTGATTGCAATAACAAAATCAAATCAAGTGCATTAAAACAAAACTAACTGCATTAACAATACCAAAACATTACTGTACCAAAGTGATTGCAATAACAAAATCAAATCAAGTGCATTAACAAAACAAAATAACTGCAGTAACAATATACCAATGTCACTGCAATAACAAAAACAGTTTGCCATGAAGTACAGGTCATCCTCAGATGACTGGGGTTAGAGAGTATTGACCAACTATTTTACAAATTGATCAAAGGAAATAACTCTGGAAGCTCATGGTGAATACATTCAATGTGGGCACATAAAAATGATTTCATCAAATACATTTCCTAGTTTTAGACAACAGCAAGAACCATGTATAAAGTCAATATACATACAGAAGTACTCTCAAAGTGTTAGCCATGTAAACATTTGGCATTAATTAAAAATGGTATCATATGTTCCAGAAAGATTAGCACATTCTGTTCTTTCCACACACTTGCCACTACTGAATCTGTTGAATAGCATTTGACTATGATCACAAAACGTCAGTGACAATTAAATACATACGTATATTTAGCAGTAAGATCAACACAGCTCATATAACATTTATCACATAAGGCTACCCAATTCAGATTACAATTAGCTTCTTGTACAGGTAACATACGTTTCTTCAGAATTTCACAACATTCTATAGCTGCCTGTAATAGTAATAATAAAAACAAAAATTGCTAGCAACAATATTGTAACAGGCCAGGAATATAGAAATGTCATATCCAAGAACCATATTTTAACAATGTTGTAACTCAGTATTGTTATAGCACATATTGCACGTAACAATGTTCTAACCATGATAAAAAGACCTTAAAACTCAGTATAGTTGGAACAGATCTTTGTAACAATTTTTTAACTAAATTCATTAGTATAGTTGGATCAGATCTTTGTAATAATGTTCTAAGTATCGTTAGTATAATTGGAGCAGATCTTTGTAACAATGTTCTAACAAAGTATGTTATGTATAGGCCACATAACAATGTTCTTAACACAACCAGTTGGAACAAATCTTGTAACTATGTTCTAACCAAGAACTGCTAGAACAGATTTTGTAACAATGTTCTAAGTATCGTTAGTACAGACCAAGAAATAATGTTTAACCTAGAACTGTTAGAACAGACCATTGTTCAACATTCTAAATAAGAACCGTTAGAACAAACCATGTAACAATGTTCTAACTAAGGACCCTTAGAGCAGACCTGGTAAAAAATTTCTAACCAAGAACCTTTAGAACAGACCATGCAATGGTGTTCTAACCAAAAACTGTTTGAATACCTCTTGTAACAATGTTCTTACCAAGAACAGATCTTGTAACAATGTTCTACTAGCCAAGAACATTAAATTTACAGACCATGTAATGATGGGATGTAAAGAAATCAACTTCTAACTTTATTCAAACTGCAATTACATCTTCCTTAATTGAACATTAGTTTGAGGGATGAGTTTTGGTTAGGACTAATTACCACCAACAAAAGTACATTACCTGAACACATAGTTCACTGCCGACACTGTTACCCGTAGACAGATTATTTGGTGCTATGAGAGTACTACATGGTCGAATTTTTATAATGCTTATTGGTACATTTAATGTTGCTGCCACAGCCTGTACTACCTATATCAATATAACAAGAAAATTAGGTACTGGCATTTCTAAAAGTAGACTTTAGTCAAAGTTTCTGTTCAGTGATATTTCTAGCATTCTCTTTCATGGACTCTCACTACCAATCTGTATTCCTCGACAATGTCCTTTAATTTCTGATGTTTTTTTAATTTATACTGGACATCCTTCGAGTGGAAGGGTAAAATAATAAGGAAGCAGAAGACTATATTGCCAGTTAAGATTTAACACTAGATAATCCTTGGATGATTAGATCTAGTTCAATAAATTAAATTTCAACTTTCTACTGAAGGTTATATGCATTTTATAGCCACAGAATATTTATAGGATAATTATTTTTCAAAGTCCAATAAACATGTCGAGTTATGCATGCACATAGATATTATTATGTATAAAACTATTGTTTGTCCACATATCGCACGTAGTAGTTAAAACATTATCTGAATCTTAGTATAAAGAGAGTTGTAACAAACCTTAGTATAAAGACCTTGTCCCATCTCTACACCACCTTGTGATATATTAATAGTACCATCAGATCCATAGATAGATATATCACATGTAAAACGAAACGGAAACCCATTTAATCCATATTTTACTGGTGTCATCGTTAATCCACGCTTTTTCCATGTGTTAAGCTACAACAAAACATAATATAAAGGCATGTCAGAATGAAATTCATATTGAGCAGGCGTCCAGCTAAACAACCCACCAGCGGTTGCCATGCAAGATTCACCCACATTTTATAAGAGATGGATGGATAGAGAACAAACTAAAAACAAAAGCAATTTTTCTTACAATCAGGGTCCATAATCCAGAAAGTTATGGTCTGAAATGCGCAAATATCGAAAGGGACTGAGATCTTTGGGATTTAAAGAGATATTTCAAGTGTCATCAAAATCGGATAAAAATTGTGACCTCTAGAGGACGGTTCCTTTCGATTTTCCGCCTCATTATGGTGGAATAGTGATATATTTAAACGTTTTTTTTTAAAATAGGATAAAATATTGTGACCTCTAGAGAATCCACAAACTAAAAACCATGATTTTTCGTACAATCAGGGGCCGTAATCCAGAAAGTTACAGTCTGATATGCACAAATAGCGAAAGGAACCAAGATCTTTGGGACATCAACATATATTTTAAGTTTCATCAAAATCGAATAACAATTGTGACTTCTAGAGGGTCCACAACCTTGGTATGACATACTTTTACACTATTTACGTACAAGGAGCTGCCATTTTGTCCATCAGTTTCGGTCATATTTTTACAAAATTCGAACAAAATCTTCATTGATGTGTAACAGTGATATGTTTAAACAGATTTTAAAATTGAATACAAATTGTCACTTATAAAAATGTGATTTTTCAAACAATCAGGGGCCATAATCCAGTAAGTTATGTTCAGATATGCACGATTATCGAAAGAAACCAAGATCTTTGTGATATAAACATGAATTTAAAGTTTCATCAAAATCGGATAAAAATTGTGGCCTCTAGAGATTCCACAACCTTGATATACCATATTTTTACACTATTTATGTGCAAGGGGCAGCCATTCGAACTCATGCATTTCACGATTCATCAAAATCAGATGAAAATTGTGACCTCTAGAGTGTCCACAAGCTAAAAACATGATTTTCGTACAATCAGGGGCCATAATCTATGAAGTTATGGTCCGATACATGCCAATATCGAAAGGAACCAAGATCTTTGGAAGACAGACCTATATTTCAAGTTTCGTCAAAATCAAATAAAAATTGTGACCTGTAGAGTGTCCACAAACAAATGTGGGCGTATAAAAATGGGGTTCTGGGGGCTTGCTCCAAGGAAAATTTTCAAACTATGGAACAAATATTTGCAAATTAATTTCCTTGACAGCGGAGATGAGAACACAGAAATGTTGTTCTGATATTCTAAAAGCCTTCACTGTGATTAGAATAAAGTTCATGTGAATATTTTATCCAACCTTGTTGTACTGTTTAATTTCTTCCAGTCTATTATTGACGTCCGCCATCTGTTTAAGTTGCTTCCATAGAGTTGGTAATGTACAGTAATTTAATATATCCCCATTGATATCAACCTAAAGTATGAATTAAAATTATTTAAAATAGTGATGGTGTTGCTATGATCAGAGGAAGAAACTATGGTCTCTACTCCATTGTTTTACAGAATCTACATGTATAATCTTTAATAAATGGCTGCAGTAAGATGTATAATGCCAAATGAACCTGTTTCACTTTTAAGGTCTCTCCAAACATTTTTACTAACACTTACAGCTGTATTTGGCACTGAGATATGTTTTATTTATGTTATGTAGAATGTACATACCTGACCCTCTTGATATAAGTTGAGTTCTTTGACTAGTATAGGATGTTGTTTTACAATACTAGCAACATGTTCTACTATAGATTCTATTATAAAACCGGCTGGGAAACAAGCTACAATATTACATACATCTTTATAATCACTTCACAAAAATAAGCATAGTCACCATTTTCTTTACAGATTATCTAATAAGTGATATCCATGTCCGCAAGCTTACAAAATATCGTTAGACACTATTAATTATTTTAAAATTGTAGTTAATTTTATTTATATATAGATAATTTTTTGCTTTTAATACAAATGGATGGTAATTGAAGAATTAAATCTGATTCGAAACATTTGCGTATAATTATTATTGGATCAGGTTTATAATTGTGTCCAACAAAATGGAAGTGTACGTATTTATATAGAACTATCTGAGTTGAAATAAATGTGTTTCGGATTGCTCACCAAGGCCAGCAATTAATTAATTACTAATTTTTATTATGGCATTATAAAGACTGTTATCTGTAATTATGTATCCAATTTTAAATAATTCAGTTGGCATAGCTTTCTAGAACCCCTCATATTACGTTTTTTGTTTTTTGGTATTTAATGGTAACATTCTGAAATCAGCTTCAATATAACCTAATCCCAAAAATGTGAAGAAAAATATAAATTCTTCCTCCTCAACAATCTCATGGAATTTTTTAAAAACTTCACCAAGAACTGTTCTGTATCGCGTTCAAATCTTTCAGAACATAAATATGCTGAGTACTCCATGATTTGGGATTCAAAATTATAGAGGCTGCAAAGTGCAAACTGTCAAGAACTGACCTATGGAATGTTCACAAGAAATTGCTGACAAACGACAGACGAATTGCATAACGAACGCAATGTGATGATTAACATATAACCACATTAAATGTGTGTGTATAAAATTGCTGTCTGATTTATATGATTGCCAATCATACCTGGTGAACGACAAGCATTTTGTGGAGGTTTATGTGTTCGAACTAAATGTGGACGAATTAACCAGTTCTCGATATTATACCCTGAAAAATACAAACAAGCTGGCTGTCAACAGCTTGAAAATTTATATTTATCATCAATTCATTAGCAAAACTAAATCATATTTTGCAAAGCTTATTACATTTCAAAATATATCTAGGTACATAATGTGACAAAATAATTTAAATCAATAAACAAATCATTAGATGTCAAGACAGTTTACCTTGATCTAGCTTGGTCATTATTTCAAAAGGGAAGAAAGCAGCTGAAGCTTTCCATCCCATATCACAATATAAATCAACAATTACGGCCAGAATTCTACCATTTTTTTCATGACCAACCTCAAAAAAATGAAATGTAAATATTTACATGAATTTAGCTATAGAAGGTATAAAATTGGTGGTAATATATTTATATATTGACTTTATTCATTTGTTAACGATATTAAAAAGAAATTTACACACACTTCTATTGAAGATATACATCTATAGCAACAGCAGGGTCATTTAAAAATAAGCACCTTATATTTAGCAAGTATCGGAAATCGTTTTCCACAGGCTGCCATAGCATCTTCCATTTTAACATGCATTCTAACTGGCCTGAAAAAACCCAAAAAAAGCTAACAGTGAGGCTGATGTCTCCTGTCTGAATCCCAAAATAAATAGATGATATTAATTACTTGCACAAATATCTTTTTTGTATTTCAAGCATCTAGCAATCAGATTGTTTATCACTCTGCATAACCTAATCAGAAAATGCTCATTTTCGAACGTAGCAAAGGTATTGGCTAAAATTAGAAGCAGAGGTTTTAAAGTCCCCACAAATCAAATTGCTTATCTCTGCTTGGCCTATACACAAAATGAAAATCAGTCAAAACATTTGGCTAATTATGAACACTTAACAGTTTTTTTTCCAATCTAAATCAAAGTAGTCTTTGAAATAAACTGTTAGTTTAAAAGTTGACAAATGACAAAAAAACCCTTCTATATGTTATTCCTTCTATAAGCAGAGAACTGTAAAAATTTACTACGTTCTTCCTAAACAGAATTCTAATCCAGTGTGACACAGATAAGTAAGATGTCCCATTTGGAATTCAAGTGCTGTACTGTGTTGTAAACACTACATCCATTACTATCCATTAAATTTAAATATGCACCTTTTAGTTTTATAAGCCGCAAGAGCACAACAAGTAGCAATGTTGGCAACTGAGAAGCCTTTTCCACCGAAGGATCCACCAACTCTTGGTACAGTGACATGCACACTAAAAAATAAAACCCTAAAAACTGAAGGAGTATAAAGTTACTGAAGAAGATGAAGGGCTTTAGATATTGAATCTATTGAAAATGTTCGTGGCTATACCGAAGAAGTTCTTCAACAAGCGGTGGCCATAAAGATATGCCCACATTTTGCAAGAGATGGACATAAAACAAGCTAAAAAAGTGATTTTTGTATAATAAGCGGCCATAATCCAGGATGTTACGTCCCACATACATTAATATCAAAAGGAACCAAGATCTTTGGGATATAAACATATATTTTAAGTTTCATCAAAAGTGGATAAAAATTGTGACCTATAGAGTTCCACAACCTAAAACGCGATTTTAATTTAGTACAACCAGGGGCGATAATCCATGAAGTTGCGGTCTGATACTTACTAATATTGAAAGGCACCAAGATCTTTGTGATTTTAACCTATATTTCAAGTTTCATTAAAATTGGATACAAATTTTGACCCATCTAGTGTCAAAATAAAAATGGATGGACAGACAAGGGCGACTACAATATACATCCACATGAAAATGTGGGCGTATAAAAATGTGGCTATGGTAGATGGTGTTTCTCTTGTGGCAGAAGACGAAACTACTGGAGAAGAGGCTGTTACTAAAGAAGATGGGACTTTTGAATAAAATCAAAGGTACAGTAACATGGAAAGTATGAAGTTACTAAAGAAGACAAATAAGGTGAAGTTATTCAGATATAGAAGCTATTGAAAATGTTGGTGGTTATACCATTGAATTTCTTAAAAAATGTGGCTATAGTGGATGGTGTTTCTCTTGTGGCAGAAAATGATGCTACTAAAGAAGATGGAACTATTTTGTGGGTGCTGTGTTTGTGAGATATAATTAAATATATTTTCAGCACTTGGTTTATTTAAATATATTTTGTTTATGTGAAAATAGCGGTATACTGAGTACTATTCTCAAGTTAAAGACACGATATTCTTTTATTTTCATGTTCCTATGCCTCATAAATATAGAAAGATATCTTACTAATTAGTTGGCTGTGCTATTGTTTTAGCAATTGTTCTTTGCAATATATCAGGACACTGTGTGGTACTATAAACATCTAACCCATCTTCTACAGGTACACACAAAGCTGCCTATTCATAATAAATTAAATCGACATAATTTGAATAGACCCTTTTGATAAACATTATGATGTATCTATTTTTATTTCACTTTAATAGTTTACAGTTAATTACAAAATGACCAAACACAAATATTGACCTGTCCCTTTTTGGGACTGGAAAGAAGTGGCTTTTATACTACCACAGGTGCCTGTAACGTGGAAATTCTCTTTCAATATTAAACTGTGACTAAGGGACAGAGATTATAAAATTATTGGCCTGAATCCGATTCAGGGCCAAATAACTCGTCTTTTAAGACTATTCCTTATCAGAACTACTATTATAAAAACTGATAAAGAATTGCCCCTAAATTCGATTCAGACCAGTTATTTGATAATCTCGCTCACTTAGTCACAATTTAATACCATACAGTATTAGACATAATCAAGGTAGTGGCTTGAAGGTAGACCAAAATAAAAAAGGTATAAAAGGTATAAAGGTATGTAATATTGAAAGAGATTTTCCACTTTACAGGTGCCTGTGTATACTACTGGTCTCTGAAATCACACCAATTCATTCCTCTCACCTGATTTTCTAAATAGAAATGATATTGTGTTCCCCATTCACATTCTCCACATGTGATTACAGGTGCTGCTGACATAATCTCTAAAGTTGTAATATAAAAAAAACGTAAGTTGCTAGGCAACAAAACATGGTCCTCCAATAGTTTAATAGCTTAAAGTAGCTAAGTCTCTAACTCAATATCATCCAAAATCTTCAACATTGAAAACACGATTTATTTGTCAAATTAAATCAACATTGATGTTGTGATCTTACAGGAATGAGATGGGCTTTTGATATCTAATATTTACGACAAAATAAACATTTTACCATTGGTACACGAATCGTGTACCATAATGCGCTTCAGCCCCAGTTGTAAAAAGAGACTCGGGGGACGAGGCTAGACACATTGCACCAAATCGAACGGCGTATGTAGACTGGAATAACCAGACGCTAGAAATTTGCAATCGATTGAGACTGCTGACTTATTTCGCCAAACATAAATGATTTGAAATTGGAGTAAAAACGGAAACCATTGAATGTAAATCAGTTTATATACATTCATATTACAGTATTATATGCGTTGCGACCCACTTTTGTCAATTTCTAGGTCCCAAATGTTAGCGATTTAGCTCCTTTAAACATAGACCTCCACATTAAATAGTTCAAAATATTGCCCGAATCCCAGCAAGTTTGTAAACAAATCTTTTTATCATGACAAGGGCAATAACTTAATAACTCTCAAACTAATTAATGCAGGACTCTTAATTAGAATAGAAATGAAATGAAATAGGATTTAACGTCCTACTGTTCTGCTCCGACTGGTTTAATGAAGACAGGAATACGCCATACAGCTTGCTATATCGAATTCTAACTGCCAAGGGATCTTTTACGTGTACACATGGGACCTTGGTTTATCATACCATCCGAATGACTAGTCAGCTGTCCTGCACCAATGACAAGGGGAAACCATGCCGGAAATTCCCAATAAACTTTCTCGGCCAACACCGGGAGCAAACCAACGACCTCCAGGCTAGCGAGCCAGCGTCTTACTCACTTAGCCAATTAGTCTAATTAGGATAGAGCTTATCCTTATGACTAGTCTAACAGCAAGTTCAGAAATCTTAAAAACAACTCTGTCCTGTTGTGTAACTACATCGTTTTGATGGCAAGAACAATAATTCTGTAATTCATTAACGCACAAATTTTGGTAAGGTTTGTGTTTATGCATCTTTAATTATCGGACATTGGTTGGATCAACGGGCCATAACTCTAGAATTACCTTTGCAGAAATGCACAAATTCAATAGAGACCAAATAACCACATTACTAACCATATTAATAACCATTTTGTTAAAATTGGTTAAGGATTAGGGCCAACAACTCCAGAAATGCTTTTGTGAAAATGCTCAAAGTCAATAAGGACCATTTTTACCACAACACCAATAGAAATTTTATGAAAATCTGTCAAAAAAAAACTTACTCTGTAGAATGAGTATGAGTATGGTCATGGGCAATAACTCTGGAACAGTTTATGAGAAAACACTAGAAAGGTATCTTTCTTTACCATTTTGTGAAAATCGGGGGGAGCACTATACCCTTTGGAATAAGTAGGAATACAAGTACAGTAATAAATGTTGATCAACAATCAGTCAGAAACAATAACTCTAGACTACTTTTGCAAATATGCTCAAGAATCGACACCGATCATCTTTTGTTGTCTGATACTAACTATTCCTTAAAATTTTGTGAAAATTCTGTAGAACAAGAATGTGTAGATCACAGGGGCAACAACAGTATTCTACCAAATGAACATAATATATATAAAAAGGGGGGAGAGAGAGAAATGGGGTTTAACGTCCACACGACACAAACTAGGTTATTTCGGGGCTAACACATGATTCAATTTTATTTCAATAATTCGCGTGTGCGTAGGGGTCTTTAGCAGTAAGAGGAAACTGGAGGACCCAGAGAAAACCCACGAGGTTGGACAGGCGACCCCTACTCCTTGTCACGTACAACCAGGGAATCGAAACCATGCCAGTTGACTCAATGACAGACCATATGATACACCGCGCGCGTGCTAACCATTCGGCCATCCAAGCCCCCTTATATATAATAACCACAATTATTAAATATGAGAGTTGATTCAGCATAATATATATCTTATATTTTGATCAGATGACAAACTACTAAATATAAACATTAATGTTCATGTACTGTTTGGACTATAGCATTGAGACTGACTTTGCAATATTTTCAGAACTGCTTGAATATGTCAAAAAATGTGAAGAATATTAAAACTACATACCATTGGGCCTTCCTCTAACCCTTTCTGGAAACGGCACTTTCTCAAAGCTGTTATGCTTGATTGCATCTTTTATTGACAGTATTGGTTTAGAATGTTGTTTGTAAGATACTTTAACTATTTCTGATGCTGCATCAGCTATAGACCTAGATTCTATTAGATAAACAATTTTGAATTTCCAAAAATAAATATTCACATTCAGGTATATATCTGAAGAAGTATTTTTTTTTTAAAGATTAAAATATTGGTAATTAATTACAAGTTGTTGTCCACCTGTTGTCATGAATCTCGTAGGAATAACAAAAAACTAACAATGTATTTAGGCATAATTTGTTTTACTTACCAGCTATGACCACTGCAATGATTTGGCCAGCATAATGCACAGTATCAGTGCATAATATCTACAATGTACAAAAACAACAAAACAACAATGAAAAATTTGTCAGTACAAGAGACTTTTCACATACAGCCTCTACTATCGTCTACATACTTTCATTTCATTTTCATTTTTATGTCATTTATATTACACAATAGTAACATGAAACAACATCTTTAAAACATTTGTGTTTTATAATTAAGTGCCTTAACTGACAATAATAGTTATATCCAAGTCAAATCAAAATAAAGATCTAACGAAAGGATAGCGTAGCCTATTGTTTTGTTTTGGTGGGTTGAGTGTAACAAATAAAAGAGAATCTTTGTGTTCAGATGTTTAATCAAGTCGTAAATTTAAATCAAATAATCAATTTTTTTTTAAATCCTTGATTGAAGATTTGGTAAATATAAACTATATTAAATACCTGTAAGTCTAGATCTACAGGTACACCTAATGATGGAAGATATTGATTGATTCCACCTTTTGGTATATCTTCTACTGTTACAATATCTATTACACCTTCAGTAACCTGTAATAACATAATACAGACCTGAAAATATTGATTTTTATTGGAACTGACAAAATGTCAGACACTATTGAAATTGTATCAACATATTTTCAGGTGGAAATAATAGCACAAATTCCTTTTTTATTATGACTATGAGTGTTTTCTCTTTAGTAGGGTTATTAGTGATGGATTTTAACTTTTCATCAAGAAAAGATATATTAAATAAAATGTGGTTTAACGTCCTATTGTTCTGCACCAACTGGGCTAATGAAGAAGGGCGTATGCCATACAGTGTGATATAAGGGAAATTTTACCCGGACAGCAACTCTATGGCCTACCCTTATTTCTAATTCCAACTGTCAAGGGTTTTTTTTACGTGCACGCCAATGTGTACACAGGACATCGGTTTATCATCCCATCCGAACGACTGTACGTTGAACTTTGTCTTGGTCAACACCGTGATCGAACACAGGGAATCCAGGTTAGCGAGCGAATGGCATACTCACTGAGCCACCGTGGCTCCCCAAGAAAAGATATACCATTGACTAACATCGCTAAGTAGGTTTCAGTCTTGTTATTTGCCTGGGTTTTGTATGAGGTTTCGCCGAACAGTTTCCCAGAAAACCAGAACAATTATTTGTAAAATATTGTACAACAAATTTGATACTTTATCCAAGTATATAACATTGATCATGTTGTTATTCCACTGATTATTCACTGTTTTAATTTAACTGATGCAAGTATATTGTTTGTTTTTTTGAATAAATACAACCTACCAAAGCTTGTGAAAAAACTATATTTGTAATAGTTGAGTTTGCTACTGTTGATAAAACTAATCCAGCATACACTTCATCTCTATACATGGGCATATCATCCACATATATCACTTCACCACATGCCTTAAAATATAACCAAACAACAAATCATGCTTTTAATATCAATACATTAAAGACAAATTCCCATGAAAGTACCCGTATGGCAAATTTGATTTATATGGTTATAAAAATGGATTCTATGAAAAACATCCAAGGCACACATAGGACAAAATGTAAGGGTATCACTAACTGGTAGTCTATTGGCTTGTTGTCTGCTCAAGTGATGTAGGAAGTGCTTGGTATGGACTAACCAAATGGTTAGGGGTTGTCATCAATTAACTGTAATGGTTAGATTTTATAATCTGCTATCTGCTTGAGCCCCTTTGACAATCTATCTGTCTATTTTCTGAAATTGTAAAGAAAAGTACTGACATGTATATACCTGTGCCAATGATGCTAATTTAACCATTGGTTGTTTCAGAGGGTAGTCAGTTGTATTAGTTTGGTAAGATTGTTGACCGGATGATATCCCACGTGAAAGACTGCACCAGTTTTATTACTAGCTAATGTATCTTGATTCATTATACCTAAAATTGTCTGAAATATATATATAATGAAAATCAAAATATTTCTAGACTGGGTTGTTCGTAATTACTATGGCACAAGGTACTCAGCTCTATATATGAAGTTAAAATATGTCTTTTTTTAATTTAATATTTTCCTAATTAACGAAACCAATTAAATCTAGCTATTTGGAGTTAGATGATACATATCTATTTCAAAAATAAGTAGGAGAGAGAGAGAGAGGGAGGGAGAGAGAGAGAGAGAGAGAGAGAGAGAGAGAGAGAGAGGAGGGACCCGGAGAAAATCTTCAAGACAGGCGACCATACTCCTTGTCACATACAACCAGGGAATTGAAACCACACCGGTTGACTCAATGACAGACCTTATGATACCCCCCATCACCGCAGAGCATCTGAATACCACTAGCAGGATGGAGGACAATGGGACATACAGGTGTATTAAAAATAGGACAAATAAAGGAACTATAGAGATGGAAAGGTGGCATAAATGTCTACAAAATACTCACTTTATAAAATAGATTTACAGCCAATTGACAGCGGTATGTATATGATGATAGCAATATATTCTCATCTTCATGTTTTGTAGCGAACTCTTTCTTTAATATTGATACAGCCTCTACAATAAACAAAACCAAAATATAGATACAACCTCTACAATAAACATACCAAAATATAGATATATACAACCTCTACAATACACTAAAACATATATAGATACAACATCTACAATACACAAAACCAAAATATAGATACCTCTACAATACACTAAAACATATATAGATACAACCCCCACAATACGCTAAAACACATATGGATACAACCTCTACAATACACTAAAACACATATAGATACAACCTCTACAATACACTAAAACACATATGGATACAACCTCTACAATACACTAACACATATAGATACAACCCCCACAATACACTAAAACATATATAGATACAACATCCACAATACATTAAAACATATATAGATACAACCTCTACAATACACCAAAACACATATAGATACAACCTCCACAATATACTAAAACACATATGGATACAACCTCTACAATACACTAAAACACATATAGATACAACCTCTACAATACACTAAAACACATATGGATACAACCTCTACAATACACTAACACATATAGATACAACCCCCACAATACACTAAAACATATATAGATACAACATCCACAATACATTAAAACATATATAGATACAACCTCTACAATACACCAAAACACATATAGATACAACCCCCACAATACACTAAAACACATATAGATACAACCCCCACAATACACTAAAACACATATAGATACAACCCCCACAATACACTAAAACTAACCTTGAATCACAGAATCAGTTACCATTTTATTAGTTAAGTAGTGTTCAGTATTCACAGCATGAGTCTGAAATAATAAAAAGCAAACAAAATATCACCTTATTAAAAGATTTGGGATGATCTGGATTTTCTACATAAGTATATTAACAGAATCATTTAGTTTAATTTTGATTTTTTAAATACTTACAATAACATCCAATCCTCCATATACTATAGAAGGTTTATCTGTAAATTGTCTTCCATCTTCGCTCAATTTAAATCTGAATCCAGCATTTACATATGCATATACATTCTGAAAACAAAAGTCAGTAGGTATATGTGCAATCTTTCAGAGCTTCCTGGTACTGATTTACTTTTCTGAGTATTGTGTAGTGTTAGGATGGAACCAAAAAACGAGGTACGTCCATGCACACATTGGAGAGAGAGAGAGAGAGTGAGAGAGAGAGGGGTTTACCTCCACTTGACATAAAATAGGTCGTTTTGAGACTAAGATATGTTTCAATTTTATTTCAATAATTCACTTTCGTGTAGGGGTCTTTAGCAGTGGGGGGGAACCGGAGGACCCAGAGAAAACCCACAAGCTTGGTCAGGTGACCCTACTCCTTATCACTTACAACCAGGGAATCGAAACCATGCCAGTTGACTCAATGACAGACCTTATGATACAGCGCGCATGCGCTAACCATTCGGCCATCCAACCCACCCTTGCCCCCATTGCAGTGCTTGACAGCTGGAATGTGTGGAAGAGTAGAAAGAATCGTTGCTGTTTGACAGAAGTTTTCAGCTTTACATTGCACAATATCGTGTACCCATAGAAAAAAAAAAAAAATTATTAGCATTGTGCAGACAAGATGCTAAACCCCATTCCATTCGGCACCAGTCCTGCTTTTTGGTTTCTATTTGGGAATTCTGCTTATTATTTGAGACAAACACAGAGAGTAAAATAACTAATGATTTTATCTGGTATCCTACGCCATACATGTACTAGTATGAAATCAAGTTGTCCATTTAGAGATGGCTATGTCCTTATAGCCAAGTATGACTGGCACTTCCGTTTCCGTCCTCATCCTGTGCACCGTCATTCCTTTGCTACCTTGTATACTGGTATGTTGTATTATATAAAGTATTATATAAAGTCTGCCCAACCTGAAGTTGTCGTTAGTATTATTGGTTCATATTTTATTACTGGCACTATGAAAACATAATGGTATTACCTGTGACCTGGCCATTATTTTAAATGACTGATAAACTGTATTTGTCTGATGTGGATAAAGATATAATCTTATGATCAGTTTGTTTTTTATGTTGATTTGAAGGAATTCCATTAATGATAACATTGACAATGTTCCTGTCATCAAATCTGAAAAGAAATGAAATGAAAGGGGGTTTAAGGTCCTACTGTTCTACACTGACTGGGCTAATGAGGACAGCTAATCTGAAAAGAAGCCACATATTTTTATCTTCAAACGAACACAGTAATATATAAGAACATTTTCAAAATAGTGTTAATCATTTGTTCGCTTTTATAATTAATCAACATCCAATATCATACCTTGGACTCCAATGATTGCACCAGCGGCTTCTAGCACTACAAAAATATCAGAAGGGAATTCTGGATGTTCATGTTTCATCATGAGATTACCAGCCCAACATCCAGCCTGCAATTGAAGTAAAAGTTAAGGTGGTATTCATATAATATTAGCATATCTTGCTACACCCCAACCCATCCATTAGATGATTAGTACCGACTAACTAGTCACAGGGGATAAAAATAGGTTAGTAATTTCTCTCACATAAATATCAATCAACAAAGGTACCCATAGTTCACAAACATAAAAAGGTAAGTCTACTTTCATGGAAACACCTGTAAAATCTAGGTAAAAAAAGTAAACCCTCATTATATGGGAACATTGGGAACTCTTGTAACCACTGTTAATTTACGATTCAGATAGCACTATTCCCAGGTTTAAAATACACATATTTTTCAGTTACATTTCTTACTTACATTTCTAACGAGGACATTGCCGATCTTTTTCAGATGTTGAGAAATATTGGTGAAGTAAATGAAACCCTGGTGGTAAGATTTTCTATCAGATAAAATTGAAATTAACCTAGTCAGTGTTGTATTTGCTCCAATCATTACACAATTTGCTGATAACTGAATAAAATAATGTACAATAATTAAATAAAAATAAAATAAACTGAAAGTTTAAAAAGTATGAAAAAAAAATCACTTTTAGATTTCACATATCACATAAAAATTGGAATCAGACTGTTAATAACTTGCGAGACAATTCTAACAAAGATCAAACTGGAATAACCAGTTAGCTTGGCATGTTCACCTGATGAATTCTACTTCCTATCACACTAATTTTCAAAGGTAATCTATCCTATTAAGCACACTTAACCGTACTTAACACCCAAATTGGATAACTATAGATCCAGAGCTGGTACACTGGAAGATTAAAGATAACAAGGATTACCTTTATATCAATGAGTTCTGGTATGTATCTTATGTCAATATACATATCACTGACAGACGTTTCTTTGAACACACCTTTAATTTAAAATTTATATAAATGAACACCATATAATTTAAAATGTACATATATTAACACTGTATAATTCAAAATGTACATATAACTAGTCTATTTTTGACCTGTTGATGGATATTTGTAAAACTTGATAGGTAGGTAGAAAATGAGAAACACTCATTAGAATTTGGAATATTTTGAGCATACATAATAGAGTTATCTCTTGTTCACGTTTTGATTTACAATGTTTGCACCTGTTTTATATTAATTTATAACTACCACAGATGCTGTTGCCGTTGGTTGTCCTATAAAGGTGACTTGACAAAGACCTGCAATGTTTTATATTATAAACTGTTGCTTGACCAAATACAATTTCCCTCCTGTACGCCTTCTCTATTGCACCAGTTGCCTTGACAAATATGTAGAAATTAATGTAAGCACCATACCTGAAGATGTGTAACCAAACACATAGCGAACATGCTTTCCAGAATTCATCTGAACAATTTGCTGAAGCTGATTGATGGTGTGAGGTCGAAACCATCTACGATCTGTAAAACACTTTGAAGGACGGACTTGATGGCATTTGGGACCACGACATATTTTGTTTGTTTTTGAGCACATATTCTTATCAAGGTCTTCTATATCAATACAGCCACCTCCAGGAGTCTGGGAATCTGTAGCGAATGATTTCATTGCATCTAAGATTGGTCTATAACCAGTACAACGGCAGATATTTCCATCAAAATTATCTTCAATGAACTCCTGACTTGGTTGGGGATTTTGATGAAGCAGTCTGTTAAAAAAAAAAAGGATGGGAAGTGGGGAATTCAGGTAGAAATACAAAGATATACAGAAAGATATACAAAGATATAGAATGATATATAGAAAGATATAGAATGATATATAGAAAGATATACAATGAAATATATACAAAGAGAGAGAGAAATGGGATTTAACCTCCACTCGACACAAACTAGGTCATTTCGGGACTAACATATGGTTTAATTTTATTTCAATAATTCGATTGCGTGTAGGGGTCTTTAGCAGTGGGAGGAAACCGGAGGACCCAGAGAAAAGCCACGAGGTTGGACAGGCGATCCTACACCATGCCACGTCTGATTAAAGGAGGTAGATCGCTAACTCAGTATCATCTACAGGCGACCCTACTCCTTGTCACGTACAACCGGGGATTCGAAACCACGCCAGTCGACTCAATGACAGACTTTATGATACAGCGCGCGCACGCTAACCATTCAGCCATCCAACCCCCCCCCCGGAAATATATACAATGATATATAGAATGTTATACATTGATATATAGAAAGATAATGTTAATTGTCAAAAATCACCTGACGAAATGTATCTACCCTTATATGGGAATTAGAATTGATGAAAAAGGGGGTCACATATTGTAGAACCATAGAATATGTACTGCAATTGGTTGAAGTTAGGAATTTCTATTTAGACAGAAGTCCCCAGTACGAGTGATCTGAAGGACAATTGCTTGATACTGATATAATACATACCCATACATGTTCATTACCATACCAGGTGTGCAATAACCACATTGAGAACCATTCAAATCTGAAATCCGTTTCTGTATTGGATGTGGTCCTGATGCTTGATCACCTAGACCTTCTACAGTCCATATCTTCCAACCATCAACACAGAATAAAGGACACAGACACTAGAAATGTGAAATCATAAATTGTTAATATATATATACACATATTTCAATACGATATCAGATAAATAAAATATCATCTTAATTTGCATTTTACGACACGATTCTTATCAGCCCAGATATTGTCCATGGGAAATCTAATCTTTCCGCTTCTAATAAAATATCTCCATTTCATTCAATATATTAATAAAGCAAACATATTGGATGGAGCCTCTAACTAGGAGTCAAAATAAAAAATCCAATGATCAAAATCTGTAAAACTGGTCAATAAGTACAAACTGTTCGGAGCAGAGCTGTAGGACGTTAAAGCCCAATTCATTTCTTTTCATTTCAGAAATTGTTCGGAAAAGAGCATGCCTACTTTCAGTCCCATATAAAAAATCTATCTAAAAATAAATAAAATGCTTCCCTTTTCACATTGGGAGCCTGTGATGGCTCAGTAAGTGCGAGGTTTGTTCTCTAACCAGGAGGTCGTAGGTGCACGTAAAAGAACCCTAGACAGTTGGAATTTAAATTAAGAGTAGGTGGTAGTGCCACTGTCCGAGCTAAATTTCTCTCATAGTGTATGGAACTGAATGCAGAGTTCTAACTCTTAAACTGGAGATGCAAATGCTGATATGCTTACTTCAATGCAACTGTTTGTCGTGTATTTTGTACACGGTGAACAGTCCATTTGCTGATTACACTATTTTGCCTATACCGTTTTTTTAGGACTTCGAATTTTGTTTAATGGTTTGGATTGTTCATACTTGGTTTTATTTTATTTTAACTTACACATGTTAAATTGGCTACTTACCCATTCATATTACTTTCCATTATTACTCTTAATTTAGTTTGTGACATTTCACTAAGCGGTATATATCTTTATAAAGGCAACATAATTCTACAGGGTTCCCGCAGCTTCGTCAAACATTTTTTCAAGGATATTCAAGGATAAAAATACGTCAAATTCAAGGATTTTCAAGGACATTTTTTAGCCTAAAGTTACAATTTTTCATCTTAAAAATAACCAAAACATTACCAACTATCATCATAATCTCATATTTAAAAGGAATTGAAGACATTTGAAACAAAATTAAGGATCTCAACTGAAATTCAAGGATATTTTCCTATTTCCGCGAAATTCAAGGATATTCAAGACCTTGAAAATGAAATTTTAAATTTAAGGATATTCAAGGATTTTCAAGGACCGCGGGAACCCTGTTCTAACGCTCATTATAAAAATCGATAGGGTTCCGCCTATCATGTCCTAAATGCTTCACACCAAATTTGAAAAGAAATTGTCAAAAACTGTAACCTCTTATTGCATTCACTTGCCAATTGTTGAGGACAGACGGACAAACAGGGTGACGACATCATACGCCCACACAGAAATGAGAGATATTTTTCAATATGTTGGGATAGGGGTATGGGCCTGACCGGCTTTTTGTCCCATGGCTGTCATTGCTATCAACAGCCCTGTTGACTATCAATGGACTGCATAAGTAAACAACAAGCTCACATTTTGCAAGAGATGGATGGGGAACTGGGAAAATCAATAGGATGCATCCTCTCATTGTCTGATATGTACCAAAATCAAACTAATCCAAGAATTTTTAGTCCCTAACACACATTTCAAGTTTCATCTGAATCGGACAAAATTTGTCACCTCTTGAGGGTCCACAAACTTTGCACATATTTCAAATTTTGAGCAAATGGCAGGGGGCATAACTTCAGAACGGAAGGTCCGATATAGTCCAAAATTGAATAATTGTCACCTCTTTAGGATCCACAAACCTTGTACATATTCGAAAGGGGCCATAACTCTGGATCGTATGTCTGATGTACACTAAACTCGTCTAAGATCCTTAGCATATGTTTTAAGTTTCATCCAAATCGGACAAAAATTGTATTTTGATCCTTAACATATATTTTAAGTTTCATCTAAATCTGATAAAAATTGTGGTCCAAAACCTTGGTATTACATGCTTTTACGCTATTTGCGTAAAGGCGAGCAGCCATTTTGGCAGGAAGTAATTATGGTGTAGTGGTGATACAAAATAAAATGAAATGAAATCTGGTTTAATGTCCAACTGTTCTGCTCCGACTGGGCCAATGAAGACGGGCATACACCAGTGTCCTATGAGGAAAATTTTGCCCGGGCAGCGGCACTATGGCCTACTCTTATATCAAATTCCAACTGCCAAGGGATCTTTTATGTGCATGCCAATGTACATGCGGGCCTCGGTTTTTCGTACCATCCAAACGACTAGACAGCTGTCCTTGTCAGGCCAGCTGTCCAGTTCGGAGCAAAACAGTAGGACGTTAAACCCCATTTCATTTCATTTCATTTCTATGGATTAAAACATTTTGTCTGGAGCCACTCTACTTTGTGCGATATTTTTCGGGCATCGATTATTATTTGTCAATGCAGATGTAACAGTCGGATTGGATGATTGGAATTCGGGTCACCATAGAGAGGGATTTCGGTTGCAAAACCATTGGACAACTTTGAAGTTGCTTAACTCACGGGCTAGAATAGCAGAAAAACGCATTTGCAGCAGTTAAATTTTCAAAATTTTCTGGGGGAGGGCGAGGCCCCAGTACCCCGGGACGATTGATTGGTTGTTGGGGTACCCCCGTACCCCGACACTCTACAGGTCACAATTTTCACAAAATTCAAATTCAACCGTAATGATGGTGTAACCGCGATATGTTTGAATGTTTTTTAAAAACAAATAAAAATTAAGCGGGTCCTCAAGCTAACAATGTGACTTTTCATACAATCACGGGCCATAATCCAGGAAGTTAAGATCTGATATTCGCCAATATCAAACGGATCCGAGATCTTTGGGGTATAAGCATACATTTTAAGTTGCATCAAAATCAGATAAAAATTGTAACCTCTAGAGGGTCTAAAAGCTAGGGGCCATAATCTATGAAGCGACATTCCGATACCTGCCATTATCGAAAGAACCGTCCTAATCGTATAAAAATTGTGACCTGTAGAGTGTCCACAAACAAAATGTTAACAGGCGGACAGGGGCGACGACATAATACATACACAAGAAAATGTTGACATGTAAAAAAAAATATTACCGAATTAATAGAGAATGTCATTGCCTGTTGTTGATTTGTAAATGATGGTATTGTTACAGTCACAGCACAGACACCACAACCCCCTTCTCTACACATAACTTTAGTTCCCTTTAATCCTAAAACATCTCTCAAATACTCGTTCAAACTTATTGTTGGTGACAACTCATTTTCTGAAACTAGTACATATAAATTAAATTTTTGCTCTAGAAAATTATTGACAAAATGTGACAAAGCTACAAAGCCAAATAAGAGATAGAATATAAAAAACATATCTTGTGTGCTAACTAAGTAACCAAACAATAACTAATGTATGCCAGATAATAACTAGATCTTTACATATAATAACTACCTAATGTGCACTAGTTAGTTATATTGTGTGCTCCAGATAATAACTACCCGGTAGTACCTTTCAGTTAGTAACTCTTGACAAAATAACTAGTGTGAACTGGTTAGTTACCTGGTGTGCTCTAGATAATAACTAGCACCTGCCAGATAGTAACTCTTGACAAAAAACTAGTGTGCACTGGTTAGTTACGTGTACCTGGTGTGCTGTAGATAATAACTAGCACTTGCCTGATAGTAACTTGTGGCTACAAGATCATAATAACTAGCACTTGCCAGATAGTAAAGTGGCCCCAAGATAATAGTAACTAGCACTTGCCAGATAATTAAATAGCTAGTAGGTTCAAGAAATGAAATGGGGTTTAAAGTCCTACTGTTCTGCTTCGACTGTGCTAATGAAGACGGGCATACGCCATACAGTGTGCTATGAAGGAAATTTTGCCCAGACGGCAGTGCTACAGCCTCTCTTATATTGAATTCCAAATGCTAATAAATCTTTTACATGCGCACCAATGAATACATGGGACCTCGGTTTTTCATCCTATCCGAATGACTAGACAGCTGTCCTTGTCAGGTCCTCCGTCCTGCACCATTGACAAGGGGAAACCAAGTCGGAAAATCCCGATGAACTTTCTCGGCCAACACCGGGATTGAACCCACCTCCAGGCCAGAGCCAGCATCTTACTCACTTAGCCACCGTGGCACATAATAACTAGTACCTGTCAGATAGTAACTTTTGGACACAAGTAGACAATAACTAGCACCTGCCAGCTAATATGCAGGGCATGTCAGCTAATAACTAAAGTCTGTCATTGAGTGAACTGGTGAGGTTTCAATTCCCCGGTTGTAGGTGACAAGGAGTAGGGTCACCTGTCCAATCTTGTGGGTTCTCTCTGGGTCCTCTGGTTTCCTACCACTGCTAAAGACCCCTATGTGGAAGCAAATTAATGAAATAAAATTGAACCATATGTTACTCCCGAAATGACCTAGTTTGTGTCGAGTGGACATTAAACCCTATTTCTCTCTCTCTTTAAGCCATGCAAGAGGCAGAATATACTTTTTAAAGAACATATTGGCCTTTCTCAGTTTAGGAGTTCAAAATCACCCTTAATTGTCCTTAATTTAAATACAAAATCCACAGGAAAAATCTTATTTAAGGAAGTATCAATTGGTAAAGAAAAGCAATAGTTGTCAAATGTATGCTAGCTGCTACAATAAAATAAATTGTATTACCTGCATATTCCAGTCCGTTTATATGAAATGAAACTGAACAGTTATAATCCATTATATAAATCTAACTGAAAAAGGTCATAATAATAATAATGATTATGCATTAAAAAGTGCCTTGAGATTTTATACCCAGCCATCTTTGCAAATCCATAGATTTCTTGCAATTTTATGAATACTTGATTATATCAAAAAAATTAGTTAATTCACATAATTAGCAAAAATTGTATTGTAAACTGGACTGTCTATTTATAGTATCAATACCTTATTATTATCCAAAACTGACAGAATTCTTCAATTACTTCGATATTAATGATTAAGTACAACAGTTTTATGTAACAGTACTTATGTAGTATATACTAGTTTATTCTGTGTAATATGTATTATTAGATGCCTGTAATTCTGTCTATGCATGCTCTCTTTAAAAGATGTCTTGTGGCATAAACAACTTACATTATATTATCTTTGGACTACTGTACTATGAACCTGAATATGACTATAAATGTATGAACCGTGGTAAATTATAAACGGATTTCTTCGATTGTGAACAAACTACTGAATAAATGTTATTAAAAACTTGCCTATGTGTTTGAAATCACTTCCCGTTGAATAAAATCCATAGCACAATTAAATTTCCCAACGAAAAAAATAGTTCTCTCTTGAAAAGTCAATGTTTTTGCTTGTATTTTCGAAAGTCTCCATCATGCACTTGTCACGTGGTGAGTTGTAATGCATCGTAATATCATGATTGGGGGTAAAGATTGACAAATTTTAACAATCACGTGTGCTGCTATCAAAACAGCACACGACCTTTTCGAGCGTTTGAGTTTGGGCAACAAGATAATATTAATTCAAACAATTAATTGATTGTCAGTCCCATGGTAGCCTATGTCAACTCTCCATAGGACCAACTATCACCTGGGTTCAGAGATGAACATTTTCGAAGTTTAGCAATCTATTGCTGAGCCAAGGGGCCAAGACCCAGAGATTTTCGTTTATGGGTGTTAGTTGACCCTATGTATTATTCATCAACCTAATTACTGTCCGAGTCTTGGTAAATTTTAAACGGATTTCTTCGATTATGAACTTTAAACTACTTAACTTTGGTTATTAATATTATTATAAACTTACCTGTGTGTTTGTAATGAACTCCCATTCGATAAAATCCATTGCACAACTAATTATCACAACGATGAAAACAAGTTCTCTCTTGAAAAATTGAAATATCACAAACTTTTCCCAGAGAAAAATACCAATATGGAAGATGGTTACGTCACTCTGCGGAAGATATCATTTCGTATTAGGGGTGACAGCATAGGTCGAAATTCAAGTACAATTACGACAAGAATCCATGACCACTCGGACCAAAGACCACTCGGTTGAAGACCAGTCGGACCAACTGATAGACCACTCAGCCCAAACAAATAGACTACTCGGACCATTCATAAAGACTATTCGGACCCAACAGAAAGTCGACTCGGACCAATAATAAAGTGTTGTTTTAATAAATTGATAATTGCGTTTGTTTTAATATGATTACTCGAACCAATAATAAAGTGTTATTTTAATAAATTGATAATTGTGTTTATTTTAGTATGACTACTCGAACCAATAATAAAGTGTTATTTGAATAAATTGCTAATTGTGTGTGTTTTAATATGACTACTCGAACTAATAATAACGTGTTGTTTGAATAAATTGATAATTGTATTCCAAATCGCAAAATATCGAGAACCACACTTGTAGTCACGTTTAAAAAGGGGCATATAAACGTCCGGTCTTCGTATTATTATGTGCTGTTTATATTAACGCATCAAGGGCGGATAACTTGAAAACGTGTCTCTCCCCCCCCCCCCCCATATATAGTAACCCAGGGGTTAGTGGGGTAGAACGGAATGAAACCACTGGGGATACCGCGAATGTGGAAAAAGTAAAATTAGGCTATCAGACAAGAACAGTATACCCGTATATGTAGAAACTGTCAAAAGTCTGGACATACCGAGTCTCATTGCAAGAGTAAAGAAAAATTAGATTGATATTTTTTTTGGCACCATTATTAATTAATTTTAAAACTAATCGTTGATTTATTTTCCGTACACAAAATTGAACCAAACAACTCTAAATATACGAATTCCGTATAAGAATTATTTGCTTCTTTGTATTGTGATTTAATAATAAATAAGTAGCATATTGCCTAGCCTTATAATATAATTTAATTGGTCCGACTGGTCTTGTTTTGGTCCGACTGGTCTTAGTCCGAGTAGTCTTTGGTCCGAGTGGTCTGGATACCTGCGACAATTGGCATTGAGTTTGAGCGTTCGCACACATAACTACCCGCATTCCTGTATTTAGTTACCGTCTTTTACATTCTAGTAAAATCTCTGCAAATTTTATAGCTTTACTTTTTGAAATATTTTGTTCTAATTATTTGATTAGCGACTCGGATGGGATTATTTACTTTTGAACACGCATGCCGCACAAACACAACTATACATTCGTTTTACGGGCTTTATCACACTTCGGTCAAAACTGTCGAATCGAGAATTAATGTTCCGCTTCTTACGGGGCCATACGGACTTAGTAGCATTATATACCCACCCGGGCACCTAATAGACACGCTGAGGGCTGCCGCAACACGCTTAAAGATGTTACTGAAGCGGTTATTATTCGATCGAAAGAATGCGTATAAAATTAAAAATACACTCAGAGAATTCGGAGTTTAAGCTTCATGATCCTTGTTAAATTATTTATAACATAAAGAAGATAGGATATTTATAGTTTATACATGACTTTATTTTTACGAGTATCCATGCAATCAGTGATATTTTAATTGTGAAGAAAATTTGATAGACTGGCGATCAATGGTTTCCATATAAATCTCCTATGTAATTGCCCAGTTCGGAGCAAAACGGTAGGACGTTAAACCCCATTTCATTTCATTTCCTATGTAATTGCCTTCAATTGATATTTTTCGTCGCCCAAACCCATATACGATCAAAATGATCGCGCTGTCAAACTATCTTTCAATGTTAACCAACCCCCGCAACAGGTATATTGGATTCGACCAATACGTCACGAAGACATTGTTGACATCGACTCTGTCGTGGTATGACTCAACAATGGCGGCCATTTAACTTCTTTATTACTAATCAAGCATGCGCATTAACATACGCGGCAAATATGAATATATAATAATTGATATTATTACACATCAGAACATTTCCCCCCTTTTAAAATAAAGTAAGTCAATACATACAATCATAGTATGTCTCAAACTAAAGTCTTAAATAAAATGAAAATACAGCTCAATACTTTTAAGCATAATTTAACTGTTTTAATAAGTGTACAGTTTATCTGTATCTGAAAGGTTTCCGTATAATACGACCATATCGAGTTCTAAGTGGTTGTGGTAGTTCGGGGATATAGTTGTTATCAACTGGCAGATTTGGACGCATTATATTCTCAACTGGCATATCCATGTCTAAACAATCATCGTCGTCATCATCCATGGGTATATTAAAGTCATCGTGATGATCTCCAATAAGACGAAGGTGACGCCTATTGCGACGATAAATTCCACGCTTTGTCTTTACAATGTATGATCTGGGTTCTGTAGCTTTATGTACAATTATTCCTGGGATTAGCCATTTTTTATCATTGTCAAGTTTAATAAAGACTTTATCATCAGGTTTTAATTCGGATAACTCTTTAACTCCATGAAACCGATTAAAGTTAGATTCTGACTTGTTTTTATACAATTCATCTTTCCCTCTCACCCTTTCTAAATCAGGCCATTGAGGTTCTAAATTTGTTGGTAAAGTAGGTAACGTTGTACGTAATTGACGTCCCATTAGTAGTTGAGCTGGACTGCATTTAGTAGCTTCTATTGGGGTTGCTCGATAATTCAGGAGAGCGATGTGTGGATCGGGCTGGTTAAGAATGGTCTTAGCTGTTTGGACCGCTCTCTCGGCTTCCCCATTTGCCTGTGGATAATGTGGACTGGTCGTAATGTGTTCTATACCATAACGATTACAAAAGCTGTTGAACTCATGCGACACATATTGTGGACCATTGTCCGAAATTAACTGTTCTGGGATACCAAATCTTGCGATCACATCTTGAAACTTGGATATTAAGCAACGACTTGTAGTTGTCGGCATATAGATGATTTCTAGGTATCTCGAAAAATAATCAATTATTATTAAATATTGTTTATTCTTAAATGTACAAAGATCTGAAGCTATTCTTTGCCAAGGTCGATCAGGTAATGTACTTGGAATCAAAGGTTCTTTGTTTTGTGTAGGTCGTTGTTTTAAGCAATATAAACATGAAGACACTTTATTACGGATTTCTGTCGAAATCTTCGGCCACCACACGGACAAACGTGCGCGTTCTCGGCATTTTGTGACACCTAAATGTCCTTCATGGATGCGGTTTAAAATACCATCTCTTAGTTGTGACGGAATAATAACTCTGTTACCATAAGTGAGTACGCGATTAACACTGCTCAGTCGTTCTCGAACAGTAAAATAGGGTTTAACGTTTTCTTGAACGTCTCTAATGTATTCAGGCCATCCCTGTTGAACGTAATAAAGAACACTCTTTAACGTAGGATCTTCCTCGGTCATTCTGCGAATCTTAGTAAGTAATTTATCTGATGTCGGCCACGAAGAAGTTATCAAATCAACAAACATGCGAATTTCCTGTTCTTTACTGCTGTCTTCTGCATTATTTAAGGGACTACGACTTAAAGTATCCGCCACCAACAATGTTTTCCCTGGAACGAACTCAGCTGTTGGATTAAAACGCATTAATCTCATCAATAAACGTTGACATCTAATAGGAACCTGATCAATGTCTTTACGGTTAATAAGAGGCACCAAAGGCTTATGATCAGTTAATAATTTATACGAATCAAGTCCGCAAATATATCTGGAAAATTTCTCGCTCGACCATACCGAAGCTAGGCACTCTTTCTCAATTTGGGCATATCGTTTCTCAGCATCTGTCAAAGTACGAGAACAGTAGGCAACTGGCTTCCAATCAGAATTATGCTGCTGCATTAAGACACCTCCAATTCCATACTGACTAGCATCTGCACTTATCATTGTAGGTTTACTAACATCAAATAATGACAATACAGGAGCGCTACTTATCAATTCTTTGACTGTTTTAAAAGAGTTTTCTTGGGATGAACCCCAAGTCCAAACAATATCTTTCTTTAAAAGTTTGTTAAGAGGTTGTAATACATCAGACAAGTTCGGTAAATATCGACCTAAATAATTAATCATGCCCAAGACACGTTTCAATTCTGTAACTGTTTTAGGTACTCGTAATTCCTGGATAGCTTGTACTTTATCTGGATGTGGGCTAATGCCACCTGAGGTGACAACATGACCTAACAAATCAATTGAGGTTTGACGTAGGGTACATTTATTTTTGTTTAGTTTAAGTCCTGACTCTTTAATACGTTCTATGACGGCTGAAAGATTGCGATCATGTTCTTCAAGCGTTACTCCAAATATAAATATATCGTCCATGTACACTGCTACTCCGTCCAAACCTGTCAATAATTCAGACATTTTTCTCATAAATATTTCTGGTGCACTGGTAATTCCAAATGGTAGCCGTTTAAATCTGTATCGTCCATTAGGTGTAATAAATGTGGTTAATTTGGAGCTCTCTGTATCAAGTGGTATCTGATAAAATCCGCTGGATGCATCTAGACGTGAAAAGTATTGACTTCCTGACATTTTATGTAAAATATCTTCTAATGCGGGTAAAACATATCTTTCGCGTTTAACGCCTTTATTCAATTGACGTAAATCGACACATAATCGAACACGACCATTTTGTTTTAATACCGGAACCACTGGGGCACACCAGTCGGAAGGCTCTGTGACCTTTTCGATGATATCTTGATCAATCATTCTTTTTAATTCTAATTCAACTTTAGGTAATAACGGAATTGGTATTCGTCTAGCTGCATGTACAGAATATGGAACAACATCTTCTTTCAGTATTATTTTTACTGGATCCCCTTTTAAGAGACCTATATCTGCAAAAAGTTCAGTATCAATTTCAACACTGTCAACCTTACAACTGCTATCGTTTCTACGTATAAGTCCCATCCAAACTGCTGCTGTGCGGCTAAGCAGATTCTGAACAAAATTACCTCTAACAACGTAAATCATAATGTTAACAGTTTTGTGGTTGTGAACAAGGTTTGTTATAAAATATCCTAGGCAATCTAACCTTCCACCTGGACTTCCAAACTTAACATCAGACTTGTATAAAATAGGACGTGAACGCAACTTATTAAATGTTAATTCAGATATTACAGTCGCATCGGCTCCAGAATCAATTTTAAACTGAAGTAAGGTGTTTTCAACTCTCAATGAAATATTCCACGCCGGCTCTGAATCTTGCAAACAATCTGTGGATGTCAATGAACCAAGAAAAAACTCGGTTTGATTTTTATCAGGAATCACTAAAGGGGAACAACTGCGGGTGGCTTCATGGGAATCTACATTACTGATTAAAGGGAGGGTACTACAGTTTGGTTCGTCTTTCACTGTCCGGGTTATCTCCCTTATAGATTTTGTCTTACAGCACACTGCAAAATAGCCTACTTGATGACATTTCCTACACTTGGAATAACTAGCTGGACAATATTCATCTAACCAGTGTTTACGACTACAACGTGTACAATTTCTTCTATTTTCCCGGTATTCTCTATACCTGTTTGGATTATAATTATGATAATAATATCGCTGTCTTGGATTCTGAAATTGCCTTGAATTATTGTTACTATGATAATGATGTCCCCCTCTGAATCTTCCTCTGCCTCTAAAATTGTCATCTGAACGTCGATGATATGCTCCGTGAGTCTCGGACCTTCGTGCTATTGCATCTATTTCTCGTTTCATGGTACGAAAATTATTCATACTACCACTACTACCGGTACTCTCTTCACTTTTGGAATTATTTTGACTTTTAATTAGTTCACTGTGCCTTGCTAAACTGATAGCAGATTCTAGCGTTAAATTGTGGGTCATTTGCAGTTTCTGTGAAACAGTCTTATCTAATACGCCTATTACAATTCTGTCACGTATGCATTCGTCTTTAGTGGCACCAAAATCACAATGCTCAGCCAAATCATAAAGTTTACGAACAAACGCTTCAACCGTTTCTTCCGCATTTTGGACACATTGGTGAAATTTTGACCTTTCAAATATTACATTTCTCTTTGGAATAAAATGATCATTAAATTTCTGCAGTACAACATCGTAATCTTTCTTTTCATCGTCATTTCTAAATGTAAAACTTTTAACCACGTGCTCCGCCTCGGGACCCATAGCATAAATCATTGCGCTAACCTGCACATTTCCATCTTCGTCGTGAAGTTTCGTTGCAAGGCGATATCGAGAAAATCGCTCCCTCCACTCGAGCCATTCTGACGGGCGATCAAACCTGAAAGCTTCTGGTGGATTAAATTTGGCCATTTTATTCGTTCAGCAATCTAATGCTCTGACTATTTTGACTTTTACTTCTGACACCATGTCGTGGTATGACTCAACAATGGCGGCCATTTAACTTCTTTATTACTAATCAAGCATGCGCATTAACATACGCGGCAAATATGAATATATAATAATTGATATTATTACACATCAGAACAGACTCTGTCGAAATTACAAGTAAATTTTCAAATTTTTCAAGAGAGAACTTGTTCTCATCGTTGTGATAATTAGTTGTGCAATGGATTTTATCGAACGGGAGTTCATTACAAACACACAGGTAAGTTTATAATAACCAAAGTTAAGTAGTTTGTTCATAATCGAAGAAATCCGTTTAAAATTTACGATGGTTCACACAGTAATATTTATCGTATGTATATACACCATTCTAGTAAAATTTAACATGCTCGTGTAAAAATAAAAGACCCAGTCACAGCTCTGCGAGATTAAAATCGCAAAATAAATGTAGTAAAATCTCCGAAAAAAACGGCAAGATAGCGCCTAGCGGAGCGAATTTTCTGAAACTGCAGTTCGAGTTTGAGAACTAGACACCCTGAATCAAAATCAGAATTGTGTGATTTTTTTAAACTCTGCGGTTGGGACTTGCATCACCCCACCCAATGGTCAGTAAAAGTACCGGATTTCGGGCACTTCATTTTGCGGGATTGAATAATTTTATTATATCTCCTTTTATAACCACTAAAATTTTATTTTTTCCATCACTTGTACAATGTCAAGACAATTTGACAGACGCAAATGCGTTTTCCCGGCGGGCATTCCATGTCAAGTGTACACACTTTTATGACACTCTGTCTCCGATTTTAACCTAACTTACAGGGATTGATGTCCACCCTGAAAGAAAACACTATCCCAATTTTTGAGTCATTTGGCTTCATGGGACCCATTTTATGGGTCACCAAAGATTTGGGCCATCCGACTGACTTCGCAGCTTCTATCAGCCATAACTCAACACACAGTTGTCTGATCTCGATGATATTGGTATCAAAATACATAGCAGACTGGGTCCTTTCATTTGATGTTCTGCGATGATTTTGTCAGAAAAACATCTTTTTGTGCGACCTTTGACATTGAACCTACCAGGATGACAATCAGGCTATTTTTTTGCCCAGAAATGACATATCCTGTAATCGTCATACACACCAAATATCAGAGTGGTATCTCCATGCATGGGAACACGGTCAAAATGATCACCAATGATGGGTACCCCTACATACTATCCGCTTTAAGGGACAAAAACACTCTTGCTTGCTTGAAAGCTCCAGAAAATAAATAATATCTCTATCTAAGAAGTACTAGATGTTTAAAATTAAGTGTCCTACCTGTTGTGTAAATTATCCATTACATCCTATTTTACTTGTCCAGAGGGTTCGAAAATATTTTTAAATCGAAGTTTCATTTGAAAAGGTTTACGTTAGACGTTTCAAACCATTATGTTGAATTTTTCAAAAATTTTAAATAAGGTGTGTTAAGATGAAATTTGTATCATCAAATAATTGAAATATTCTAAAATAGTACAATTTGTTGACGAGAATAAAGATTGGGACATATTATTCAGTTACAACAAGAGTGGTATTGAGCCTTTAAGCCGTCACATAGTTATTTATTTTCACCACAAGAGAACATTATTATCAATGTTTCTTTGACAGAGCTTTACTTGATTCGGTCATTTCATGTTTAGAAAGTCTATAGGTGCATCCTTTGTTGGTTCGACTGATAACAGTATGTCCGATTTATCTAGCATCAATTCATCTGGGATCTCAGTGAAAACGAAACTGGGGGCTGGCTCAGATGGATCCATAAAGTTAAAGTAGCTAAGTCTCTAATTCAATATCATCCAAAATCTTCGACATTGAAAACACGACTTATTTGTCGGTTTAAATCAACATTGATGTTGTGATCTTACCGGGAAAAGATGGCCTTCTGATATCCAATATTTAAGACAAAATAAACATTTTACATTTGGTACACGAATTGTGTACCATATAATGCGTTTCAGCGCTATGTGTAATAAGGGACTCGAAAAACGAGGCTAGGCATATTCCACAAGTCATGTCAAACGGTGACGCTATATTCTTATCTGGAGAGCATGTCCAATAAATGCTTTCGGCATAGACTGGAATAACCACAAGCTAGAGATTGAAATTCGATTGAGAATACTGGTGTATGTCGCGGAACCTAACTGATTAGAAATTACAGTAAAAACAGAAACGATTGAATGTAAATCAATTTATATACATTCATATTACATTATTGTATGCATTCCGACCCATTTGTGTCAATTTCTAGGTCCCAAATATTAGCGACTTGGCTCCTTTAAACTTAATTTCTCTGGTTTTCTGCCGGAATTCCGTAATATAACCCAGCCACCAATGTCTTGTCATATTTAGCAGTGACGTAGCCAGTTGAATTTCCGATCAATAATGGGGCTGAAGCCACAGGTGTTACAGCCTGAATCACTGAGTACTTTAGCGATGACATCCCTGTACGTTTCCAGTTTCGCTATTTCATTCATCTTCGATCTAATCATCATCCTCCCACTGCTTAAAAGACCCCTACGCTCAAGCGAGTTATTGAAATAAAATTAAACCATATGTTAGTCCTGAAATGACCTAGTTTGTGTTAAGTGGACGTTAAACCCTATTTTTATCCCTCATACTCTGTGGGTTTGAAACCCTCCCTTCGATCACCCCATATTGGTATTATATACATAAACTTGTAGATATTTCAAAGTGGCCCAATAGATTTAGATTTGTTTCTGCACCAAATCAGTAGGGTATACCTGTTTATGTGAATTGTGTATTTGTTTTCATTGTTTTAAAGAGTGGCCAAGTTAAAGAGTGGGCAGACTAACACAAGCCACAGACAAGAAATATCAAACCCAGTGTTCGACCTTATAACATCCATTCAACATTTTGAGACTAACATATAATGATATATATTTTTATTTCAGTGGAATATGAAACTGGAGAAAATTGATGAGGTTAGGCAGGCGATCCTATTCTTGTCATGCACAAGCATGGTGTCGAAACCACACAACTTTACTCAGTGACAGATGTTATGATCTAGAACCCCACTACCTCCCGCTCCATAAGTGGTAAACTAAATGATTAGACCCAGAAAATATAGCCCATATGAATTTATATTAAATCTGTGTTTCAATAAATTAAAATTAAACAATAAAATAAGCTTTTATTAAAGAAAACTTAACAATAAATAATTTATATGCACATTTACATATACAACATGATTTCTATCAAGAAAATAATATAACAATATGACATCAATTATTCATTATTTCTTTCAAGTCAAGTTGGCAATGAGGGCATCCGACAGGCAACAACATGAATTTTTTGACAGAAACAATCTCGTAAGATAATATTATGCTTGATATAATAAGATGATTGACCATCAAATAGGTAATTAAGATGCAACATGAAGTACATAAAAATAGACTGTTGCACATAAATATAACACAAGCTTGGCTTGGTACTCAGTTACCAATGCAAGTTTAACAACAAAGGTAGCATTACAAGACAAGTTGACATATGTGCACTACCAGCTCTGCCATGCAAACTGTAACCAGATTATTTCGGGATTCTTTTGAAACACTACAACCAGGATAATAACGTATAACCAATTATCATAAATCTGGAGCATAACTCTACAATTGTTTTGGGGAAATTCCTGAAATTGGATTGAGTAGTGGTATGTTCCCTTTTAAATATGTCGAGGCCTATAAGTAGCTGACGACATATCATCATCTAATGGATCCTAAATAATCGTCTACCTACATTGTTTTATCTATCGGTAGCCATCATGGGCAGGACATAAAACAACAGATAGTGATCTTTACCCCATTTCTGACAATTCCTGGCAATTGACCAGAGCTTAGAATGAGAACCTTTGAGATAATATATATGTTTATCAAGTCAGGTCTGGTGCAATAACCCCGGAAATGCTTTTTAAAAAAAAATTCTCCTCGTTAGGCAAAAAACACCAATTCCTGGAAATGTGCTGAAAGTTGTTCATAAAATTGGTGTATAAAAATTGTATAAAACATTTCTTTATCTAATAATTTACATCTTTATCAGACATTCTACCAATAATATTTTTTACTACTATGTGTATACCGTTGGACGGAGGAATCATATTTTTATTTTTTATTTTAAGTTTTTAAAAACTGATTTAGGTAATAGGATTATTATTATGTTAAAGCGGCAGTTTTCTTGGTTATATTAATAGATGATAGACGTGACCATCTTCCAGACTTTATAGGTGGTAATTTTCCCGCTTGTTTATCTTCAGATTGCCTACGACTGGATGTTTTCTTTACCAAAGGTTCATCAGCACCATAAAGGGATGAGTCGGGACGAACCAGAGAAAAGTCCATTGTTTTTAATTGTTCCTGTGTTAAATTATCACTGGTATATCCTTTACTTAACATTCTATCACTTAATGGCAAATTTTTAGGCATCTGTATTGCTCGTAATTCCTGTAAAAGAACAATTTAAAAGTTGATGTATTGACATAGTTTTCCAGATTAGCCATAGTTCTAATGCATGTACATTCTTGTGGGCTTACATCAATGTGTTTAATTTAGGCCCAAATAAAAGAAAAGTATTGAATTAATCTAATGATTTATTTCCATTAGTGATGCAGCAAGCTCTATACCATAAGTGATGGGGACAAGACAAACCCTACACAAGTTAATAGAAATGGACTTGTTTTACTACTACTGCTAGTTTAAATTTGACTTACGGTGTGGACACAGGAATACAAAATTGGTTATATCTCAAAAAACGATTTATCTAATATGTAAAATTTTCAAGATTACGATCCGATTTGCTGCTCATCTTTCATTCATGATTTAATCATGAAATGGATAATCAAGACTTTTTTTATCGTACCGACTTTAGTAATGATGATCGATCTAGGCTAGGCCGAAATTTCAATTGCTTTATTCCTTGTTCATATTGGATCAATTTGACTGAAATTTTCAGCGAATTGCCATTACATTATCTAGTTTTTAACTATTATAGTGAGAACACCCAGCTCTTTATCTAATCTCCCATAATGTATCTTTAATCAACCAAATTGATCATTTTAATCGAATGAAGCTTGATCGCTCACTAATGAATCAGGTAAACCCAATACATAATTTTTCAATATTATTAGCAATATGAACTTTGTCTATGAATCTAATCCAATGTGAAACTGGAGAAAATCAATCGGTGGCCATGACTTACAGGTGTCTGTAATGCTTGGAATGGAGAACAAAGTTTCCCAAATCTCGAAGTTTCCTGGAAATTAATACCACCATAATGATCTCTACGTCCTTTTCTATCCTGTTGTATTCTAGCAAAATCTCTTTCAACTTTTATTCCTAAGAAAGTCTGAAGAAAAATGAAACAGATAAATGAAACAGCGAATTTCAAAATAATAATTAAATATTATTTAAACAGGTACACATACATGCAATAGTACAATTTAGAAATTGGATATGGATACGATTTGCATGCATATGGTTCGTGCTTTTAAAAAAAAAACTTAAGAAAGAAAAAAAACATAACATAAAGTCATATTAGGATGTAAATAAGGATACAGGTGTGCATATTGAGAACATTTATGGTTTATTAATTCAATATGTCCATGTGCTTACACCAGGGCTTTCTCTTCAAAATTTATTTTCTTTACTGTGAATTAGCAAAATATATCTTTCAATAATTTTTTTTTTTTTTAAAAGTAACCCATTTTGAATAATGTTTTTATATATGAAAACTATAAAATTAACTGTATTTATCATGTTTTAAGGTAAAAGGTTTTGAAATTCTTATTTAATGACATATAAATTGACTGATGAGTGAATTCTTGAACCGATCAACTTCATTCCCATTAGGTCAATACCGCCAAACATTACTGAGAAGGGAGAGACCTGGTTTACACAATCAGTTTTCTGTATTCTAATCTTTGTTGGATTAGGTGTTATCATGAATACCTTGGATGGATCAGTTTTGTTGAAACCTGCGGGAAAGGTCTGAGATCTATATCGTAATCTTTGGTCTCTTGGAAATTCAGATATTTTTACTCGAGGCTTGGTGCTAACATTAAAGGTCTGTGGTCTAATCTACGTGCAGAAAATAGGAATATTAACAAAGGGTAATTTGTGCATAGACAAATACATGGGCAGGTGCAGTATATTACAAAACAAAAGAAATGAAAAATAACTTATATAATAATAAATAAAATTCTGGGTCATACAAAACAGTTCATATAAAATAGTAAATCAATACCAATTAAAGATATATAAATACAATTTTTGATTCTATTTCCAACAACATAACTATCAATAATAATTTTAAAGTAAGGATATCTGTAAATTATCAAGAGCTACCTCTGTTTTTCCCTGTGATGCATCTATTTCGTTTGGCACCTTATCCCCATTCTCCATTTCACCAGCTAAAGAGACTTCATCAAATTCTGGTATTGTTTCAGCCTCTGTTATGGATGTCTCTTGCCTATTTATTGTACTACGTATTTCTTCTTCTTCTGTTAAAAGAGTTGGAATAATACATGTAATGTCTTGAATTCTCAGAAAAACATATTGTGTTTAAAGGATGCAAGTCTCTAACTCAGTATCACCCACAGTCTCCAACATTGCAAACATGATATATTGGTCAATTTAAATCAACGTTGATGTTGTTATTTTAACGTGAAAAGATGGACTTCTGATATCCAATATTTAAGACAAAATGAAAGTTTTTAAAATTGGCACACAAATCGCAGACCAGAATGCTTTCGATCGCCATTTGTAATGAAGCGATTCAATGAACGAGGCTATCCCACAGGAGAATACTACCACCGTAGACTGGAATAACCAGACGCAGAAGACTTCCATTCAATTTGGATTCTTTGTGTATTTCGCCGAACATAACTGATTAGAACTTACAGTAAAAACAGAAATGGTTGAATTTAAATCAGTTTAAAAATATTCATATTACATTATATGTGTTGCAACCCATTTGTGTCAATTTCTAGTAATAATAATTATTAGGGTCTGTTTCAGATTAATTCAATGTACAATCCATTATTAAAATGAATTGATTTACCTTCTGTTTGTTCTTCTAATATACTCCATGGTGTTTTAGGATGCATCCATGTTGATGGGTGTTTTAGATTCCATGATTGTTTCTAAAATAAAAATTTATAGAAAATGTCAACCAAAACGATCAAGAAAAAGGTATGAACAATAATAAAAGTCAGTATCAGCCTGTGCATTGGGGACAACTAATTTTGATGCTTTATTCATGTACATCACTGTTCAATCTCTGAAAGGAACATCAATCCAAAATATGTTCAATTCCATTCAGTATTTACATAGATATTACAAATTGAAAATGTGTTGGATAAAATCTTTTGATGGGTCTCTTTTTAATCCAGTTGAAAACAAGCTGGGATTTTATCTACCATCAAGATTTTTGTTTAGTTCTCTTAATTAAACATGCATTATACAAGAGCTAAATCTGTCTATTGCAGGTCTTTCTTTAGGCCTGAAATGTTATCTAAATTATTAATTAGACATTAAATAACTTATCCAGACCATAATCAACTCTAGATGGCATTGCTAACCTGCGATCTTTAGTGGATTATGAGCCGATTTACTGCATAACTTTCCTTCACGATTTAACGATTAAATGGATAATCGAGACTATGCTGTTGATCGTACTGACTTTAGCATTGATGATCCAGGCTAGGCGGAAATTTCAAACGCTTAGTTCTCGGTTCATAGTGGATCAATTTGAATGAAATTTTCAGCAAATTGCCTTTACAGTATCTAGTTTTTAACTATTGTAGTGAGAACTGCCGATTCATTATCAAATTTCCCATAATGTATCTTTAACTGTTAAATAACCAATTTGTGTACATTTTAGCATGGCTTAAGTCTGGAAATATTAGATCTGTTAAAATGTATGATAGGGAATTGCTGACTGTAAATTATTGTTTATTTACCTGACCAAAAGTACCAACATAATGTCCATCAGTTGACCAGAGTCTAGCTGTTTTATCAGTTGAAGCACTCAGTATAAATACACCATCTTCATGTTCTAAATAATCTACACTAACTACAGTTTCATCATGGGCCCTCCACGATGTTTCTAATAAAGGTTTACTTTTGATTGTCTAAATATAGAAAATAATCAAGATATTACATAGATCGTTTTTCATAACGCTGATTATTCAAGTATGTTAATTTATTTCTCAAATATATCAAGATGTAATGCCTTTTTAAACATACATTACGCAAAAGCTAAATCTGCCTATTGCAGGTTTTTCTATAGGCCTGAAATGTTTTCTAAATTATTAATTAGACATTAATTAACTGATCCAGACCATAATCAACTCTTGATGCCATCTTATGTGCCCGATTTTCATTAGATCTGAACCTGACCTGCTGTTCAATGCCATTGATGATTAACCACAAAAATGGATAATCAAGATTTTCTTTATTATCGTTACAGTGGTAACAATGACAATCAAGGCTACAGTGTTTTAAAAATGGGGTTTCCTGGGCACCGAGTGAAGTAATTTGATTAAAATTTTCAGAATATTCCCTTAACATTATCTAGTTTTTAACTATTATAGTGAGAACGGTATACTCTTTATCTAATCTTCCATAATGTATCTTTAATATAAGAATTAATTTAATAAGATCACTAAAATAAACCAGAAAAATTATATAAAGTTTAACACAAATCTCTAAAACGATGTGCATGTAAAATATATTAATAATGATATATGTACCTTTTCCTGTGGTTTAATACAGTAATTAGTTATGTTCCATATTTTAATATTTCCCTGTGTATCTCCAGTAATTAATATAGTATTATTGGCAGGAGTACACATAGTAAGTACAGATTCATCTTCATTATCTGGTACATAGAAATACCCTGAAATTATAATAAAATGAAATGATATGAAATGTGGTTTAACATCCTACTGTTCTACTCCCTCCGAGTGAATAAAGACAGGTATATGGCATGCAGTGGGCTATGAAGGAAATTTTTTCCAGACAGTGGTGCTACAGCCTACTCTTATTTCCAATTCCAACTCGAGTTCTTTTAAAGTGCATGCCAAGGTGTACACAGGACCTCATTTTTTTGGACCATCCAAATGACAATACAAGTACACTGTTCCTACCAATCCCTCAGTCTGCACCACTGAAAGCGAAAGCCACAGGTAAAATCCTGAGGAACTTTCTCAGCCTTACTCACTGAGATACCATGGCAACCTAAAGTATAATATAATATAATATAAATCAACCATTTTTCATACTCTCGAGAGATTATCATCATACCTATTTCCTTTTTTTGGCCATAAATACTCCAGAATCTAAGAACTCCTGCTTCACTTGACACCAGTATAGCACCCTCAGCATATCGAACACCAGCTGCTGCCCTGGCTTTTAAGAATAATAATTTATCTACTGGTGCTGGTTGACTAAAATAATAAAACAATAAATCACACCTCGTTTTCTTGCTGCACTGGAAATCATTCAGAATTAGCGCTTTGAAAAATAAATTGTAGAACTTTCAACAAGATAATAAATGTGATTAATTTCATATAATATCATTTTCAGCAGCCTAAGATTAAAGCATTGTTCCCAAGCATCCATAGAATTCTTTGAAAACTGCTATAAGTTATAACATGTACAACTCATATAGAATCTTTAGTATCTATATATCACCAATGGATTGACAGGTGGATTTCAAATTTTGCATCCAATCTAATTTTCTTAAGGCGCCCAATACAAATGTACAGCCATATCATGGAAGATTGGTTTATTTTTGTTTTTTACCCAACCATGAAGTTCAGCAAAGTTTGACCTTCCCTTTTAAAAGTCACACCCAAACAGAATTTGATGCATCAAGGGAGGTAACCCAAAGTGGAGACACTTTTAGATTTAAAACATAAATGATTATTTATTACCAATGTTGATCTTAAATCAGTTTTGTTCAAATTTCTCTTCTACTTTATAATATGTTTATAATAATGACTACCCTTTACATTGCCTTGATGTGTCAAGGGAGATAATCTATTCTTAAGAAATTAATATTACATGTACCTACCCTTTAGATAATTTATGAGATTTTTTATGTCGTGAATTCGGTCTGGTACCAGTACTTTTACTACTTGTAGAAGCTGATGAAGGTACGTTAGTAAGATCTTCTATTTTACCAGATCTGAAATAGAGTATTTTACACAATGACCACATGATATTTGGAGAAACATCCACCTAATAATCCAACCAAATAAATGATTTTGTGGGACAAGAGTTCATATTAATCCCTTTTCTTTCTTCTTTCATTACAACTATAAATGGTTCTCACAGAGAGTAAATATGCATAGTGTTCATAGAGCACCCATGGCTATAATATTTCATTCAATCTCACCCAAGAGTGCAAGGTTCTCCATGATAACTGTACAGTTGGGAGATACCACAACACTTTTAGACTTTGAATTTAGCGATATATAAACACTTACAAATCTGGTGGTTGCCCTTTTCTTAATCTAACGAACAATTTCTCTGTTTCAATATCCCAGATGATTATTTCCCCATCAAAGCTCCCAGTTGCTATAAAGTTGGGTGAACATTTATCAATAGCTAAGATGTCTTCTTTATGGAGTTGTCCCCCTTTCCAATCACTGTTGGCACTAACATACATATTCTAAAAAATAAATTTATATGTCAGCATATTCAAGAAACTAGCATTGCAGCAATATATAGCATATTAAAAGGGATTTGAACTAACTTCTAGTCAACATTATAATAACTCACTTTTAATAATCATTGAATGAAACTCTTCGAAAACTGTGTGGTTCTTAATACAGAATTCTCAAATAATTACAAAAGTTGTAGCAGCTATTGTATTACATATATAAGCACAAGTTATTGTATCTAAGTTATGTCTTTCTACAGTCTGTATGGGTGCTATTACAGGCCAGCAAGAGCCAAAACTAACTCCTAATCTAAGGATCTTCATGATGTCACTAGGAGCCTTGAATGATACATGTTTCCGACCTGGATTTGAACACAGTGTACTAATATGGACAATATTCTTTCTCTATGTATAGCAATATAGTATTACCATACCAAGTTCAACATTTTAACTGTTGACCATTTGTAGGTAACAACCATGATACACTAAACAGAACTTGATATCGTTTATAGTGTTATAACAGTACATATTCTTGACTTTTGAAATACATGTGAACAGTTTGGCTTATTGTGTCTTTAAATTTGTTCAGTTTTTAAGAAGATAAATGATCTTACATCTCCATCTGAATCATCATATAATGTTATTTGTTGACTCCATCCTATAGCCATTATAACACGTTTATCTAATATAGGTAATATACCAGTTACTTCGGCATCATCTGCAGCTTCTAATTTATGTAAATTATGGCCGTTCTGGAAATTCCAAACCTAAAAAAAAAACTTGATCTAATTGTGTTTACATCAAAAATATTCCCAGTTAACTTTTATTGTTGTACAGCCATATTTAATCAATTATATTTTGTTGGGGTTTTTTTTTTCATTATTTTGCCTGGCAACTGCTGGTTATAAATTTTGATGACTTTTTGTCTTTAAAAGCAGCAGTCTAACCTTGATACTACCATTTCTAGCTCCTGTAATAAGTCTTCTCCATGTTTCATCAAATACCATGGTAGTTATCTCCTCTTCCCCGTGAGCATTAGAGAACACAATAGCTTTATTACCAGTTTCTATATCCCATACAGCTATACATGATGAATCACAACCAGTTACCACCTACAAAATATACATACAAATACAGATGTTCTACAAAATATACAAATACAGATATTATACAAAATAAACAAAGATGTACAAGATGCTCATTAACATGCTTCACAAGATAATCAAACACAACAGATCCTTACCAGTAGTCTAAATATACTAGAAATAAAATGAAATCAAAATTTCTTCACCAATTGGGCTAATGAAGACAGACATAGGAGCCTACTCTTATTTCGAATTCCAACTGTCAACTGTCGAGGGTTCTTTTATATGCATGCCAATATGTACACAGGACCTCAGTAAATCTAACAGACAATTATTGGGCCAGGGATACACTTTATATATTGCTGGGGGGGGGGGGGGGTCAATTTTTGGCCTATTTTGTTTACTTCAGCAAGATATTTTATTTTAGAAAATATAACAATTTTTACCATCATCCCAATTGTTTTACATATATCTAAGTGTGTTTAAACATAACAATTATAACTGTTACTGTATTCCTTTAAATTTTGATACTAACCCATGTAAATTGAGCCACAAGTAAAATTTCCACCCGGTATATTTCACTGTCAGTCAAGACTGACAAATATAACTGAAACTAGAGCCCTGAACTCGACACACCATATGAAAATAAATCCTATACCAGAAATGATACCCACTGTTCATGAAAGCGTAGAAGTGCTACTGACTTTGTAATGATGAAACAATGTGCATACATTTAAATTGGAATCAATACATGACAACAAAAATGAAATGAAATGAAATGGGGTTTAACGTCCTACTGTTCTGCTCCTAAACTGGGCTAATGAAGACGGGCATACGCCATACAGTGTGCTATGAGGGAAATTTTTGCCCAGGCAGCAGCGCTACTGCCTACTCTTATATCGAATTCCAACTGCCAAGGCATCTTTTACGCGCACGCCAATGTGTACACGGGACCTCGGTTTTTCCTCCCATTCGAGCGAATAGACAGCTGTCCTTGTCAGGCCCTCCATCCTGCATCACTTACAAGGGGAAACCACGCCGGAAAATCTGGATGAACTTTCTCGGCCAATCCAGGGATCGAACACACATGACATTAGAATAGAAATGAAATAAAGTTTAACGTCCTACTTTTCTGCACCCACTGGTCTAATGAAGACCGATATTAGAATAGTCTGAGATATTTATTTTCAGCTGACCTCTTTGAACAAAGAGCTATCATGCAATCAAGATCTATAAAAATCTGGTGAGATTATCTTGTATTTACCTGTTTAAAGAATTGGTTATATATAGCACAACATAACTGAGTATCATGTGTTAAGGGCATCACACTTGTAGGTTCCGCCCCTTTTCCTAGTTTCATCATACCAATATAATCATTACAGGTAACTAATAGAGAACTGTGTGGTAGTGGCTGTAAATGCATAGGAAACTGTCCATGTTCTGGCATACGTCCATGTATACTACTTGGAAACTTGAGAACTATTGTTTGTAAACATGTTTGTTCCTTTACATCCCATACTTTTATTACCTTTATTTAAAAAAGATGAAAAATATCTTCAAACAAGGCATAAATTACATTGTGGTACATCACATTAAATATCGTTGACAAATGATATTCATAATTTTTACAAATGCAATTCATTCCTTTTTGTAGATAATATTCATTACATTCTGGCATATAATCACTACATTTGGGCCATGGTATTCATTATATTTTGTTAACCATTAATCATAACACTTTAGTATTAATTACATTTTGGAATATACTCATTATTTCACATTGGTAAATGAAATTAATTATACCTTGAAAACTGATATTACTGTTTGGTAAATATTCCTTATTCTTTGATAAATGATATTCATTCATGACATTCATTATATTTTTTATTGTAACCAGTATATTTTGGAAAATGATACTGATACCACTAAATCAAGGCTCAATACAATAATATCTGATAAAATTATGGTATTAAAAATAAACCTACTGCATCTTTTGAATAACTAAAGACTTGAGCGAATTCTTCATGTATTGTGATTCCTATAACACCTGTAGAATGACCAGTCAGTATGGCTGTAGGTTTACTAGTAACATAAGGATTCCATACTCGTATATAATGATCAATGCTACCTGTTACTAAGATATTCAAATTCCTATTGTGGTCGAAACATTCAACACCCTGTCAATTAAAAAAAATGTTTTAAAGTGTTTAGTTCCAAGAAAAAATTTTTCTTTCACAAGTTGTGAATCACAACTCTGTCTCAAATGTGTATAATAGAAAACAGCTTATGAACTCCTTGTAAATAAAATTAAAGAAATAAATTAAATGAAATGTCTTACTCTTTTGCAATGACGGAAATTTTACCCGGACAGCTGCCGTGCTAAGGCATACTATTACATGTATTTCAACTTCTAATTGCCATGGCATCTTTAAAATGACATATTTCCATGCCATGCCCTCCTGTCCTGCACCACTGACATGGGAAAATCATTTTAAGAAAAATACTACATTATTTTTATTCAAAAATCACCTGTTATCCATATCACATAAACTCAGGGCCGTAACCAGCTCAGAGCAACGAGGGAGGTGGGAAGTGTTCTCGGGGGTGATGTAAAATTGACAGACAATGTATATTTCTTTTTTTTTTAATGGTCAACAATTTTGTCACAGGGGTTGGGGTGGGGCGAAACTTTTTGCAGGGGTGGGGGGGGAGGGCTGTAGATACAGGCCTGCCTAAACTTGAGGTAAACTTTTAATATCTTACGAGAATTTCAAATAGGTAAAGGGGTTAAGACTGAGAGAAAATCATTTGAATTCTGGCAGTAAGTACAGTTAAAATATATTTAATACATACCTTTTCTATTCTAAAGACATAGTTTTTCTTCAAACCACAAACATCAGCTATAACTACAGCTGATCTAGAACAACCACTAGATGATATGATAGCATCACTATCTGGTATATAACGTACTTGACGTATTAACTCTGGGTGTATCTTCTGTAAAACTTTATGTGTCACCCACTTAGAATGTTGTGGTAAATCCTGCAATTGAAATACATTTAATTGTTATAAAGTTTTCTTTGATAACGCATTATTGTTTTAAAAAAAAAGATTAAAATTTTTTTATTTTTTTTTAAAATTAGCTAGACTTCTACATACACTATCATTTGAAAATGGTAATCAGTATTATTTTTGAAATCATATGTTTCTTATATAGTACATCAAAATCGTAAAATCTTTTCAATATTGAAAGTTTGAAAAAAGAGAAAATCCACAAAGATTGAGGTTTCCAGTTTCCATACTGGAGACTAAAGGGGGGACAACTCTTTTATATTTCTGGAAAATGCTAATCCCCACACTGATCTTTCTAATCATATCTACTACATAATACTTCAAAATCTGATGATCTTTTCAAGTTTCGCAGTTTTAAAAACAGTAACCCGAAAATTCCTAAAGGAAGACAACTTTTTAAACTTGATTTGCTTGACCAAAATTCATTCTGTGACATAGATTTTGCATTGCAGCAATGAAAGAAAACAAATAATAATCATGCCATTTTACCTTTACAAATATTTTCTGTGCACCACCTTCACTGAGAAAGGGTGTCTCAAATAACTGGGTTAAAGGTCGTTTAAAATGTAAAAGAGAAATATCACCGGAATCTAATCCAAATATCAACAAAGATTCAGCACCAGGATTCTGAAATAAAAATGGCAATCCATAGTTAGGTATTAGGTATATCCATGACAACATCCATCTGGAAACACAGAAATACTACACCTCAATTAAATGGCCACAACATTACATCAATTAGTTTGAAAACTGCTTTTTGGCATGAACTGGTTCTTTCAAAGGATTGTTTCATTTACAAAATGTTTTCTGATGGTGCATTTCATTTGCAAAATGTTTTCTTAGTGTGGGGTTATATGAATGTGTCAATTTCCGCTATGATAATGATAATCTTATGAGAAATCCAACATACCTTTACATCATACCAATAATCTAAACAATATGGTACATCTGTCATTGCTGAAATAGAAACCCATAGATAATTTTATAACTTTTTATTCATATTATTCAATCAATTGATTGACAGGATAGGATTTCTTTGTTGATCATATTTTATTTATTGTTACCTTACTAACTAAATACTTTCAGTCTTGGGGGGGTTGGATGGCCAAATTGTTAGCACTCGCGTGCTGTATCATAAGGTATGTCATTAAGTCAACTGGCATGGTTTTCGATTCCCCGTCCAACCTCGTATGTTTTCTCCGGGTCCTCCGGTTCCCTCTCACTGCTAAAGACCCCTATGCGCAAGCGAATTATTGAAATAAAATTGAACCATGTGTTAGTCCCGATATGACCTAGTTTGAGTTGAGTGGACGTTAAACCCCATTTCTCTCTCTCTCTCTCTCTCTCTCTCTCTCACTTTCAGTCTTTAATTTCAAAAGAATATATTTTTAATTGAAAATAAGATTGGAGTATGGATGAACTTCACAATAACATAACATTAAAAGAAATGAACACAACAAATTTTAAACATTCAAATCTTCTTACCAAATAAATGAAATTCTTCAAAGAAAGATGTTGCTGAGACATCATAGAAACGTATATCTCTACTAGTAGAACATATTGCTAGTTTATGACAATTCTGCATGTAAACAGCATCAGTAACCCACATTTTAAAACGTCTTTTCTGACTCTCATCATCATCCTCAGATACATTATAAGATCTCTCAAACTGCATGTTAGGATTCCATACTGACATTATACCTTCCTATTTAAAACAGAATAATATGTTTTACAATTATTTTAATGCATCATAAATAATCATCAAATCTTCTCATGATCGTATATCTAAATTAGCACAAATCATAAATCATATGCACATAGTATATTCTCAATATTATCTTTTGATAAGGATTAGAACTCTTTATTCTTTTGTTTAAATCAATGGCTATTCTAACCAAAAATTACTTTTGAATTCTGAAAATTAAAGGGTGATAACTCTGTAAGAATCTAAGTTTTAATTTCAGTCTATAAATTTGTATTACCCTGCTTATAGTAACGAACTTGGTAGGATTATCTATAGCTATCATCTTTGTTGTTTGTTCTTGCTGTAAGGTAAATAATAAAATATATGATATCATAGAACAGTAAGTGACAAAACTGTCACATCTCAATCACTTTCAAATCAAATAGATATTAACAGTTACCTGGATATATAAACATCTTGTCATAATCCTCCCATAATAATCCTTTATTCTTATTGACACTAACTAATCCATCACACATATTAATATGTATTTATCTTGTTAAATACTTTTAATAAATTCTCAAATGGGACGAAAAACCAAGATCCAGTGTACATATTGGCATGCATGTAAAGATCCTTTGACAGTTGGAATTTGATATAAGAGAAGGGTGCAGTGCCGCTGTCTGGGGAAAATTTCTCCCATAGCACACTACATGGCCTAAGTCTGTCTTCATTAGCTAAGTCAGAGCAGAACAGTAGGACGTTAAACCCCATTTCATTTTAATAAAGTCATTAAACTTTTCAATGCTGCTGATCACCATTTCAGTGATTTTGAATCCCTTGCAAACTAAAATATTGATTGTGATAGTCGAATCTCTAAAAGACACATCTGTCAAAAAATGTTTTAATTCCATTCAGTTTTAACGATGTGATAAACTTAAAATAATGGGTAAATCTTTTGATACTTGATTGAATCCAAGTATGAAACCATGCACAAGATGGTATATGCATATTTTACACACTTACCCTATTCTGTACAATATGTCTTATCTTGGGTTCTTGTAAAAATGGTATTTCTTTCTTACTGCGTAGATAATCATTTTCTCTGTATAATAATAGCATATAGGTACAAAACTCATTCCAATCTACATAACCATCACATGATGTATCTAACTGAAAACATTTATATATATAAAATAACAACCATTATATTCGTCAGTTCATTTATCATTGACCTCTAAAGGAAATAATTCATATCGTTAGAAAAAGATTTCTTAGTAAAATTTAGAGTTTAAATGAACAAACTTAATGTTTAATAAACTTTTTCTTTTTTAACTTTTTCAACTCAGATTATTCAAATTGTCAGTATTAAATTCTATAACTCACTATGATCTCAGGGCTAGATTTGAAAAAAGTAAAAAATAATTCTCGAAATTTTTTATCTTTTAAGTAAACATAATACATGTGAATTCAAGATTTCTCCTGTGCCAACACCAGACAAGGAGAACAGAGGTGGCAAAATCTCAAAAGATGTTCCCTTGCAGTCTTTTGATTTGATCATTAGATTTTGTCTGGGATAACTCGATCAAAGATGCATTATGTAAGAACTAAATCAGCCTATTGTAGGTCTTTGTTCTGGCTTCAAATGTTATACAAATTATTATTCAGACATTTATTCACAGGACAAAATAATCAACTCTCTAGATCATCAGACTGCTGAGATTTTGAATGGATTAGACCATCCACGCCACATAATCGGTTAACATTAAAATGGATGTCACTCAATAAAAGGACTAACAAATGAGACTTCAAACACTCATAGTTTCACTCAGATCAAATAGTTTTATTTTTCCTTATCTATCTATCATAGAAAGAACGGACAGCTTTTAACTAAATCTTACAAAATGAATCTTAAATAAATAATTAATTAATTACCTTGGTGAAAAGTTTTCCTAAATAATCATCATATTCATTTGTTCCCAGAACCTTAGCAATAGTTTCCTGAAATTCTGTTACATTCATACACCCTGGAATTCTTTTCACAAGTTTTGGGGGAAAATATCCCGATTCTGCTGGTACCCAAATATCCTCAGGGTCATGGACGTCAAATTCTTCCATGAGTTGCTCCAAATGCTTAAGCTTGATCTCTTCTTCAAGACGTACATGTTTCTCTCTTTGAAAACTGTGACATAAAAGAAAGAAACTTTAAAGTTTTATACCACATAGAACATGTACAGAGAGACCATTCAGAAACAAGCTTCCACTCATCTCAACATCCAAGTGTCATTTCGTGTTCTTTTATCAAACACGGGGGGTTGGATGGCCAAATGGTTAGCATGTGCGCGCTGTATCATAAAGCCTGTCATTGAGTCAACTGGTGTGGTTTCAAATCCCCAGTTTTCTCCGGGTCCTCTGGTTTCCTCCCACTGCTAAAGACCCATACGCGCAAGCCAATTATTGAAATAAAATTAAACCATATGTTAGTCTCGAAATGACCTAGTTTGTGTCGAGTGGACGTTAAACCCCATTTCTCTCTCTCTCTTTATCAAACACTTTGTTCTATTTATAAACATACAAAAACATAAATAAATTTCATTTATGAAGAGTATGTATTTTCATTGGATAATTCCTACTATGTTAATTTCAGAAAATGAAATTGATTTGTATTCTAGACTGATTTGACTAATCACTTACTCCTCAAACACGTTTTGGGTTAAAATTACAAAAATGACAAGGGATTCTACTTCCAAATTTTGACTGTTGGTTAATTTTGATAACAAACCCAAACTTAAAATACATATATAGTACGATATTGTGAATTCATGCATCTCAAAATATATCTATTTGTTAGTGTCATGTACATTAGCCCTATTAAATGAAAAAAACAAATCTTGGCATAATGATTCTTTATTAATGAAATATTCAGTTTAGCCCTTTGAAGTGCTCATATTATCAAAATTTGTTGATTGTTTTAAAGAAAAAAGAAGAGCTGAAGTGACTGTAGAAAGATCATTTTGACATAGCCTACACATCGTACCATGAGTTGTACTTATAACATCAAACAAGATATCAATAAATAGGCATCCACTAACTCACCAACCAATAATTATGAACCAATAAAATGACATAGTTATGAAAATATGATTGAGAGGGTCAGTCTGATAAAACACGTTCAAGCTTGGTAACCTAATCATTTTTTAATTGTTATAAGTGTATAGAAAGCTTTTAGCTAGTGCGGTAAGTTATACAAAGCACAATTATTGACATATTACACATCTCATCATCTCAACATGATTTCATGCGTTTTACATGGGTGTGGTTAGAAACAAAATACAAACTGTTAACTTTGTAAACTTCTCAAAGCAATAAAATCATGTACCATGCTGATTTGCATTTTTTTTTGGACAATATTAAGTTTATTCACAGCTTAATCCACGCTAAAAAGTACTCAAATTAATTTTTCTTTAATATTTAAGATTAAGAAAAGAAAACCAAAATATGAAAGATAAATAATCCACAGGATTTGATTCAATCAGAGTATAAAGAGGCCCATCATCAGATTTTACCAAACACCTATAAGTGGCTCTGGCTTATTTACATCATGCTCAATGTTGACAAATTTTCATTTCATCATATCTTTATAAATACTGAAAGTTTTTTCACAGCACAGTAGTTTACTAGTGATTCAAATGATGATCATTATCTTTAAATCAAAACTATTATATTGAAGAACACTTGTCAACAAATACTTTAAATATGTTTAGACTCATTAAGATTAAATAATGTCAACAATGAATTTTTTAATCCTCATATTTGTAAGAATCTTTCCAATCTAAGTTTTCTCAGGTTTAATGTTTATAATACAATCTGATGCTTGCTGACATTAAAATATCTCATTGTTTCCATGTGGTACATAATACTCTCAAATTATGTCTTGATAATAACTTTTTAAAAAGAACAGTAATATATATTCAGAATTATTTATACCTATTTATAACAAATAAAATTTATACTCATTTATATGGAATATCTAAGAAAATTGATACCTGTGTCTATATCAAATAAGAAAACTTATACTAATAGCGTTTAATAGTAAGAGTGTTGTAATTATTTCACCTTCAAAATATAAACTTTTACCTATTAATCAACAACTGAAATAAATGAGAAATAATAGCATTACTAACTTACAAATCAATACTTACAAATCATTCATAAATTGAACTGCTTTTATACTTGAAGCAAAGTGAGACATTTTTTCCTCCTATAAAAGTTAACCGTGTGTCATTTTATTCCTTTTAACGAGCTGCTAATTGAAATAAACTGACTCTATTCGTTATTAATTCTATTAATACATGCACACAGATATAATTCTTATTGATAAAATCAGCCACATTTTAGCATAAAGATTGTTAATATCCATTGAATATTAATAAACTAGTTGATTCAATTGGATTTCTAAAGCCAATATACCATACACACTTTTCTTCACTGTATAAATAGAGACCAATGTTTTCATTAGGTACAAGAACCAGTTACCTACAGCCCCCTCCCCTCTACTTGGTACGCTATATAATCCCAAATCTATTAAAGTACGAGACTATTGACAAGTTTTAATGTCACTCAAAGATTATCAAATATCTGGTTTCATGAACCAGTGAGAGTTAACTTGAGTATTTTATTAATCCACTTGATATTAAAGGCTAGAGACCACAGACAATACAAAAACATTTACTTTAAAATGAAGCCAATTTAATATGAAAAGCAATTACAAGATAAGAGTTTGTTTCTACCTCCAGGAGTGACTATATTTAATCATGTCATCTATAATTTAACTAATATTGCATGTTGAGTTAATTACATGAATTCTAACATATGTCAAAATATATAAATAATTGATAATCTTTCATTAACTTTTTGTTGCAAACTTTTGGACATCTGATCAAAAATAAATTGCTTTTAAAATATCTAGTCAACTCTAGATTGGTTATTTTTATTACACTTATTGCATTGCATTCAATGGTAATTTTATCTTATCAACCTTGAAGCATACAGACTATACCAGTGAAGCAAGATGAACTGAAAATATTAAGTTCATGTACATATTTTCTAGTCAAAAACTTTTATTGTTCTATTGTCATAGATATAGAAAATATTCAAATAGCCTTCAGTATCATTCATAATTATTAATTATTCTCACATTCCAGACATATTACTGAAATAAGTAAACAAAGCTAATATCAATACTATCTACGAATCATTCTTAGTATACCCATTGGGCAGTAATACTTCAGGGTATTCCGGTATATCATTCATACATTGGAACTAAATAAAACTTTAACCTGGTTTAAGGGTTAGCATTAGTGAAATACATAGATATGCCAATACAATTTGTGACGGATCATGAGGTCACTGGGCCCTGCGTGTCACTGCGGCAGGGGGTTATAGAGGTTCTCCCAGAAAATTTGACATTTGGAAATGCTATTTTTAGTGTATCCTGGAGGAACCCTACCTAACATATATGTACAATGAGACAGCAGATAGTAGGGTTTTTTTTAACAAATTGAAACCTATTTAAAAAGTGGATTGCTCTTATTTGAAACAGTGGTTCAGAAATAAAAGCCATATAAGACTGACTTTTGTCTGTAACATAGTTAGCAGTGGTAAGTCATAAGAATACTCTACTCATGCATCTAGATGATTATCCAACATTCCGAAGCATATCTAAAAAAAACGTTTAAAACATCAGTCTATCAGTTCTTGATTTCAATACATAAAAAAAAACCCACCAGAAGTAAAGTTAATGTTGAAATATATACTCTGTAAGTCTTTAATCCATGTATTATTTTTACTGAATAAAGCTTTTTAAAGGCATTTGTGTTTGGATTATTCATGGATCCTTTAAAATTTCAAAATTCATCAAACTCTATCAATTCCTCTGTCAACATACAATTTTTAAAAAAAACGTTACCTTGTACTAATAATCTGACATCTATGTTCCGTTACAATTCCTTCGGTGTTTATAATTTGCACACTAAATTTCATTTTCGACTTTCATAAACTCAAACAAACCAGGGTTTCAGTTCTAATGTCTCTTAAAACTGGATTCCGTTTGTAAAATGGAAAGGAACATACAACCAAGGTAAGCAAATAGACAAACTACAGGTAAATTGTTATTCACAGGTATATACAAGGTGAGTAGGTAATATGTAAATAACAATACCAATATCTATTGTAATAAACTATTGCTATATATATAATCAACACTAATTAACTAAATGTCCCTCATAATGACATCTTTGTACATAGAAAAAATACTACAATAATGGTATTATTATTTTCTGTAAAAAAACAACCCATAAAGTAATATTACAGGTGAGAATATAGTAATCTATAGGTATTTTTCACAATTGATAAGTTAATCTTACTTAACAGAAAAAGAATATATTTAGAGTGACAAGACCCAGAAAAACAACTATCTATTATACGTTTCTACTGGGAGTAAAAATTAAGGAAATAGAGGCTCTAATTAGACCTTTTAATCCCCTTTTATGGTAAAACTGATCCAAGAAAATCTTGATCATCAGCGTGATGACAGCTCGTTTTCCTGCTATTCTATTTCTAGCCCATGAATACAGCAACTTTAAAGTAGTCTAATATAGTCTAATTAAGATGGCTAACTCGAATTCCAATCAGCTAATCAATTGTTTGCAGTCCACGGAGACAGGAACGTCGGGAGAAAATTTTGAAAATTTAACTGCCACAAACGCTTTTTCCTGCTATTCCAGCCCGTGAATAAAGGCAACTTCAATGTGGTCTTATATAGCCTACCTTATGTGGCTGACCTGAATCCCAAACAACCAATCAATCATCGGGGGAGTATGGTGGCCACGCTCTCCCAGAGAAACTTTTGAAAACTTAACCACCACAAATGCATTTTTATGCTATTCTAGCCTGTGAGTTAAGCAATTCAAAAGTTGTCCAATCGTTTTGTAACCAAAATCCCACTCAATGCTGACCTGAATTCCATCCATCCAGTCAGACTGTTGCAGCTGCATTCACAATAATAATCAATGCCCGAAGACAAAATGTTTTGATCCATAGTCAATTAAGTACAAATCCGTGGTATTCAATTAAAATAAAAGTAAAATTTGTGTTTATTAGATTTCGGACAATTTAATTTGC